AGAGGGAGGATCCAGGCTGGACGGGAGGGCCTGGAGTCCAGGTGCCTGAGGAATGCACATCCCCCATAAGGCCGTCCATCCACTTCAGAGTCCTCGGGCCAAGCTCCAGGCTAGGAATCCCTTCCCCCAGGGGCTCCATCTGCCTACAGGGCTGCCCGTCCATAATCTGTACCAGCCGCAGGCAGCCCACGGCCCCGTGGTCAGCCAGTGCCAGGCATGGGCGGGAGCTGGCGGGAGGACGGCTTCCCATGCCTGGGGCTGTGGGGATGCAGGTCTGAGGGAGGCCAGGCTCAGGGTGCAGAGGGATGGAGGAGGCCCCTGAGGTGAAGCAGGGCTGGCATGCTGGTCCTGCCTGGGGCTGTGGGGGTGCAGGTCTGAGGGAGGCCAGGCTCAGGGTGCAGAGGGATGGAGGAGGCCCCTGAGGTGGAGCAGGGCTGGCATGCTGGTCCTGCCCGTCAGCCCAGCTCCCACAGGGGCTGAGACCAACAACCTGGGGTCCTTTTCCCAAAATGCCCTTCTGTCTCTGTCTGCCTGCCCGGCTCTTTCCCGTCATCTCCCTGGCCCACGTGTCTCTCTGTCTCTGGCTTGCTGGCTCTCTTTCTCTTTCTGAGTCTGTGTGTGTGTGTGTGTGTGTGTGTGTGTCTCCCTGACTCTTTCCATCTTCTCCTCTCGTCCCCCTCAGAATCCCTTCCTCGGAGGTGGGAACCATTCGTTTGGGATTGTCAGGAGGACAATCCCACGTGCTCCTGGCCCTGCAGGCCCCTCCTGGCACGGGCAGGGCTGGTGGGCTGCTCTGAGCGGCGCCTCTGGCCGCCCTCCACCCCTGCCAGGTCCGTCCCACCCACGGGGACTTCTGGCCGCCCACACAGGAGGTCCTCTCACTTGCACACCTCGTTCCTAGGCCCTGGCCCGCCAAGCCTCCCCCTTACCGGCCTAGAAGTCCCACTACCGGTGACTTGGGGCTTCCATGAAGAAGAACCCCAACATTTAACGCCATTAAACACCAGTCACGTTGGGGCGAATGAGCCAACGGCATCTCCCTCTCTCCCCCAGCGAGGTGGACGCTGCCTAAGGAGACCTCACGGGTCCATCTTTGCAGGCGGAGAGGTGTGGGAAGAGCAGCAGAGGGAGGGGCCCCAGCCAAGGTACGTGGGGCAGGAAGGAGGGGGTTGGGGGGAGGGAGCAGAGGAAGGGAAGTGGGACACACCTGAAGGAGGCCTCTCGTCTGTCTGTCCGTCCGTGCCTTCCCAGGAGAGAGCCCCACGTCTCGTGTCACCCCATTTTCCGGATGAGGAGACTGAGGCCTGGAGAGAAGGGGCTCCCTCTAGAGCAGCAGTGGCCAACCCTGTGGACCACACGGGCCACCAGCGGTCCGAGGACCAGGGTTAGCGACCGCTGTCTAGAGCAGCACAGGGAACATCGCCATCTCCTAACTCCAAACACAGGCACCCTGCCCTGCCCCGCTGGCCGTGCCCCGGCCCCGTCCTCCGCCCCCCCCCCCCCCCCGCCCCAAAAGTGCTGGCCTCTCCCCCAGGATTCCCGAGGAGGGCAGGAAGGCCCTCTCCCAGCCCTAATTTATGATTTTCTGCAGCTTCCTTCCTCCATCACTCCCTTCCAGCCCCAGCCCCAGCCCCAGCTCCGGCTCAGGCAGGAAGGAATGAGCTGGGTGAGGAGGGCAGCTCCATGGAGCATAAATAACTTGGCCCGGCAGCTGCGGGCCCTCTGGGACCCCCGCCCCTCCCAGGCTCCCCTCTGTGGCCCGGGACAAAGGGCCAGGCCCCCAGATGAAAGGAGCAGAAAGCGGGCATTGTTCCCTGACCTGGGAGCCCGGGGCAGACCCCGCCCTCCGGCCAGCCCTTTGTCCGGGCAGCCGCTTTGCGCTTTGGAGGCCACTGACGGTTGACGTCCCGGGCTCCTGCCCGGGGCTCTGGGCCTCCTGGGGCGGCCACCGCGGGCTCTGGCAATGCCCAGCACACTCGGGCTGCTTCCTGGCCTACAGGACTGGCACGGTATGGGCACAGCCCAGGTGGGCACACGCTGGTGTGCGGACAGGGCTGGCGTGGGCAGAGGACAGAGGCGCTTGGTGTGGGCCCAGCGGGAGGCGACAGAGGAAGGAGGCTGGGACCCAGGTTTGTTTGCTGGGAGGAGAGCAGCATTTCCTGTTTGGACGAGGCCAGGGTGGATGTGTCAGTGAGTCCACACCAGAAGGCCTGCTCAGGAAGGCCGTGCGTGCGTGCGTGTGTGTGTGTGTGTGTGTGTGTGTGTGTGTGTGTAGGAGCACGCATGTCCCAGTCCATGTCCCTGTGAGGTCCATGTGTTCTCTCTCACCTCATCAGCTCCCAGACGGAAGTCTAAACCTGAGCTTCGTTCTCACTTTTGCCCCCAAAGATGTCCCCCCATCGAGAGGCTCAGCCAGAGGGAGGCAGTGTGGCTCAGTGGGTAGCCACCCGTCACCAGCTGTGGGCCTGGGGCCAGCCCCCACACCTGGGGATAATAAGGCGCCCCCCTCCGTCCGCAGTGGCCGAGAGGAAGGAGGGCTGCAGACAATGCCAGCAAAATGCTTAGCGCAGCACCTGGCACCGCCAGAGCTCAGGGCCGGAAGCTGCTGACCGTACTGGCGGCTGTGGTCTGGTCTTGGCAGCAGAAAGGACCGACCCGCAGGGGGGAGGCCCCGCCCACAGGGACAGGCCTGAGACCTCAGGCTTTGGGGGAAGCGGGGGCGGGGGCTCTCCTCCCTGTCTCAGCAAATCCTGAAACCTCAGATGACCAAGACCCGGGCCCCGAGGAGGCATTTCCTGCCCTTCCTTCAGGGAGGAAGGAGGACAGAGAAGAGGCTGCCATCCACCAGGACGGATGCCCAGCAAAGGGGCTCCGGGCTGTGCCCATAGGGAGACCAAAGCCGCCTTCATACTTTCCTCGGAGCGTGGGCTCTGGCGCCAGAGGATCTGAAAAAAGATCCTTTTTTTTTTTTTTTTTTTTTTTTTCAGGCAAGGACATGAGGCTCAGAGCTGGGGAGGGACCTTGCCCCAGGTCACATAGGAATCGCCATCTAGGCCTCTGGGGCGTTGCACCCATGCAGTAACCACCAGGCTACCCCATCACGGGGTGTGACTGGACAAAGTCTCGGCCTCAGCAAGGACAGGATCCCCACTGGTGTCAGATGTTGGCATCGGCTTTGACGGGGAGGGTCCCTTGGTGGAAAAACTCCACAGCGGCCTGCAGCCCCCCGAGTTTGGGGGTGAAGTCACCGGAGCACCTCGAACCTGTTGCAAACAGGCCTGGTGGGTGCCTCCTCATCCCGTGGTGCCCAGCAGTGGCCCCAGGCACCTGGCCGGCCCTCCCAGGCCCTCCCCAGGGCCCCAGGCACCTGGCCGGCCCTCCCAGGCCCTCCCCAGGGCCCCAGGCACCTGGCCGGCCCTCCCAGGCCCTCCCCAGGGCCCCAGGCACCTGGCCGGCAGGATTCTGAGGGGCAGGCCCCCTGGTCACCACCAAGCTGGACAGGGGCTCCCCGGCCGGGGACTGCCCACGGCACGCCAATCCGGGCAGAAGGTGGTTAGACTGTCCTGGAGTTTGGGAGGGTCTGGGCCCCTCTGATGAGAGCTGCGGCCTCTCCTCATACACACACACACACACACACCTGTCATACCTGTGCGCACACATGCGTGCTCACACATGCATACTCTCACATCACAGACACACATCTGCATACACCCTGGGGGTATTCTCAGGCCTCTCCCCAGAGGCTCGCTCACCCACGAACCCCACTCTCAGCCGGTCCTTACCTTGTCACAGACGGGAAAACCGGAGCCCCAGGCCCGCGGTCGGCAAACCGCGGCTCGCGAGCCACATGCGGCTCTTTGGCCCCTTGAGTGTGGCTCTTCCACAAAGCACCACGGCCTGGGCGTCTATGTTGAAGAAGTGGCGTTAGAAGAAGTGGAGTTAGAAGAAGTTTAAGTTTAAAAACGTTGGCTCTCCAAAGAGACGTCAGTCGCTGTCCTGTGGACATTGGGCTCTGCGGACTCATGATTGGCCGGCCGCTGCCCCCAGACCGATGTGTCGTCCACATTCTTTCCTGATCCTGCTGAAGAGCTGACCCCCCTGTGAAGTCAGATCTCCGATCAAAACCTAGCTCTTCCAGCTCCGGGTGGAGGGCTCTGGGCAAATGATGTGTGTCCCCCTGTGCCTCAGTTTCTCCATCTGTACCATGGCGATGAGTGGACACTGACCCTATGGGGGTCAACCCAGGTCTCCTCCTCCCGGGGAGAGTGTGAGTGTCTGGGCCTCAGTTTTCTCCTCTGCAAAATGGGGATGGATGTGCCCGCCTCTCCCAGCGTGGTTTGGAAATCAAACCGAAATATCGATAGGATGTGAAGTGGAGGTTGGAGCCTCGGGAACTGGATCCCTCAACAACAACAACAACAAGTGGAAAGCCCTGGCCATGGCTCAGGGATCAGAGTGTGGGCACCGAAGGGTCTCGGGTTCAATTCCTCCGTCTAGGGCATGCACCTGGGTTGCAGGTTTGACACGGCGCCTGCAAGAGGCAACCAGTCATTAATGTGTCTCTCCCCCCCCTTTTCTTTCTCCCCCTTCACTCTCTCTAAAAATCAATGGGGAAAGTATCCTCGGGTGAGGATGAACAACAACAACAAAAAGAAGAAGAAAGAAGAGGAAAGGGAGAAAGAAGAGGAAAGGGAGAAAGAAAAAGGGGAAGAGGCTCCCGCATCCTTGTTCCAGCCCGGCCCCCCGGGGTCCAGGACGCGCCCGGGGACCGCGGCCAGGACCCAGGCCCCGGCACCCCCGGCCCCGCAGCCTCGCGCGGGCATCTCCGCACCGGACCCGCCCCCGCGGCCCGGCGCCGGCCAGGACCAGGTGGGCACCTGGCGGGGCTCCCGGCGGGCGCGTCCCCCGGGTCCTTCCGGGTTGGCAGCGGCGGCGCAGGGGCGGGGGGCTGAGGAGGGGCCCGCCTCCCTCCCCTCCCTCCTCCCTCCCCTCCTCCTCCTCCCGCCGCCGCGCTGGGACCGGTCCGTCCGGCGGCTGCAGGGCCGCGGCGGGCGGCGCGCAGCATGGGCGGCCCGCGGGCCTGGGCGCTGCTCGGCCTGGCGCTCCTGCTCCCGGGGGGCGGCGCCGCCTGGAGCGTCGAGGGAGCCCCGCTGTCCGGCCGCAGGTACAGGCTGCCCCGCCGCCCTGCGCGCTGCCAGCGCCCGCGGGGTGGGGGCCGGCCCGGGCACCCCCTGCCCCCCACCCCCCTGCAGCCTTCGTGCCCGCCGGCCTGGGGGGAGGGACCTGGTCCCCCACCGCGGTGCCAGCCCCCAGAGCCGGGCCGGGGTGGGGGGGGTGTGTCTGTGTGTGTCTGTGTGTGTGTGTGTGTGTCTGTGTCTGTGTCTGTGTGTGTCTCTGTGTGCGTGTGTGTGTGTGTGTGTCTGTGTCTGTGTCTGTGTGTGTCTCTGTGTGCGTGTGTGTGTCTGTGTGTCTGTGTGTGTCTGTGTGTGTGTGTCTGTGTGTGTGTCTGTGTGTGTCTGTGTGTCTGTGTGTGTCTGTGTGTCTGTGTGTGTCTGTGTGTGTGTCTGTGTGTGTCTGTGTGTCTGTGTGTCTGTGTGTGTGTGTCTGTGTGTCTGTATGTGTGTCTGTGTGTGTGTCTGTGTCTGTGTCTGTGTGTGTGTGTGTCTGTGTCTGTGTGTGTGGGTGTCTGTGTCTCTGTGTGCCTGTGTGTGTGCCTGTGTGTGCCTGTGTGTGTGTGTCTGTGTGTGTGTGTGTCTGTGTCTGTGTGTGTGTGTCTGTGTCTCTGTGTGCCTGTGTGTGTGCCTGTGTGTGCCTGTGTGTGTGTGTCTGTGTGTGTGTGTCTGTGTCTCTGTGTGCCTGTGTGTGTGCCTGTGTGTGCCTGTGTGTGTGCCTGTGTGTGTCTGTGTCTGTGTGTCTGTGTGTGTGTGTCTGTGTGTCTGTGTCTGTGTGTGTGTGTCTGTGTGTGTGTGTCTGTGTGTGTGTCTGTGTGTGTGTCTGTGTCTGTGTGTGTGTCTGTGTGTCTGTGTGTGTCTGTGTGTCTGTGTCTGTGTGTCTGTCTGTCTGTGTGTGTGTCTGTGTCTGTGTGTGTGTCTGTGTGTGTGTGTCTGTGTCTGTGTGTGTCTGTGTGTGTCTGTGTGTGTGTGTCTGTGTCTGTGTGTGTCTGTGTGTCTGTGTGTCTGTGTGTGTGTGTCTGTGTGTGTGTGTGTGTGTGTTGGGGGCTGAGGGAAGGGGCTCTGGGCTGCCCCGCTCCACTATCCAGCAGAGGCACCCAAAGTGCTAGGGTCCCCGACTCCCTGGGTGGGACCGGCAGCCTCCTCCAACCCCCCTTCCCCCCCCCCCATGCCACCCCCGAGCCGCAGAGAAGAGGGAAGGAGAACAACGGGGAGAACACCCCCCAGGACTTCCCTCCCCCTCCTCCCCTTCCCCAGGGAAAGCCCAGGACAGCCCCTCGCTGACCCCCTGGGGGCTCCTCGCTCCGGCTTTTTTAGGGCCTCGCTCCGGCTGTGGCTATTTGTTTCTCCGGAGGAGGAAGACTGGGGGGGGGGCGGTTCAGGGCCCCAGGTCAGCGGGGGCCCCAGGGGCCTGGCATTTGGACCCAGATGGGAGGAAGTACTGCCTTCCTGCCGCTTTGCTCTCCCCAGCGCTGCGGGCATTCTCTCCACGGTGTCCGGTGTCCGTGGGGCATCGTCCAGGGGGGCCTCACAGGCAGCGTCCTCCTCCCTCCTTCAGGGACCGGAGGAAGCGTGGGGGCCTTGTTCCCATTTAGCAGATGAGCAAACGGAGGTCCCAGAACACGAACTCGATCTTCTAGGCTCGCCAGTAACAGGAGAGCCAAGGTTGAAATCGGTGTCTTCCTGGCCCCGAGGACACCGTCTGAACCTGCCTGGCCCCGCTCCTGGCCGCAGCCCTGCCCCTGCTGCTGTCCCCCACCCCCCCCGAAGGAGCCAGCTCAGCCGGCAAAGCAGAGCAGCCAGGCCCGTCAGGCCCTCCCATCGCATTCAGATGCCCGCCCGGCCCCCAACCCCCAGGCCTCACTTTTTAGATTCTTTTCGGAAATTCTCCTTGCCCGGTGGCCAGGGGGGCCAGCATGCCTCCGCCAGGATAGCAAGCACAGGTGAGCGGGGCAGGGCGGAGAGCAGAGGCGGCTGGGGCATCAGAAGCCATAAGAACAGTTTTCTGAGAGAGGGATGGGCAGGGGGCAGCTGGCACAGCCACCACCTTCTGCGGACTGACCACCTGCATCCATCGCTTCCAGAACCTTCCCGGCTGCCTTAGAAGGCACGCGTTTTTGGGGTCCCTGTTTCTTAGGGACTGGGGGGCGGACAGGGGTAAGGGGTGAGCCAGGCCAGCTCTGCACAGCCCCAAGGCACCCTGGTTCTAGTGGGGGCGGTGTGTGTGTCTCAACGTCTCACTGCATTCCTGGGGCTGGGATTGGCCCCTTGGATGCCTTCTTAGAGGGGAAACTGAGGCTCAGAGAGGGGAAGGGACCTGCCTCGCACACCGATGTGAGCCCCAGGGTCCCAGGGGCTGAGATGACTGACTCCGAGCTGGGAGCTCCCGTTGTCGGATGGGGATGATGGTCCAGGGGACCCGAGGCCCAGCCTGCCCTCCCGCCAGGCAGTCCGGGACAAGGTCCTCACCCGCCTCCAGGGTCTGGCTGGGAGCGGAGTGGGGGCGGTGGGTGGGTACCTGGTGGTCCCTGGGGACTGTCACCCTATCTGCGCACAGAAGGCTCCCAGTGGCCTGAGCGTCACAAAAGCCCAGGGGGGCGCTGCTGTCCCTCCGTGATCAGACCGAGGCCTCCAAAGGGGTCGAGGCGCCTCAGTCCGGGCCATCGGTTCCCAGATCCAGGGTCCCTTCGGCCCAGCAGAGGTCGTCTGCTTGCAGCTTTGGGAGAGGCCATGGTGCGGAGTTCGGGGTCCCGGCCCTGGCGCCCCCCGCCCCCTCCACTCGCTGTGTGGCCTCAGGCAGGTCCCCGGGTCTCACTTTTCTTCCGCAACCGGAGGAAGCTTGGGAACCCTCGTTCCCATTTAGCAGATGAGCAAACTGAGGTCCCAGAAAACGAACACGGTCTTCTAGGCTCGCGGGCCATTCATAGGAGGGCTGGGGTTCAAATCCGTGTCTTCCTGGCCCCGGTGACCCTGTTTGAGCCTGCCTGGCCCCTCACCGTCCCCCTCTTTGCTCCCTCGGCCCCTGCTCGCAGGCCTGCTGTCAGGACGGACAGAGGACCCGCTGGGGCCCTGACCTAGAGCGGCTCCTGCTATCCCTAGTGTGTGTGTGTGTGTGTGGGGGGGGACCCCGGCTGGAGGGATCCGGAGTCCTCCCTGCCAGGACTTCCCCGTGTGGCCCCATCCGGGCATCGCTGGAGACGGCGTGGGGATGTCTCGCCCCATCAGCCCTCTCTCCACTCCCAGCCCGGCGCCCCAGGCACCCCTTGGCAGCCGAGGGACAAGAGGCAGAAAAGAGGCTTTGTGTCTGGGGAGGGGGGGCCGGGAAGGCATCCAAGGGGCCGCCCCCAGCCCCAGGAATGCGGTGAGACTCTGAGACACACACACACACACACACACACACACACACACACACACGCACCGCCCCCCTCCCCCCAGAACCAGGGTGCCTTGGGGCTGTGCAGTGCTGGCTTGGCTCACCCCTTACCCCTGTCCGCCCCCCAGCCCCCGCTGGGCCTGCTTCCTGTCTGCCCTCTGAGGTCCCTTCCAGCCTGAACCCGCGTCCGGACTTAGAGCTGTCCCATCCCCAGCCAAGCCTCTGTCCCTGAAGTGCTGGCTTCCTGTGGGCAGGTCCCAGCACAGAGGAGAGCGGAGAAGGCTCTCCCCGCCCTCCTCCAGGGAGCTCACATCCCGGAGATTTCTCTCGGAGCCTCAGGGTCCCCCTCTGTACGATGCCTACCCTGTAGTCAAGGGGAGGACTTGGTGGTGGAGATACTGGGCTGGTGTCCCCATGCCCGGGGAAGGCTCTGGGCCCACGCTGGGGGCTGGGGGCCGGTGCCATAGTCCAGGGACAAGCAGCACCAAGGGCGGTTAGCGCCGTGCTGAGGAGGAGAGGCTGCTGCCCCCATTTGCAGACGGGCAAGGTGAGGCCTGGGGAGGTCCAGGGCCTTGTCCGAGGTCACCGAGCGAGGGATCCGCGGAGCTAGGGCTGGGACTTCGCTTCCAGCATTCGGGGGGTGGGGGGTTCCGGCTCCAGTCACCCCACCCCCGCCTGGTACGTCTCCTCTCTTTCCTCTCCTTTTCATAACCGCCCTTGGCCCCCAGCCCACTTGGCTGCCTCCCGCAATTAGCCCCTATCGCTGTTCCGGATCACAGCCCCGGGGCCCTGCGGAGACTAAGTCCCCTGGGCCCCTCGGCAAGGGGGGGAGGGCTGGGGGCGGAGGGCTGGGGGGTGGAGGGCTGGGGGGCGGGGGGAGGGAGATGGTGGGGACAGCCGGCTCCAGACGGAGCTGGTCTGTCCTGTTTTCTCTCCCCCAGTGGCCTCTGGGGGCCCAGAGGGTGCTGAGCCGGCAGGAGTGGCAGGCCCAAGAGAGAAGGGTGCCCCTCCCATCCCTTCCCCCTGGCCCCGTCCCACAGGTGCTGGCCCGGCCTCCTGAGGTTCTCGGACAGCGTATCCCCCACCACACCCCGGAGAGGAAGCCGGGGGCTCAGGGCGGAGGCAGGGGCTCAGGGGCCGCAGACATCTCTGGGGCCCGGGGTCGCGGGTGGCTCCTCTGTCCAGGGCCACCGCGCTCAGCTGTTCAGCTCACCTCTCCGAGCGCCTCACCTGCACCCGTCCCGGCTGCCGGCCTTTCCCCCAAACCCTCAGGGCTCTGCTGCAGCCCCTGGAGGTGCCAGCTCTGCTGGGGCCCTCAGGCTGAGACCCCAGTGATGACAAGGCGCCTGCGGGAGAGCAGGAGTGTGCGCGGATCTGAGTGTGCACAGGGGAGGGAGGGAGGGCAGGAAGGTCAAAGAGGGGTCGAGGGAGTGAGGAGAGGGGAGAGGGGAGGCGCGGGTGGGACAGAGCAGGCAGGGCTTGCAGGGGGTAGGGACTCAGGCCCGCGCTGCCTGGAAAGTGGCCGGAGGGGCCGGAGGGCGGCGGGGCCAGGCTGGCTGGGACCCTGGAGGGGCGCTCGGGCTCATCCCGGGACAGTGGGGCCGGGAAGGGGTGAGGCATGGGGAGGGGTGACGCCCCCGGAGAGAGGGGATGAAGGACTAACCTTGCCCCCCACCTGGCCCGAGTGTCCCCTTCTCTCTGAAATGTCTGGCTCTCTAGCCACCAGCTCCGTGTCTCCTGAGCAGAGGATGCAAGCAAACTCCAACACGCGGGAGGCAAACAGGGAGCCATGCAGAGCCCACAGAGGGTGGTCTTAAGGGAGGAAGAGAAGGAAAACATTGTCCCCGTAGCTCCCCTCGGGCCATCTTCCCCGGGGACATGTGTGAGGGTGCACAGCCCGCCTCTGCAGGCCTGGACCCCGTGCAGAGAGGACAGTCCTTTCTGTCGGCTTTGCTTCGGTCTGACTGTGAGCTCGAGTGTGTGTGTACGTGGGTCTGTGTGCAGGTGCATGGGAGTTGCATGCACGTACGGGTATGTGAGTGTGTCTGTGTGCATGTGCGTCCGTATGTGTCGTGTGCTCACTGCGTGTGCATACTGATGTGTGTGTCTGAGTTTGCCTGTATGCGTATGCGTACGTGTCTGTCCACTGGCATGTGTTCCTCCCTCTGTGCCCAGGGCCCCCTCCTGTGTCTGGAGCTGCTGTCTCTGCCCTGGGTGCTCCCTCTCTCCCTTCTTCCTTCACTCACAAGGCCCCTGGGCCAGCCTGGGGCACTTCGCTGGCTGCAGGAAGCCCCTGAGCCCCCCTGATCGTGCGCCCCACATTTTGTGCATTTTTCTGGGGTGCACATCATTTTCCCAAAGGGGCTTATGTCCCCCCCCAGAAAAACACAACCCCAACAGTTTTAAACCCACAGCTCCAGGGGCCCAGAAGCTCTCAAGGGTGGCCTTTTGGGAAGGAATCTTTTTAAACGTATAAAGCCCCCCTCCGCTCGTCAGGAAAAACATGTCCAGCACAAGGTCAGGACCACACGCTCTGGAATCCGCCAGACCTGAGTCCCACCCATGACCGTGTCACTCGTGCTGGGCGCCTGGGGCGTGACCCACACCCCAGCGCCTCCGTCTTCCCACCTGCAACGTGGGGCTTACGCTCGGGCGTGAGGGAGGCCCTGGGCCCAGCTCTGGGCACACGGCAAGCCCAGCCGGAGAAAAAGCTCCTCTGTGCTCCCCGAGGTGGCCGTGCGGGGTGAGCCTGTGCACACAAAGCCACACGTGTGCCTCCGCGGGTGCAGCGTAGTCTGCTTTCTCTTCCTCCCTGGGCGCACAGAAATGCCGTCTTGCCCCGGTGGTCTGCGCAGGCGTCGTGGTCTGTCCCCGGAGGCCTTGGGCTCTTCCCCAGCACCCGTGTCCCACGGTCCCGTTCAGGCCCCTCCTGGGTGTGCACTGTGGGGAGCGCCAGTCCCCCCTCCCGGGCGTGACCGGCCCCCGGCTCTGCTGGGCTCCTGCCATCCCTCCCCCTGCTCTCCCGCCCCCATGCTGAGCCGTTCCCTCCTCCTGGACGGATTCCAGTGACACAGAGCGAGCGGCGAGGGGACTTCCCGGGGTGGCAGACTGGCCCTGGCCGAGGCCGCCCCTCCAGGTGGGCCTGGCGGGGGCGGGCGGCGCTGAGGGGGCTGGGTTTCGGGGGCGGCGATGGCCGGGACATTCCCGGCGCTCAGTGGCCCCAGCCCTGCACGGGGTCACGGACTCGGCGCTGTCTGCCGGGGCTGGGAAAGGAGGGGCCGTTTCAGGTGACCCTTCTCAGCCTGAGCCCCCTCGTCCTCCCCCCACACCCCCCACCAGACTTGCCTCTGTGACCCGAAGCCCGGGGCCAGTGGGTTCCCAGGCTGGGCCTGCACAGAGCCGTGGACCGTGGCTCAGGAGACGGACAGGAGACGGGAGCGGAGGCCTCCGGGATGGAGTGAGGGCCACCCTGGGCCATCCAGAGTCCTGGCTTCCAATCCGCTCCCCCAGCCACCGGCTCTGGGGCGTGAGCAGTTTTCCCCTCCCCGGCCTCCAGGGCACCCTCTGTGTAATGGGGGGGGGGGGGGGGGTGCCTTTCTGGATGGATCACCGTGGGAAGAGGAGGTGAATATCCTTAGCATACAGAAGGTGCTCAATCTGTGCAGTGCAGTGTGACGGTGACTTAGTCTCCGGAGAGGTCCGCTCTCCGTGCCTGGGATGTTGTGCCTCCCGCCTGGCACACAGAGGGGCACAGGGGTAAGGGAGTCAGGGCCCCTCCTCCTGTGCCAGGGGGGGAGCTGGCGGAGGTGAGTCACCAGCTCAACTCAGCGTGACAAGCTCCCAGGGGCTGAGAGGCGGGGGCGCGGAACCATACCTTCTGATCCGGTGGGGGTGGGGGTGGGGGTGGGGGTGGGGGTGGAGGTGGAGGTGGGGGTGGAGGTGGGGGTGGAGGTGGAGGTGGGGGTGGGGGTGGGGGTGGAGGTGGGGGTGGAGGTGGGGGTGGGGGTGGAGGTGGGGGTGGGGGTGGAGGTGGAGGTGGAGGTGGGGGTGGAGGTGGAGGTGGAGGTGGGGGTGGGGGTGGGGGTGGAGGTGGGGGTGGAGGTGGGGGTGGGGGTGGAGGTGGGGGGGAGGGTGGGGTGGGGTGGGGGTGGGGTGGAGGTGGGGGTGGGGTGGGGTGGGGGTGGGGGTGGGGTGGGGGTGGGAGTGGGGGTGGGGTGGGGTGGGGGTGGAGAAGGACAGGGGGAGGGTGGCAGCACAGCAGCTGCAGAGGTGAGAGGTGCCCGATGGGGACGTGGAGGGAGGGAGCTCGGGCAGCGGGCCCAGCATGAGCAGAGGCCTGGGGTGCGGGACCTGGGGAGACGTGGGCACGAGAGAGCTGCAGGGCCGAGGGTGGGGGCGGGCCAGCCCAGGTTCCATCTTGTGAAGGAGGAGCAGGGCGGAGGGGCCGCTGCTGTCATCCAGGCGGGAGGCGGGAGGCGGGAGGCGGGAGGCGGGAGGCGGGAGGCGGGCAGCACGGCCTGGAGGGTCCGGGTTGGAGAGAGGAGATGCTGAGAAGGGAGAGGCCCTTCAGAGACGGCTGCTCCACCTTGTCCCCTGACGTCCATTCCCCAAGACCTGCCTCCCGCGAGCCCCCAGCACAGCCACCCCTCTGAGCTGTGGGATCCACGCTCAGCCTCCCCAGCACAGACGCCCGGGGGCCCCGAGGGCGCTGAGAACCGGGGTCTCTCTGCCTGGAGGCTGGGGGTCCTGGCGAGAACCCAGCGCTCCTCGCTCCCCATCCCGGGGTCCGGGCGGGGCGGGGCGGGGCCTGGCTGAGCGGCCCCCCAGCAGCGTCCTCCCTGCGGGTCTGTTTCAGGAACTGGTGCTCCTACGTGGTGACCCGCACCGTCTCCTGCCACGTGCAGAACGGCACGTACCTCCAGCGGGTGCTGCAGGGCTGCCCCTGGCCCATGGGCTGCCCGGGGAGCAGGTGAGGGGGGCGGGGCGGGCGGGGCGCAGCATGGGCGGAGGCCTGGCGGCGGGGGCGCAGTGGGTGCGCAGGGGGAAGGCCGGGACCCCAGGGCGGGTGGAGCAGAGGGAGCGCCGGCCCTAGGCCTGTTCCTGGGGGGCACCCTGGAGGGCTTCCTGGAGGAGGGGGTCCCACCATTCACCCCCACGCCTCCCCTCGGGGAGCGTTCGCTGCTAGGGACCAGCGGCTCCACTTGCAGGGCCTGCCTGTCCCGTTGGCATCCGGCTCCCCAAGGCTGGAAGGCTGAGGAGGAATAGAAGGGCTGAATCCTAGAATGCAGGAGAGAGGCTCCCACGGGGTCTTGGGGAGGGGTTGGGGAGGGGAACAGAAGGCCCCGGGGGCTCTGCGGACGGCCCGCAGGCGGCGGGAGAGACGGCAGCGGGCCCCGTCGGCATTCTCGCAGCTACAGGACCGTGGTGAGGCCCACGTACAAGGTCGTGTACAAGACGGTGACCGCCCGCGAGTGGAGGTGCTGCCCCGGGTACGCGGGGGCCGGCTGCGAGGAAGGTAGGGTGCCCCCGCCCGTGTTCGGGAGGGTGCTCGGGCGGGAGCAGGCAGCTGTCGCTCGGCTGCAGACACGGCCGTGCCCAGTGCCACGCACGCTGAGGTCCCCGGCAGAGCTGGTGCCCACTGTCCCAGGGTTGACCGCCTGCCCCGTGGGAGACTCTGGGGAAATGTGATGCACGCTGTGCAGGCACCCCCCTCCCCCCCAGCCTTTCTCCCAGACCTGTCCGCGGGCTGTGGGAGCCGGTCACGGAAGCAAAGGGCCACTTAGGTGGGAGGGTCAGCAAGGTCGGGACGCTCATACCCATCCTGCTGGAGGAAGAGGGGAGGGCGGGAGGGCGGGACCCGGGGGCCAGGGGAGCTGGAGGTGGGGAGGGGCAGATCCCCAGGGCGTGGGGGCCCCCTGGGCCTGAGCTATGGCAGGGCCTACCCAGACCAAGGCCGTCCTGTCCCTGCTGCCCTCTCCGGGGCAGACCTTCGCGGGGCTGTGGGTCCACCATGGAGGGCAGCGTCCCCACCCTAGAGCCCAGCAGCTGGAGGCCGTGCATCCAGGCACCAGGCTGAGGGCTGGGAGCTCTGCCACTCGTGCGGCAGGGGGACAAGACGGGATGGGCCAGGCCAGCCCCGGCAGCTGCCAGCTCCCTCTGCAGGGCCTGCGGGGCCCAGCCCGGGGCCGGGGTTAGTCCAGGCTTGGTGGGCCAGGCCAGCACCACCGCACACCAGCTGCGTGGCCTGGGGCCGGGGACTCCCTGTTCTTGTGCAAGCGGTTGTGCAAGGGCCGCGCGGGGTGGGGGGGGGGGGGGGGGCGCGCGGGGCTGCCGTGCAGCGGCACCGTCTCCGGCCTCTCCGAGGGCACCAGGCTGCTCTTGCAGCCTCAGGGTCTTCCCTGGGACCCCGTCAGGGGACGGCAGGACGGCACGATGGAGCAGGGAGAACCCTGCAGAGGGTGCAGGGCCCTGGTGGGCCCTCGTGATGGCTGATGGGGTGGGAGGGTGGGGGCTGGGGAAAGGGATTTCTGGAAAGCCGCTCTCTGCGGGGGGCCCTGGGAGCGGGAGGGAGGGAGCCGCTGGGGGCACGGCTGGCCCATCCCGGCCCTCCCTTCCTCTGACAGCCGCTCCGGGCGGGCTTCCCGGCCGCTTCCCCTGACGGTGCCTGCCCGCCCGCCCGCCCGCCCGGCCGTCTGTGCGGCGCTGGGCCATGACCTCGGGGCCAGGGAACTGCGTCACAGGGCGGCAGGGCAGGCTTCCCCGTCTGCAAAGAGGGGGTGAGACAGGCGCCCACTCACGGGCTCGGAAGATAACGAGTTCAGACCAGCCCCGGGACGCGCCTCCAACGTGCCAGGCCCAGCGTGCCCGCTGCCCCCGTGTGCGCTGCTGCGGCCGGTGCCTCCCTGGTGGGACTGAGCCGGGCTACAGGACACACCGAGCGCCGGCCGTGGCACGCCCCTGCTGCCCGCTGAGCCTCCATCCCTGCCACCCACGTTCCTCCGAACTGGGTGAGGCTTACCCCCAGGTCACAGGCCCCTGGGGAGGGGGTGCTGGCGGTGCAGGCCCAGCCTGAGCGCGGGCCCGCGGTGGGACCGGGCGGGGTCTGGCCGGAGGGACCCGTCTGGTTTGAGTTCCTGGCGCCTCTCGCTCCCTGCACCAGCCCACAGCCCCGCTCTGAGCTGCCAGGGCTGCGCCTTATTTGGATCTTGTCTCCCCCGCCCCAGACAACAGCCCCAGACAACACTCGGTGGCCTTAAAAGGCAGGCCCGGGGGGGGGGGGGGGCAGCGGGGAGCAGTTGCCCTGCTGGCTCCAGAGCCCCTCCCTGCCCGCCCGCCCCCGGCTTGGCCAGCCCAGCCCTCCGGCCGGCCGTGGAGGAAAGCAGGCCCCCCAGAACCAGACCCGCCAGGCCGCCTGCTCCGGGGGGAGGGGGTGGTGACAGGGGTGGGCCCTGGGAACAGGCCTCCCGTGCCCTCCCAGGCGGCCGCCTCCCTCTGTTTTTCATTTAGAACCAGGTCTGGGTTGCCTGTCGCGTCGTCTCACCGAGCGGGGCTGGGAGAGGGTGGACAGCCACGTCGCCACTGCCGGTCACCGATGTGCCGGCCCTTAGCCGGGGAGACAGAGTGGCCTGATGGCCCCATTTCACAGATGGGAAAGTGGTTCCAGAGAGAACAAGTCACACAGGTCTGCAGTGACAGGGCTGGGGCCCAGCCTTGCAGCTGTTACTGCTCAGCTTTTTTTTTTTTTTTTTTTTTAATATATTTTATTGATTTTTTACAGAGAGGAAGGGAGAGGGATAGAGAGCTAGAAAACATCGATGAGAGAGAAACATCCACCAGCTGCCTCCTGCACACCCCCCACTGGGGATGTTCCCACAACCAAGGTACATGCCCTTGACCGGAATCAAACCTGGAACCCTTCAGACCACAGGCCGACACTCTAACCACTGAGCAACACCGGTCAGGGCCCTCTCACCTTTTAACACATGCAGCTCGTTGGGGTGATTGCGGAGCACCCACGGCCCCTACCCAGCGCCAGCCCCCTCGCCCCAGCCCCACCAGGCTGGCAGCCTTGTTCATGCCTGTGACCGGGTGTCGGCCGCCCCCCTTCCTGGGCCTCCGTCCCCCGCCGCACTGAGGGGAGCAGAGGTCCCTGCTGGGCTCGGGGCAGGGGGCGGGGCTCTGGCCTGACCAGGAGGGCCAGGCCTGCAGGGCTCTCACCCCGCCGCCCCCCAGTTGCAGGCTCCTCCGGCTTCGTGGAGCCCAGATGGCCCGGCAACGCCATGCGGCGGGCGGTGCTCCGGCCCTCAGCCTTCTCAGGTGGGTCCTGGGCAGCTGCGTGGGGGGCCCTGGGCTGGGGGAGGACTGGGGGGGCGGTGTGCTGACTGCCCGGAAAGCCATCTCGGCCCAGCTGTGCGGGGCCAGGAGAGTGCCCTGCCCCTGCCTGCCCCAGGCTGCCCCTGCCCCTGCCTGCCCCAGGCTGCCCCTGCCTGCCCCTGCCTGCCCCTGCCTGCCCCAGGCTGCCCCTGCCTGCCCCAGGCTGCCCCTGCCCCTGCCTGCCCCAGGCTGCCCCTGCCTGCCCCTGCCTGCCCCAGGCTGCCCCTGCCTGCCCCAGGCTGCCCCTGCCCCTGCCTGCCCCAGGCTGCCCCTGCCCCTGCCTGCCCCAGGCTGCCCCTGCCTGCCCCAGGCTGCCCCTGCCTGCCCCAGCCTGCCCCAGGCTGCCCCTGTCTGCCCCAGGCTGCAAAGAAAACCGAGGGGGAGAGGAAGGGCTCCCGAGGAGATCTGACCTGGGCCCAGCCACCCCAAGACCGTGACCCCCAGACTCCTGCAGAGACAGGTCCATGCCCCTAGTTTGCTCTTTTCATAGCCATATAAACTTTTTTAAAAATATTTTTTATTGATTTTTTACGGAGAGGAAGGGAGAGAGCTAGAGAGCTAGAAACGTCGATGAGAGAGAAACATTGACCAGCTGCCTCCTGCACACCCCCTACTGGGGATGTGCCTGCAACCAAGGTACATGCCCTTGACCGGAATCGAACCTGGGACCTTTCAGTCCGCAGGCCGACGCTCTATCCACTGAGCCAAACCGGTTTCAGCACCATATAAACTTTTTATTGATTTCCGAGAGGAAGGGAGAGGGAGAAAGCGATAGAAACATCGATGATGAGAGAGAACAGGTGATCAGCTGCCTCCTGCACGCCCCACACTGGGGATCCAGCTCGCAACCCAGGCCTGGGCCCTGACCGGGAATCGAACCGTGACCTCCTGGTTCACAGCGACGCCCAACCACTGAGCCTGCCGCCGCCGCCGGCTCCTCTCTCTGTTTGAACTGAGCTGAGCGTCTGCACTGTGAGAGGCACCGTGCCAGGTGCTTTCCACGGCAACCTGTTTAAACCTCGGGGTCCCTGCTGAAACCAGTGTGGCTCAGTGGATAGAGGGTAGGCCTGCGGACTGTGAGGTCCCAGGTTTGATTCCGGTCAAGGGCAGGTACCTTGGTTGCGGGCACATCCCCTGTGGGCGTGCAGAAGGCAGGTGGTCGATGTTTCTCTCTCATCGATGTTTCTAACTTTTTATCCCTCTCCTTTCCTCTCTATAAAAAAATCAATAAAACATATTAAAAATAATAATAATAAAAATAAATAAATAAATAAATAAACCTCAGGGTCCCTGTTCCCCTCTTAGGAGGAGGAGGCCAAGGGTCAGAGAGAGGGCGTGGTCCTGCCATAGGTCCCACTAACGGGAGGGGCAGCGCTGACCTTAGGCTCCGGGCCTGCTCCCCGCCCGTCCTCCCCTGCTCTGAGCTCAGTGCCCTCAGGGGCGAATGAGCTGACATTTGTCCTAAAGCACAGATGGCGGTGAGGATGGGAGAGGCGGGCTCGCTGAGCTCCCCACAGGGCCCGGCCACCCGGAGGCTCAGGGACCAGGCGGAACTGGCGCGCACAGCGAAGGGGTGTGGCCGGGAGGCCGCAGGCGCCGGATGGTGGTTCCAGAGGGAGAGTCCGGGGGTGGCACCTCTGAGGCCAGCCCATCGCAGACTCTAATGTGTCATCCGTCCCCAACGCCAGCAGGCCCTGGCAGCCCCGCCCACGGGGGGGGAAGCCGCAGGATTTCCTGTCCCCGCTTCCGGGAAAGCAGTCCCTTTGGATGCCAAGGCTGCAGGGGTTGGCTCCCTGGCCCTGCTCTGGGAGAAGCCTGCAGGGCATGGTCCCCCGTCCCCCCCCCCCCCCGACAGGCCATTCCTGCAGCGTCTCCCCTGGCTGGGCTGGGCTGGGCTGGGCTGCCTCCTGGGCGGGGGTCCTCAGGGTCCATTCGCTCCCTCCGTCCTGCCTCCAGGTTGTGTCAACTGCAGCAAAGTGTCGGACCTGGCCGAGCGGCTGAAGGTGCTGGAGGCCAAGGTGGGTGAGCAGCTGTCCCCTGGGCCCTGGCCTCCCCACCCCCTCTCTGCACCCCCCCCCCCCCCCCCCCCTGCTCACAGCATCCATGGGCAGGCAGCTTCCCTGCCGCCCGCCCCCCCGCCCCCTCCCCAACCTTCCCGTCTGGCCCCGCCGGCTTTCTGGGCCTCTCCCGCCGTGCCCCTGCCCGGGAAGCCAGCTCCTCCTCCAGGAGTCCCCCACACGATTGGACGATTAGAAAGTAAGACCCTCCGGTTCTCAGAAACATAAAACACTCAGAACCATAGCAAACCTGCCCACAAACCGGAGGGAGAGGCCCTCACATGTAAGCATCTTTCCCCCATCGTGCGGAGGCATACACGCTGCCCTCACCTCTCCCCTCTGTCACTCCTGCCTCTGGGAACTGATCTTAAGGAGACCAGATGTGACGATGTTTACCAACGTGCTGACTGTCCACCTAGGAAATCTGAAAACCCGAGAGCAGAAGGGGTGGGTGGCATCATTAGGGAGCAAGGCGCCATGGAATATTGGGCAGCCCTGAACGCGTCCTCCTTTTTTTAGATATATATTTCTAATTGGTTTCAGAGAAGAAGGGGGGCGAGAAAGAAAGAGAGAGAGAGAGAGAGAGAGAGAGACAGACATCAATGATGAGAGTCATTGATTGGCTGCCTCCTGCATGCCCCACCCTGCAGCCCATTGGCTGGCCTGTCCCTGGTGAGGCCCTGGTACCTGCCCCATCCATCTCTCTCCCTCTTCCTCTTCCTCTCCCTCTTTCTCCACAGGTGGCCGTGCTGACTGTTACCCAGCAGGCGGCGCCCCCCACCCCAGCTGCCCCCGAGGACCTCGCCCCTCTCTGGGGCTCCCCAGCCGCCCAGGGCAGCCCTGGGGACGGAGACCTCCGAGGTGAGTGGGTCGGTGGGGAGCACCCTCCCTCGTGGGAATGAGAATCCCGTTTCTACTCCGCTGCCGGCTCCCAGCTCCACCCCCTTGTGGGCTGGGGTCTTCCCTGATCTCTGGGGTCCTGGGAGGCCCACAGACCCTGCCCCACCTCCTCTGGTGGCAGGGACCCTGGATGACACAGACCCTCCCCCCGCCCCAGCTCCAGGGCTGCCGGGAGCCAGAGACGCCCCGAGGGCCCCACTGCTCCCCAGAGACGGTAGGTGCCGGCTTGAGGCCGGAGGCCGGGGGCGGGCAGGGGCGAGGCCAGAGCTGATGGGATTTCTCCCCCAGACCGAGTCGGTGCCCGGGGACTTCCCGGGCCCGTTGGCCCCAAGGGAGACACTGGCAGCCGGGGCCCGACAGGAATGAGAGGCCCCCCAGGTGAGTGTCCACGGCACTGCCCCCGCCCCCCCAGCTTTCCTGGCCAGCCCCAGCAGGCTCTGAGCTGGGCCCTGGGGTGGGCTCCGGGGGGCCCCTGCCTCCTGCATGCCCTCCCATACCCCCTGATTCCATTGCAGGTCCACAGGGCCCCCCAGGGAGCCCTGGCCAGGACGGAGCCGTGGGCACCCCTGGAGAAAGGGGACCTCCAGGCCCCCCTGGGCCCCCCGGCCCCCCAGCCCCTGTTGGACCACCCCACGCCCGGATCTCAGAGCATGGTGAGTCCCCCGGAGTCACAGCATGTCTGGGGGGGGGGGGGCAGTGAGGCTGGCATAAAGCGTCACCACAGTGTCACTGCTGTCTACCAGGCCCCTGTAGAGCTTGCTCTCGGTCAGCCACAGGTCACCCCGTCCTAGGACAGGCGCTGTTGTCCCTCTCTGCTCGCTGACTGGGGAAACTGAGGGCCGGAGAGGGGAAGCCACCCAGCCAGGGCCTGGGACGGGCCTCGCACCCAGGCGGCCTCCGAGCCTGCGCCTGGAGCCACCTGGCATCAGGCCCTCCCGCCAAGCCTCAGAGCTGGCCAGGAGCCAGCTGGCCTTCGAGCACACGGAAGGCCGAGGCCCGGCAGCAGGAAGCGGGCCCTGAGCTCCCAAGGCCGCAGCCCTGCCCTGTGCTCAGAGGAGCCCTGGCCGCTCCAGCCAGCCACACCCCGACCTCCGTCCGTCATCCCGCCCCGGCCCAGCCTGCATGTGTGACGCCGGAGGTCAGAGCCCGGAGTGCCGGGTCCAACCCCGTCCGCGTCGTACTGGTGCCCCATCCCCTCGTCCTCCCTCTCCCAGCCTCAGTTTCCTCATCTGTACGATGGGAATAATGACAGCGCCAACCTCCCAGCGCTCGGCGGCACCCGCGCTCAGAAGCCTGGCTCCACATGGGTGGCCCAATAAATGGCAGCGTCTATTATCTTCCCGCTGGGCACGTGGCAGTACGGGCCCAGCAAGGAGGAGAGTCTCGCTGGATGTCACCAGCCAGACCAGGGGTCGGCAAACTCATTCGTCCACAGAGCCAAATGTCAACAGTACGACGATTGAAATTTCTTTTTTTCTACGTCTGCGCATGGGCCACGAAGTTTCAATGGCACTGTCCAAGCCAGCCCGCGTGTGGTATTTCTTTTCCATATTTTATTAATTTTTTACAGAGAGGAAGAGAGAGGGGTGGAGAGTTAGAAACATCGATGAGAGAAAAATATCCATGGGCTGCCTCCTGCACACCCCCTAATGGGGACGTGCCCGCAAACCAAGGTACATGCCCTTGACGGGAATCGAACCTGAGACCCTTCAGTCCGCAGGCCGATGCTCTATCCACTGAGCCAAACTGGTCAGGGCCCACGCGTAGTATTTTGTGGAAGAGCCACACTCAAGGGGCCAAAGAGCCGCATGTGGCTCGTGAGCCGCAATTTGCCGACCACCGAGCTGCACTGTGGCAGGGATAGAACCCAGATCTCTCTGCCTTCTGGGCCAACACTCTCCCCCATCCCCCCTCCTCCTCTTCCCTCCTGCAGGGGACCCGTTCCTGTCTAACACCTTCACTGAGACCAGCAGCCACTGGCCCCAGGGACCAGCTGGGCCCCCCGGGCCCCCGGGGCCTATTGGTAAGTTGAGCCCAGGTCTGGGGTTCGGGGTGGGGTTGAGGGGTGGCAGGGGGACCAGCGCTGGGGCTGTCGGGAGGGAGTTGATGGTAGACTTCCTGCCATTGTGCTCTGCGTTGGTCCTGAGGATATCCTGCCTTTTTGTTTTTTAATTGCACTTATTGGGGTGACATGGCTTTATAAGATTATAGAGGGTTCAGGTGTCAGGGTGTCATACGTCATCTGCCTATCGTATCATGTGCTCACCGCCCAAAGGCCAGTCTCCAGGATAATCCTGTCTTATTCCAGGTCCCCCGGGACCTCCTGGTCCCATGGGCATCCCTGGGGGCCCTGGGCACTCGGTGAGTATTTCTCCTCATTCTCTCACTCGTCTTCCCACCTGTCCGCTCACCCATCCATCCTCTCATCCCTTCATCCGAGCATGTATGGGGCATGGGACAGACACACTCCTTTTCCTAAAGCTGCTCGTTCAATCCATGTAACAAGAAGTACTGCTGCCGAAACCGGTGTGGCTCAGTGGATAGAGCGTCGGCCTGCGGACTGAAAGGTCCCAGGTTCGATTCCGGTCAAGGGCATGTCCCTTGGTTGCGGGCACATCCCCAGTAGGGGGTGTGCAAGAGGCAGCTGATCGATGATTCTCTCTCATCGATGTTTCTAACTCTCTATCCCTCTCTCTTCCTCTCTGTAAAAAATCAATAAAATGTATTTTTAAAAAATAAAAAAAAGAAGAAGAAGAAGAAGTACTGCTGTTAGCACCTAAGGCCAAGAGAGGCTGCGGGAACTTGCCCTAGGGCTGTGGCCAGCACATGGCGACCTCCAGGCCAAGGTGGGGCCTGTCTGGCTCCAGGGCCAGCGTTGTGGACACTGAGCTGTCTGCACGTCCCTCTGTGTGCATAGCCCCGGGGCCCAGGCCAAGCTGGAGCTCTCCCCCCCCCACCCCTCTGCCCCCCCAAGACCCCGCCCGCTCTACCCTGCCCCAGCTCAAGGCTGAAGTCCTGTCTTATTGCTCAGGGACCCCCGGGCCCCACTGGACCCCAAGGAATCTCTGGCCACCCGGGAGAAAAGGGTGAGAGAGTGAGTACTGAATTGGCCCCAGATGCAGGGTTCTGGGGAGGTGTGGCCGGGGGGGGGCCCTCTGGGTCAGACACCCCAACAGCTGACTCCACTCCTCTCCTCCCTCCCACACAGGGACTGCGTGGAGAGCCAGGCCCGCAGGGCTCCATGGGACAGCGGGTGAGTGATGCTGCCCACCCTGCAGCGCCCCCTTCAGGATCCTGTAAGCACAGGCCCCTGCTCTGGCTGCAGCCCCTGTGGCCAGAGCCCCTGACCCTCCTCCCTGTCTGGTCCAGGAGGTGCTCCATCTCCTTCCTCCCCGTCTCAGGCTCGTCCGCCTCCTAAGGTCCGCCACCTCCGGCTCACAGGCTCTGTACCTGTTTCTCTTGGGGTGTGTGTGTGTGTGTGTGTCTTCCACTCCCTGTGTTTCTCTATCCCTCCTGCTATAACGGTAGGTTCGTCTGTTTCTCCCTTCAGTTTGGTCCTGGATTTCTAAGCTTTGTTGTTAGCTGTATACACATCCAGTATTCTGTTGCCTTCTTGGCCCTTTTATCTTTACACGATAATTATCTTTCTTCCTTTGTCTTGCATTCTATTTTATGTCGTGTTTTATGGTATATATTAGAGGCCCAGTGCACGAAATTCATGCACGGGGGTGGGGGTGGGGAGGGCTGTCCCTCAGCCCAGCCTGCACCCTCTCCAATCTGGGACCCCTCGAGGGATGTCCGACCTGCCCATTCCTGACCGAGTGTTAAGGCCTCCAACTGCAATAGCGGGCTGATCTGGGGCTCCCTGCAGGCCAATCGCTCTTGACCTCTGACTCCTCAGGCCAGTAAAACGAACGCTTTCTGCTTGAGGTGTTTGGGGGACTGAGGGTACACCCTCAGGGAAAAGCTATGCATATTTGGATGTCACCCAGGGCCGTTTCCTTCTGTCAAAGGCCAACTGTCCTCCAGCTTCTGGCTGCTCTTTCTCACTCTCCTTTGCCTTCAAACAGTTGTTCTTTGCATTTTATCTTGTGTCCGTCCAATGCGAGCTACTCTCTATCTCTGCCTCTCTCTGTCTCCCTCAATAGGTCTCTCTCTCCCCCTTCTTTCCTTCTCCCCTCCCTCCCTTCCTCTCTCATTGCTTCTACCTCTGTGTTTGCTTGTTTTTCCTTTTCTTCCTTCCTTCCTTTCTTTTTTTTTTTTGTTTGTTTGTTTGTTTGTTTTGTTAATCCTCACCTGAGGATATTTTTCCATTGATTTTTAGAGCAAATGGAAGGGAGAGGGAGAGACCGAGAGAAACATTGATGTGAGAGAGACACATCGATGGGTTGCCTCCTGCACACATCCCCACCAGGGCTGGGGAATCTGCAACCCGGGTACCTGCCCTTGACTGGAATCGAACCTGGGAGACCCTTCAGTCCGAGGGCTGACGCTCTATCCACTGAGCCACACCAGCTCGGGTGCTTCTACCTCTGTTTCTCCTTGCAGGGAGAACCTGGCCCCAAAGGAGACCCCGGTGAGAAGAGCCATTGGGTAAGCTCAGGGCTCGCACGGCTGCCCCGCCTGCCCTGGACACTCAGGAGATTATTTTGGGGTGGGGGCACCCCAGCCACATCCTGGTCTCTCCCAGGGAGGAGCCTTGACCGCTCTCAGGCCTACCCCCCTCCCTTCTCCCGTTCCTCCTGACGTCATCAGGAGACCCCACGCTCCCTGTCTCTGCCTTCACGTCCCTGCCTCCGCCTTCCCACCTCGGCCTTCCCAGGCCCGGGCGTCCCTGCCTGTCCTCCGGGCAGTGGGGGCTGGCCCAGTCCAGACTGCATCCCTCCCCCGCCTGCCTCCACGGCCCCCCCCGAGCGGGGGCTCGGCGTCTGCTCCCCTGTCCCCAGGAGAAGGGAAGCGTGAGGAACGGGACGGGGACCCTATGTGGGCTGGGAATGCTGAGGTACCCAGGAGCCCTCGGTGAGCGGCACAGGGCACCCAGACACCGTCACACATGGAGGAAACGCACGGAGCACGGAAGAGAGGCCTAGGAACTGTCCGATGTAGATGGCACATGAGCTCAGGGGGCCTAGACTCCACCGTGCCCAAACGCCCTGTAGTTCCCATCACACACACAGGGCCCGGGAGGAACGGGGGGACACCTAGAAATGGTCAGGAAGCGAGACGAGGGGCCTCGGAGGCACCCCGCACAGAGGCGGCCAGTGAAGGGTGGGGAGGGGGGCCTAGATTCTGTCCCGTACACAGGAGGCAGAATTAGAGAGAAAGGGCGCCTAGGAACCACAGGTGGGGTCCCAGAAGCCTTCACGCTCACCGGAGACAGCTGCCGAGAATGGATCTCAGGGCCCAGAGTCCACCTGCCCGAGAGACACACCGGGAGAGGCCCAGAAGCCCCTGAAGGCAGGGACCTGGACACGGCCGCCCACATAGCTGACGGTGGAGAGTGGACAGGATGGGGCAGACGCCCCTATAGGCAGACCCCTGGGAAGCCCCTTGGGAGGCTGATCGGGCGCCTCCCTCTCCCACCCCCATCCCCGGTGCAGTCTGGCTGGGGGGGTCCTGCTTCCTGGCGGGCACTAGCCGGCGAGGACACGGGGAGCCCCCGGCGCCCGCCTCGCCCTCTCTGCTCCTGGTCGTGGGGTCAGCGACGGATACAGCCGTGGGAGTCCCCCGCCCCGCACGAGTCCAACCCGTGTCTCCCCACGACTCCTGGGGTCCTGCTACCTTTCCGGCAAGCCTCTCCCAGCGCCTCACGGCCGCCCCACCTCTCCCCCCCCAACCCCACCCCCGGGGGCTCCAGAGCCTCTCAAGCACACTCCACAGGGGCACGAGCTGGGCCGGGGGTCCCGGTGAGGCCAGCTCTCCGCCTCCCCTCGGCCCCTTCGCCGGCCCCTCCCAGCTCACTTTCCACCCAGCCCAGGGAAGGTGGGAGAGCGAGGTGAAGTCTGAACTGGGCTCAGCAGCCTGGTCCCTGCATGGGGATCCAGCAGGAGGACAGATGCCTGAACTATAATATCTCAGATCAGGCCTCAAACTATCCCAGACCAGTACCCCCTGTGGGAGGGGCCCCACGAGGTAGCAGGGCCCCTGCCCACCCACCTGCTTCTCCCTCCTCCTCCCCTCCCCCTCCCTCTCCTCCTCCTGCACTTCTGCTCCTGCTTGCTGCCTGCCTGGGAGGGGGCCTGCTGGGCCGGGGGCTGCATGAGGCTTGGAGGCTGGGGGAGCTGTTCTGTTGGGAGCAGGTGGGAGTGAGGTCCAGTGCGGGGAAGGGCCCCGGGGACTCACTCCTATACACACCCTCTTCCAACCCCGCTTGGGAGCCCCTGGCCCCGCTGTGGCTCAGCAGTGACACCCAGTGGCCATATGCACGCACTGCAGGCGCTGCTAGGGAGTGACAGGTGAGCCAGCTGAGCTAGGACAAAGCTCATATCCCGTATTTAGACCGGAAAAACCGAGGCCCAACCCCGAAGAGCAGATGGTTGGCAAAGCTGGAACCGAAGCCCAGGCTTTTCAGCTCCCAGGACTGGGGGGACCAGCTAACATCCCCTCTCCCCCCCCCCCCCCCAAGCACCTCCTCGGTGGGCCCCAGGTCCCAGGCCATAGATGCAATTTGGACACTTGGCCCCACCCTAACGGTCTGGACTAGGGAAGGAAGAAAGGAGCGTGAGTTTGGGCCCTGTGCTATGGAAGGAAAGGACAGACAGATGGGTAGTGAGTGAGAGGGAGTGCCAGCTGGTGGTCTCTGTCAAGACCCTGGGCAGCAGCTGGCATGGCTTGGGAGTAGGGAGCCCCCAGGTGAGGGAGGCCTGGGAGTGGGCGGGGCTGAGGGCTGGGCTCCTGGGCCTGCAGAATACGGGCTTGTAGCAGCGGGACCCTGGGCGGGATGAGCTCACATGAGAAGGAACTAGGGAGAGGGCACCAGGGCCAGCCCCTCAGTGTGGCCAGCATTTCAAACACAGCTTCCCAATGGCAGTGCCACCCAAACATGTTCTCATGTGACTGGTACATATTCATTTTGAATGGAAAGAATATCGGTAAGTAGCCTGACCCCACTGATGGACACAGACCAAAAGTGTGCGCGCTTAAAGAACATTAGGGACGGGGCCAGGGGGCACTTCCTCTGGCAGGTTCCATGGCACCCCTTGCCCGGGAGGCAGCATGACTCACCGAGGGGCTGCTTCTGCCTGCTCTGCCCCCTCCCGTCCTCTCCCGGCCTCGTCCCTGTTGCCCGGGGGCCCTGGGCTGCGGCGGGTAAGCAGGCTGCGGGTGCATGGCCGGGGCGGGGCATGGGCCACCGGCAGGCTCCCCAGGGCCCCCTCCCCCGCCCCCTTCACGGCTGCATCTGTCTCTTTCCTCCGCAGGGGGAGGGGTTGCACCAACTACGCGAGGCTTTGAAGATTTTAGCTGAGAGGGTTTTAATCTTGGAAACAATGATTGGGCTCTATGGTGAGTAGAGACAGACAGACGGACAGACGGCCCGGCCCCCACCCGCCAGCCTTTGCCCAGGCCCTCCAGGGTGGAGCCGCCTGGGCCCAGTCACGAGGCCAGAGAGACTAAGACCCCCTGCCCCTCCATGACTGGTCCCTCCTGCCCGGGGGAACCTGGGCCTCAGGCATTGTGGGTAACGTGGCCACCAGGCCCGCACGGGACACCCGTGGCGACAGATGGCGAGTTTGGAAGAAATGCGCGATGAAGCCGAACTCCAGACCAGCAGGGAGGGGACTGGGGGTTACACAGCCAGACTGCAACAGTGCAGGGGATTGTGGGAAATGAAGTCAGAGCCCAGGCTGCCTGCAGGAGGATTATGGGTAATGGATCCAGACTTCAGTCAGGCCTCCGCTCTAGAGGAAGCACGGGTACCAGAGCCGGTCTCCAGGCCCACAGGGACCATAGGTTATGGGGCTGGACTCCAGAAATGCAGGGGACTGCTCAGGCCCCAGGGGCCTCTGGGTAATATCCTACCCACCAATTCCGATCCTCCCTCACCCATAAGCCCCCAGAGGCTCTGCCGGCAGGTCTTCCTGGCCTCAGATTTCCCCGGGACGGCTTCCGTTTCCCTCGGGTCCTCCTAACCTCCCCTGAGTGTCCCCTTAAGGGCCTGCCAGGCCCTCATCCCAGCCCGGGAGCTCACCCACCAGTGCTCCGCCCATCATCCATCCGGTCACGTGAGGAGCCAGGCTAGCCCTGCCCCACTCAGGGACTCCCACCCGGGCTCCTGCCCTGAAGCCAGCGGGTGCCTGGCCCACACACCCCCTTGGCCGCCCGGCCCCGCCCTCGGAGGCCGGACTCGCACCGTCTGCTCTTCTCGATCTCCCATCAGGCTCCTAGCTTACAGAGCTTCCTGCAGCAGCAGGCTCAGCTGGAGCTCCTGGCCAGACGGGTCACCCTGCTGGAAGCCATCATCTGGCCAGGTAACGGCAGGGCGGGCAGGCAGGGGCGGCCCCTTCCAGGAAGGGCCTGGGAAGGGCCTGGGCTCACAGAAGGCAACTCCCAGTGCTGGACCCAGGCCCGCGGACCTTGAGTCCTTCCACCCAGCTGGCAGACAGCGCCCGGCAGAGAGGCTAGGGCCACTAGCTCCTGAGTGAGCACCTCCCCTGTGCCCGGCTTCTAGCTCGGCACAGGCTCCAACGGATAAGACGGACGTAGTCTTGGTCTCATGGAGCTCAGGCTGCGGGGCTGCAGGGGGAGCCTGGGCCTGGCCATCAAACCCAGGCTGAGGAATTCCAGCTGGGGAGTGAGTCCCGGCAGCTGTGAGAGGCTGGGCTGGGGGTCAGGGTAGGGGGTGGGGGAGGCGGAAGGTGTCTCAGGGAGGGCTCCCTGGAGGAGGTACCGGCTACGTGGAACCCTGAAGGGCCAAGGTCAAGGGCGAGTGAACAGGCAGAGGAATAACATGGGCAAAAGCCAAGAAGCCAGAGAGCCTAAAGGCGCTGTTCCGTGAGGTTGCGGAGGGCTGAGTCGCCCAATTTGAGAAGGTCCCTGAAGGCAGGTGGGCAGCCCCACAGGGAGGTTAGACACCACGTGGTTTGTCAGGCTCCCCATTGTAGTGCGGTCCGCGCTGGCCCTGGAGAGACACGGATTGGCTACCCTCAGGGCTAAACCCCGCTCCTCCCCTGCCTGCTAAGAGGCCCCATCCCACCACCCAGTCCCAGCTCGTCCCTGCCCACAGGGTCTCAGCATCGTGCCCCACTCCCCTCTATGTTACAAGTAGGGGAGTGGAGCCTCCCGCCCCCAGCCAGGGTGGGCCAAGGCCCGGGCTAAGCCTCATTCATTCGACAGACCTGTAGGGTACACAACTACTGGGTGCCAGGTCCGGGCCAGCACTTAGCAGGTCCCAAGGACACCTGCCTTGGGGAGCTGCCCACTGAGCGGCAGGGGATCCTTCGCATCTGTAGCGACGAGGGCCCTGGGTGCAGGAGCTCCTAGGACGTGGGTGGGAACAGTCACTTCTCAGGGCGGGTGGGACACTTCCTGGGAGATGGGGCCCCGGTGTGAGGCCAGGGAAGAGGCCAGAGGAGAAGGTGGGGAGGGGCAGACCCCACGGAGTCCTGGGCTGTCACGCGAAGGCCCGGAGCTGGAAGGCGTGTGTGTGGTCTGCGTCCAGAGCGCCTCTTACCGCCCCCACGGCTCTTCCAACTCCTAGAAACGTCACTGACCGCCCCCGGCCTTCCTCTCCCAGAGGGACCGCAGCCTCACCCCAGGCTCCCGCACCTCCTCAGGCCGGCGCCCGGGTTCCACTCCCCGCCCGCCCGCGGCCAGCTCTGCCTCCGGCAGCCCCGGCGGAGCCGCTGCTCGCTCAGGAAGGCCCACGGCCTCTCTGTGGCCACCAGCCAGCTCCGTGGTGGGCCTGGAGGGGGAGGGGGGGGAGGGGAGCAGAGGAGGAGGAGATGGAACCATCCCCATTGGCCCATCCTGCACTGCGGTGCTTACGAAGGCCCAGATGGGACTCACGTTAAGGATTACAGCCGAGAGGAACCATCGTGACCGCCGGGCTGGATTTACACTCCTCCCAGGTCCTTCCAGCCCATCTCACAGACAGAGACAGACATTCCCTCGGGGCTGTAGGGACAGCAGTGCTGAGGTCCCTAAAGCCCTGGCTCTCGGGGCTCCATCAGACACCTCTGCTCCACCAGGCACTGGGGGGGGGGGTTCCAGAGGAAACCAAGGCCCTGAACTTAATCATTTAATTGACGGTCACAAGCTCACTGTCCCCACGACCACGGTCATCCAGCTCGTGCTGTGAAAGCCACGTCGCACTCGGGCTGCTGAGGGGGTGACCACAGGGGTGCGATCCCCGAGCTCCAGAGGAGGCTCACGGGCCTGTGACCGGCCCAAGGCCACCCAGCGGGGACATGGTGGGACCGGGACCCGGCCGGTGCTGGAGCTCTGCGTCCCTCCTGCCGCCCTCCCTGGTTCAGGGCGGGAAACGTCCCCGGACTGGGACGTGTTTGTTGGCCCCGGTACCCAGACCTCAGCCCCGAGGGGCACGGAGGCCGGGCACAGCGCCGGGACATAACGGCCACGGGGAGGCGGCGCCCCTCCTGGGAGCCGGGGTTCGCAGGGTAGTCAGGGCCTCCATCCTGGGCTTCTCTCCCCCCGCCGGCCTGGCTGCGCAGTGGCTGTGAGAGGGCCCGAGTGGCGGTCTCCGGGGGGAGGCAGGCCATGCTCCGGGTTTGGAAGGATGAGGAGGGTTCCGGGTGGCAAGAACGCCCGTTACTGGTTTCACTCTTGGGGTGTTGCTGGTTTCCAGGCGGGGGCATACCTCCCCGTAGCCTCACTGGAGCGGACTTCGGTGATGACAGGGGCTGGCCAGGACCTCGGGGAACAGCCGGAACGGTCCCGCTGGTTTCAGAGATGAGACCAGTGAGACCCCGACAGAGGTCCCGTTTGCCCAGAGCCACAGAGTGGGGCAGTGGCAGAGCCCGGCCTTCTTCCTAAGCCCTCCTCCGCCTTAAGTGGCCTGCTCAGAGGCAGGAAAAGCGAGCCTGTCCTTTGGCCTTAGTTTACCCGGCTGTGAAATGGGGACGACTCAGAGCACACCTTCACCCCAAAACGAAGAGGAGAAAAAGAGGGTTCTTACGGAGCGCTCACCACATTCTGAGCATTTCAGGAACACGGTGGGTCCGTGGAAATCAGAGGCCCCCAGTGCCCTCACCGGGCGGGGGCTGACAGCCCCTGGCGCAGGGGACACTAGTTCGCAGACGCCCGTCTCCCTGCAGCTCTGCCCCCGGATGCCAGGGCAGAGCACACCCGGCCGAGTGCCCAGTCTCCTGTCCCCCCCCAGAGGGCCCCGGGGCGGTGGGAGCCTCCCACAGACCTCACTAACCCCGCCTCTCTCCTTCCTCCGGCAGAACCAGAGGGGTCGGGGGCAGGCCCCGCCGGCACCGGCACCCCCACCCTCCTTCGCGGCAAGAGGGGAGGACGCACAGCCAACTACCGGACCGTGGCCCCCAGGAGCCGCAACGAGAGGGGCTGAGGGGGCGGTGGCCCCTCGGGTGGACCGGGCAGCTGCCTCTAGGGGCCGCCGATGCTATTTATTATGTCCTCAGGGTCCCTCTGCCGCCTGGGCCTTTGGGGGAAGCAGGCCTGGGTCCTGGCACCCCAGGCATGGCTGCCTCGCATGAGGCTGAGCAGGGATGGGGCGGAGGAGAGGGGGCCCAGGAGTGGGGGGGGGCCTGTTTCCCTCTGTGAAATGGGTGATGGGGCCTGCAGGGAGGGGGTTTGCCTTCCCATCAGCTGCCCAGGCCTCGGGCCTGCAGGCACTGCGGGAGCTCAGCTCTGCCTGGCCCTCAGCACGTGCAGGCACTTGAAGGAGGGCAGCTCGCCTCCCTCCCTCCCCATCAGACCCCCAACCCCTTCTCCCGTTTCCTGGTTTCTGGTGCTGGGTTCCTGACCCCGAGTCAAGCCGCCTGAGCTGACAGATGTGGGGACCGCTCCACTCAGTTCTGTCCCGGAGCCGCAAGCTACTCCTGTGTCCCAGGTGGGGGGAGGGGGGCAGGGACATGGAAAGGGAGGAGCCACCTGTTTCTGACACCAGGAAGTAGGTGCTTACCGGCCAATAAAGGCCCAGCCTGATTCCCCTCCCAGCCTGGTCTCTGTGCTTTGATGGGGCAGCCGGCAAGGCCAGGGGCCTCGTGTCTCCTCTCAGTGGCCTTCACTGCAGAGCAGGTGTGAGGCTGACCATCCCCTGGGCAGCTGCAGCCGGGGGAGGTACACAGAGCAGAGGCCCAGGCTCCCCGCCCGACGGCCAGGTGTCCCACGGCTGTGGGCCTGAGGCCTGAGGCGCCAGGAGCTGCCAAGCCTCAGGGCAGCTTCCAGCCTGGGTACCCAGCAGCCTCTGCGCCTGTTTGCACAACCGAGGCAATGAGAGCGAAGGCGGGGGCCTCGGGCTCCCCGGACTGTTTCTGGGCCCCAGATGGTGACCAGCAGCAGGTCAGCCTCCAGGTAAGCGGTGCCCACTGCTCCAGGACGTGCAGCCCTGACACCACCCCTCAGATCCGCTTCCCAGTGCCCTCCGCCTCCCCCTCCCCCAGCCCGTTTGAAAATCTCTCACCCACCACCCCCCCCCCTGCCTTCTCAGCTCTGTCTGCGCCTCCCCTCCCTGGGAAGGGCCCACGCTGAGCGGGGCCTGGAGGGAGGAGCTGCCACTTCAAAGCTGAGGAAGCTTCCCCCCCACAGCACCCCCTCCCTTTGCTTCCTGCCCAAGGGGCCCAGCGGGCACAGCCACCAGCCTCCTGCCTGCTCTGAGCCGGGCCTAGGAGACCCACTGAGCTGAACTGGGCCCTGCCCAGCGGGTGCACGGGGCCGGGGACAGCTGAGGGATGGTGCTCCTGGGTAATCAGGGAGGGCTTCCCGGAGGACTCTGTGTAGGCTGGGACTGGCAGGTGGGTAGAAAGGAGCTGGGAAACAGGCGATTAAGAACGCTCCTCAGTAAGACCCGAGGTGGAGGACAGCGTCCGGGAGGAAGAGGCTGTGGGCAGAGACAGTAACTGCATCTGGACACCAGGGAGTGCTCTGCTGCCATTGGCTGTTGGTTCCCTGTTCATTCATTCATTCATCCCATGCCAACGCGGATGAGTCGGATAAAACTGCTGTCCCCACGGAGTCCGGGTTGAAAGAACCGGTGTTTATTCTGCACGGTGCCCGGCGCCGAGGGGCCCTCCCGCGCCCACGTGCTCAGTGCGTGGGGCTGGAACTCCGTGCAGCCATCCACGGGCGAGGGCCGGCCTGGGCTAGGGGGGCCCAGGGCCCTCGGGATGGGCGAGCCCACAGCTCCCCGGAGTCACCAGGGCCTCGGCGCCCACCTCCCCGTTGACCAGCAGCGACACGGCGCCCTCCACGCGCCCCGTGGCTGCGAGCGCCACCACGGCCTGCTCCACGGGGAAGCCCATGCGTTCCAGCTGCTGCAGCCTGTGCGCCGGAGGGGACGGCGGGGAGAGGGTCAGGCAGGGCCGCCTCCAGCCCCCGCGCCGGGCGACCCCGCCCTGCCCGCCCGGGCCTACCGGAGGGAGGACACGGAGGACTTGGGCAGCCAGAGCGGGCTCTGGGGAACCGGGGTCGGCCCCTCAAGGAGCGAGGCCTGGATTCCCTCCTGCAGCATCTGCTCCTCCAGGGCTGCCCACAGCGGGGAGCCGGGAGGGAAGCGGGGCCCGGGCCAGGCCAGGCCAGCCTCTGAGGAGCCCTCCCAGCTCGGCTGCACGGGCCCCAGGCCCGGCGGGCGTGGGGCTGAGCCTTGGCTGGGAGACCGGGGACCAGGCGAGGCAGGGTAGGGAGGCCCAGGGGTAGAAAGCCTGGAGGGGCAGAAACAGAAGAGGGCGTGTGCCAGCCTCTGCCACAGCTCCCGCCACCGCGGCCGGGACCCGGGCACCCCCTCACCTCACTCCAGGGAGGGTGACGGGCAGCTTGGCCACGCTGCCCGGGGCGGGAAGGAGCCGGAGTGGCCAGCCGCCCAGGGCTCTGCCCAGGAAGCCCCTCTGCAGCGCCTGCAGCCTTCGCTCCGACGGCTCCAGCCACTGGAACGCCCCGGCTGCGTCTGCCTGCCCGGGAGGGCGCCGGTCAAGGAAAACCACAAGGAGGGAGCCCGTGCCCAGTGTGCGATGGGCACTGCCTCCTGTCTGCTCACTGTGGTCCTGCCAGGGAGGTCAGCAGTGGGAGTTCATGGAGGAAAACGGGGCTGCCAGGAAGAGGTGCAGCCGCATGCGCCTCGCCCCAAACACCTGTCTCACCCCGTTCCAGCCACTGCTGCCCCACTGTGTGCCCGGCGCCCTCTCTGCCTGCTCGGGTCTCTGACTCAGGGCGTAAGCTTGGGCCCAGGGACACAACCCCCTATTGCCCTCGGCCAGGCCAACGTGCTCCCCAGACCAGGACTCCGCAAGTAGCGTCCCTAATCCTAAACGACAATCGGAGGCCACCCGTGCCCACTCTTCCCTCCGCTCGCACTGTGTTCCCAACGGGCACTGAGCACCTTGCAGCAAAAGCTGTGTCTAACGCCCAGAGGGCCCAGCTCACCCTCACCCCTGGCCTTTGCACTGTCTGCGCCCGTCTCCTTTTTCACTTCTCTTTCCCCGAACCCCTCATCCTGTGTGTCTCAGCTTAGATGCCACCTCCCCTGGAAAGGTCCCTCCTAGGGCCACCTCAGCCCCCCTGAGTGCCCCTTTAAACTGTAGTTGGCACCTCCGCCCGGCCACAGCCGGAGCCTGGCGAGAGGACTCAGTCGGGGGTGCGCCTGGGACGTGGGCACAGCTTTCTGACCCAGGCCGGACGCCTCCACAGGCCCCGGGTCCGGGCAAAGGATACAGGCCAGGCCAGCCAGGAGGCCGCAGAGGAGCTGCAGGAAAGGGGGCTCGGAGGTGAGGAGTGGAGTCAGGGCAAGCAGCAACCACGGCAACAGCCACGGCGGCACTGCCCCATGGAGCCCTCTGGGGCGGGACCCCTGCCCCGACAGCATGGCCAGGTGGACGGGCATGTACCCGCAGCCGCCAGCTGCAGCGGACACCCCGAGGCCTGCCAGCAGCGCGGCCATGAGCCCGGCAGCCAGGGCGAGGAGGGCGGAGGCATGCAGGAACCGCAGCGTGCCCAGGCGGCACTCCTGCCGCCAGCCCAGCACGGGCAGCAGCAGCAGACTCAGGAGCAGGCTGGGCAGGGCCGTGTGGCCCAGAGCGTGGGTCAGCAGCCGGTGTGCTGGGGGAGAGAAGGGGCTTATGTGCCCGGTTAGTGGCCCCCAACCCCCCAGGGCGGTCCCAGGTGTGCCAGGCTGGGAACTGCCCTCTGCCAGGGCCACCTTGTAAGCCAGCCTCGCCTCCCCAGGGGCCAAAGGATATTGGTGGAGGGAACCAAGGGCCTCCAAACCAAGGCCACTGCCCGCTGCGATGAACAGGACAGGCCAGACCCACCCCTCGGGCTTCTCAAGAGCAGCCAGCGCTGAGGAGGCACTTAACCTGTGGGCGTCGCTGGATTCCTCCCACATAAATGGGAGCTGCTGCTATTACTGGGAGACTGGCACGCAGCTGCCCTTGGCACTCAGCTGGGCTCACTCAAACTCCCATGCTCCTGCTCAGGGGAAAGCCTTAGCTCTTACTGCAAGAGCCAGACACCAGCAACGGGAAGCCTTCGGAGAATTCCTCCTCCCGGGCTCCCCCCCACCCCTCCGCCGGCTCCGCTGCCCTCCTTGGCCGTGGCCAAGCTGGGCATGCTGGCCCTCCCAGGGGCATGGCGCTCCCACCACGTCGTGTTGGGCCCTCCGAGGCCCGGGAAGCCAGCCCTCACCCTGCCAGGGGTCCAGCAGCAGCTCGGGGGCCAGGGCCAGGCTGGGGCCGGCCCCCACCAGCCACAGAGAGCTCATGAGCAGCATCAGGACCGAGGAGGCGAGAGGGAGGCCAGGGCGGCCTCTGTCACACATAGCTTGGCTGACGGCGGTCCAGGACAGTCTCGGGGCTGAGTGCTAAGGGTAAAGGAAAACAGTAACAGTTATTATACCTGCTCTTATCCCATTTCCTTTCGATTGCCCTACAATAGCTCCATGTTACAGAAGCAGGAACTGAGGCTGGAGAAGCAGGGCCCAGCAACTCGGCCATAGGGCTCGGATCCTAATCCTGTGCTTGGCCATCTTTCCAGTCCCCTGGCCTGTGTCTGAGGATGGGGAACAGCCAGGCCGAAAGGGCCCTGAGCTCTGGTGAGCCCTCAAGAGCCTGGGGTGGGAGACACAGGGCCAGGAGAGAGGAACGGGGGCCCTGGACTCACCAAAAGAGGGTTGTAGCCTCCCAGGGCAAATTCAGGGCCATCTCCAGCTTCCTCTGCTTCCCTCCGGCTGCAAACCTTCCTCCCAGCCACCCTCCGCGGTGCCCAGCCTTAGACCTCCAAATGGCCTCAGCTGCCCCAGCTGAGGGCAGGCAGATTAGGGAGGGGGTGGGGCAGGAGGGTTTGAGGAGGGGAGGAGTGACCCTGGACTGAGACATTCACTTCCACAGCCCCTCTAGTCCCCCCCCCCCCCCCCCCCCACTTTTCACAGGCCTGTTCCAGTGTCCCCTCCTTCCTGCTGTGTATCCCCGGGTGGGCTTTCCAACCTGAGCCTCTGCTTCCTCTTCTGTAAAAGGAATGACTGGCCGAAACCGGTTTGGCTCAGTGGATAGAGTGTCGGCCTGTGGACTGAAGGGTCCCAGGTTCGATTCGGGTCAAGGGCATGTACCTTGGTAGCTGGCACATCCCCAGTAGGGGGTGTGCAAGAGGCAGCTGGTCGATGTTTCTCTCTCATCGATGTTTCTAACTCTCTATCCCTCTCTTCCTCTCTGTAAAAAATCAATAAAATATATATATATAATTTTTTTTTTAAATAAGGAATGACTAAGGCAGCCACAACTCCTGTTCATTTAACTGCAGCCATCGGGCTAATGGTGGGAGGCAGGTGTAACCACCAGCGGCCCCAACAAGGGGAGGCCTCAACATGAAGGCAGCTGCTCCAAACTTACATATATATATATATATATATATATATATATATATTATATTATATTTATATTTGAGGCCTGGTGCATGAATTCATGCATGGGTGGGAACCAGCTAGCCGGAGGGGACCTGGGTGGTTGGCTGGCCTGCCTGCTGGTCGAACTCCTGGTCAAGGAGACAATTTGCATATTAGCCTTTTATTATATAGGACATACACTGAGTGGCCAATTATGCATTCAAAGATCATAATAATCTAGCCACTCAGAGTGTGTGTGTGTGTGTGTGTGGCTCGGCATATATATGTGTGTGTGTATATATATATATATATATATATATACTTATATATATAATTTTTTATCTTTTATTTTTTTAAAGCAAACACCTTTGCACCTTTAGAAGCCCAGCTCAAACCCCCTTTTCTGCCCCCCCACACACACATTTCTGGATCTTATACTATCTAATGAGCACAGCTTTAGCCTGGCAGGTGGTCTGAGCTGGAGGTGTGTGTTGGGGACGGGGGGTGGGTGGGGGGTGGTGGTGGTGGTGGGGGGGTCGCTCCTCTTCCTCATCCCCAAGTTCCCTAGCGTGCTGCTCACACCTAGAAGGGTGCTCCTCACACCCGCACGGTGCTGTGTGTGTTCACGGAAAGAAAAACACTGGCTCGGCATCCCGCCCAGGGGGCTGGGTGAGGAGGCTGGGCTGCGAGTTGAATGGGAAGCCCAGGCGCCCCCTGCAAGCCTTCTTCTGCACCCTCCCCACCCCCACCCCGCCTCAGCGAGGGCGAAGGCCTTCTTCCCCGCGGGCACACAGGACTGGGATGGAACCCTCGGGGCCCGGGCCGCAGCCTCTGCATCCTTAAAATGGGGCTTTGCACCATCAGGCCCCGCCTACCTCACTGGGGAGCCGGAGGATGGAAGGGGAAGGCGAGGACCGGGAAGATTCTTCCGGGTGATGGGTGGAGGGGGGCGGGGGGAGGGGTCCCCGAGGTGCGGATGGACTCAGCTCTGTGACTTTTAAGAAAAGTACCCCATTTCCTCGGGCCCGTTTCCCCCTCTGTAAAAACCAAGGGTATCAGATGAGGGATGATTCAAGGACTCTTTCAACCTCGACCGTTACTGGGGGCCCGGCGCTTCGATCGGGGCCTCCCATCCAGCCCCCCCGCCTGGGCCGCCGCCGTCCGCAGCCACGTGTCCGGGGTACTCACTGCGGAGCGCAGCGCAGCGCCCCTCCCCGCGGAGGCCGGGCGGCCCCCGGCTGCGGGTTAGGGGCTCGGGTTCCCCGCGAGGCCCGGGCGCCCGGGGCCCATTCCGCTCGCTCCCGGGCGGGCACGTGACCCTCCCTCCGCCGCCAGCGAATTAGTCAGCAGTTGTCCGGGGCCCAGGTCCCTGCCCCCCGCCCGCCGCCGGCCTCTGCGCTCCCCGGCGGGGACGGCTCTTTCGAGACGGTCCCTAAGGGCCGGTGGACGCGACCATTGGAACCGCCGGCCTCGCGCGTGGAATCGCTCCGCCTCGACCCGCAGAGCCGCTCGGCCGCCGCCGCCGCCTCCGGGCTAGTGGGGCCGCGCCTCGCAGCCCGCGCCCTTGGGAGGGGATTGGGGGCGGGAGCGGCGGCGGGCGGGCGGGAGGAGGAGGCAGCGATGGTTCGGCCCTCCGCCGCCCCCCCCCGCGGCCGCGCCCGGTGGTAGCGCCCGGGGTTGCGGGCTCCGCGCCTGCGTAGTGCGGCGCCGCGGGGGAAAGGGAGAGGGAGACGGACGTTGAGAGAACGAGGAGGAAGGAGAGAAAATGGCGTCCACGGGTGAGTGTGGGGGAAGCGCGGCCGCGCCGGCGGCGGCCGGGGCGCCCCAGCCGGGGGGCTTGCTCGGCTCTGGGGGGTGGTCGGGGACGACTTGAGTGGGGCTCTGAGAAGGGGGGGCGGTCAGGGTCCCCGCCACGGGCCGAAGAGCCGAAGGAGCCCGCTTTGACCCTCCCCTCCCCCACCGGGCAGGCCGGTTCTGGAATCTTCCAGCGCCCCCGCCGCCGCGCGCGGGGGGCCCGCGGGGCCTCGGGCGGCCTCCATTGTGTGCGGCCGGGCCCCGCGCTCCGGGCCGCCCGCCACGTGGGCGGGGCCTGCGGCCTTCGGGGCCCGCGTGGCGGCGGCGGCGGCGGGGTGGGCCCGGGCCTGGAGCCCCGCACCCCGTCACCACCCCCTCTTCCGGGGGGGAGGGCGCCCGCACCCCAGGGCGGGTCTGCCTCCCGCCAAGCCCGCGGGGAAGCGGATAAACACAAAAAGGCCGCGGGTCTGGGAGGCGAGGGCCCCGGCCCCAACTTCTGGCCCCACGACTGGGCTTTAGTATCCGGGTTCGGCTCCCCCCTTTCAAAGCCCCCCCCAAAATTTTTAAATTAATTAAATAAAATCCCGCTGTTCCCACGGCTGCTTCGGGTTTTCTGTTTCATCCCACCCCCTTCCCGCCCCAGAAAGCGGGGAAGGGGCTCCCGGGGCGGTTTTCCCGGCGGACGCGGCGCGGGGGGCGGGGGACCGGGGACCGGGGGCCGGGGAGGCCAGCCGGGGGGAGACAAAGGCCCGGCGGCGGCCCGGAGCCGACAGGCCCGCTGTGGTGCGGGGCTGGTGACCGGGAAGCGGGAGGGGGAGGGGAGGAGCGATCTTGGAAAGCGAGCTCAGGGGCAGGGGCGAGCCTGCGGCGGCTCGAGGAGTCCCCCCGGCGCCGGGCGCGGTTCTAGGGGCGCTGCCGGTTCCTGCGCCCGCCTGGGGCGGTTGGCCCGGGCACGGGGGGTATCGCCTGGGCGGCCTCCCCCCGGGCTGTAAAGGCCGGGGGAGAAGGAAGTGGAGAGGGGGGCGGGGGGGGGGGGAACGCTCCGAGTTGTAATTTAAGAGAGTCCAGAATCCAGCAACTTAAGGACGTTGCTCAGTAGCCGAGCAGGTGGGTGCCAGGGTGCAGGGTGCCCACAGGAGAGATTGGGTGGCCAGATAGGCGAGGTTCGTGTCTCCTCCTGTTCCGTGTCTGGTTTGCTGCTGCCCACCGTGCACCGACCAGGTCAGCACTCCCGCGTGTGTGTGTGTGTGTGTGTGTGTGGACACAGAGCTGGGTCCGGCCGGGCAGTCTCCGCGGGGATGGCGGGGTGAACTTTGGCTTACTTCCCTGCAAAATAGAGGAGTGAGGCCTAGACCTTGGGAGAGCTTTCCGAGCCCTGCCGACCTCTGAGCACAGCGGTATTTATTACCGACCCGCCCCGGCCTGATACGGTGGGGTCTGAAGCCCCAGGTCTACGGTTTGGGCAGTACCTGAGCCACCGCCTTGGGTAATGTACTGTTAGATCTTTTTCATCCTTATTCGGTTTACATATCAGAAGAGTACTTAAGGCACAGCCTGTGCCCTTTTAACAAAGAACACGGGGCGAACTCCCAATTAACTACCAGGCAGACCAGGAAATGAGAACATCGCCCACCCCCTAAGGCCCGCTTGGGTCACAGCCGCTCTCCTCGGCCCGTCCATTTTTAGTGAAATGAGCTGCGTGTTTGGGAGTTACAGACTCTGGCCAGCGTGTGACTGGCGTGTTTGAGGCCATGTAGTGTGTGCTGCAGGCAGATAAGTTCTGTACAGTGAACGTCGCTGCCTCCCGTATGCCACCACGCGGGCCACAGCGCTGGCTTCGCGCTGGCCTGAGGACACTGGCTGTTCCGTGCCAGGCCTGCCGGTCTGTTTTACATAACCGCCCTTGGAGAAAGGCCTCCTGCGAACCGGGACTGAGATGGCAGCGACTGGGTATCCTTTCTCCAGCAGAAACCTCGGCAGACCGGAGGTGGAAATACTCACTGTGTGTGTTGTGGGGGGTGTTGTGGAGACCACGGGGAGTGATTTGCATTTGCTTTGTATTTGCCACATTGAGCGCAGCTTGTAGAGCCGCTGCCTTCAGGTCGGTTTCTCTGGAGCACAATTCCTAGCCTTCGGGCGGCTGATTTGATCTTGTTGATGGGGGTTCTGAGTTGGGGGTGCAGGAGGAAAAGGGCAAAGTGTAGGAGGAAGATGAGCTGACTTACGTGCGATTGCTCTCGGGCCTGCGGACTTGGGAGTAGGTAGAAACCCCTCCATGAAGAGAGCTGCGATGTCAAACGGTTTGCCTTCCGATCAGGGACTGTTTCTGAATGGAGTAGAAAGGACCTTTTGTTTAGTTCGGATGGCAGTGCTGTCTTGTAACAGAATAAGGTATGTGTTTCTTGTGGAGAGCAAAGAATTGGGCAGAATTTTAAAAAATCATTACGTTAGCCCTAGCGGCTTTGGCTTAGTGGATACAGCGTGGGCCTGAAGGCAGGAGGGTCCCAGATTGGATTCCAGTCAGGGGCACGTGCCCCGATTGGCGGCTCTGTCCCCCGTCCGTGTGACATCAAGAGGCAGCCATCAATGATTCCCTCAGGTCACTGGTGTTTCTCTCTCTTCCTTCCTCTCTGAAATCAATAGAGGATATTTAAATTTAAAAAAGATAATTACTTTAGCTCTGGGGGTGTGGTATAATGATTAGAGCATTGGCCTGTGCGCGGAAGGGCCTCTGGTTCAATTCTAGTCAAGGGCACACACGTGGGTTGCAGGTTCGTTCCCAGCCCCAGTCTTGCAGGAGGCATGGCAATATTTACAATGTTCCTGCTTTTGAGTTATTGTACAGATGTAGCTCTGATCCAGTCAAAAGCAGACCCTTTAAAACACTGGATTGAGATGACTTCTGTTTTCTACCAGTCCTGCTAGAGAATGCAGTTAAAGTTAGTCTAATTGGCTAATTGAGGGAGCAACAGAAAGACTAGTTTTTGAGGAGCTGTTTCTACTAATGTAATCAACCTGGGGTTGAGCGTTGTAATGTCAATTGCCTCCTTTTTAGATGAAGATAAAGCTTCGGTTCATCGCGTTCTCTATTAGTCTCAGGATGATGACCGTGTATTTGAAATGACAGCTCTGTGGTTAGGGGGGTTGTGGTCATGGGAACTGCAAAGTATCTCTGCCAAATCAGCTGATCTTGACCTCATTTGTTGGCACTGTATTCAAACTTCGAGTTAAACGGGCTTAGACTTATTTGGGGGGTTGGTATTAAGAAATAAGAGATACTCACCCCACCGGTATGGCTCAGTGGTTGAGCCTCGACCTAAGAAACAACAGGTTACGGGTTTGAGTTCCCATCAGGGCAGGCTTTATCCTCAATAGGGGCTGTGCAGGAGGTGGCCAGTCGATGTTTGTATCTATCCCTCTCCCTTCCTCTCTCCCAAAAAAAAAAAAAAAAAAAATCAGTAACATATTTAAAAAGAAATAAGGTAATTATTTGGGCCTCTGCTGGCCCATAGCTTCTCTAAACAGTTAAAGAGTTCAGAATTCCTGCCCCCTCTCCCCCCTACTTCTTGCCTTTCCTGACTTCACACTGATTTCTCGCCTTGTTTCCTCCAGATTACAGTACCTACAGCCAAGCTGCAGCCCAGCAGGGGTAAGTCCGTCTTTTTCACCAGGATTTTGTGTGTGATTGATTGATGGAACAGAGCTGTGTAGTTGTGGAGGGTTTAGTAATGGAATCTGAGTGTTCTCTTTTCAGTTTTTGCATTTAATTTTCTCTTACAGCTACAGCGCTTACACCGCGCAGCCCACTCAAGGATACGCACAGAGCACGCAGGTAAGCTTTAAGATTAAATAAAGTAGCTGCATCCCCAAGTAGATTGTTTCAACCATTCAAACAATAGCCAGCATTGTTCTTTTTTAAAATTAGGTAATAAAACAGTGTAATGTGCTTGTAATAAAAATAACCAGGCATTTTAAACTTTCACAGTGGGAATGCCATTATACGTATATGGGAGTTACTAGCTCTCCATACCTTCCTATTATCTAGTACCTAGTTAGGTACCCTGCTCCATGCTTGGTCCTTCTGTGTGTTCAGTTCTACAGAGGAGATATGATATCTGGCAAATGAAAAAATGCAGTGCATAGATATAAAGGCATTTACCAGCGGTCGGACAGTAAGTGGAGGGGTCAGCTCTTATCGCTACCTGTGAGAGGTTAAGGGTTCTTCAGTAAATGAGTCTGAGTTTAAAAGCCTAGGCCAGCAGCTTCTAGAAATTAGCCTCCAAGATCACCTCAAATTCTGAAATGGTCTGTGGCTTAAAATGGGTACTAATAACTCTGCCGTAGAAACATTCTAGAACAGACAGAATGATGTGATGTCTCTGGCAGATCCTACGTAACTGGTCATTCAGATCTAGAATATGATCATGCTAATGTCAGAAAGAACACCTCATTCCTTGCCAGTTTTCTGTATTTCTGACGTCCAAGTTCAGAAGACAGTGCTGCTGGTGTGCTAACCCTGCTATTCATTTTCTTGGCGGTGAAATCTTTGTCCCGCTGAAAATCTGCTTTCACAATTGTCTGTGGATTTGGACCCATTTTCATTTTCCTTCCTCTGTGGTCGCTGTGTCTTCCTAATATTTGTTTCCAGTTACTAAAACTGGTCCACTTAGTGCTGGCAGTTATACGCCTGTTCCTTTATTGCTCATCCCTTGAGAGTATTGTGTTAATCTCCTGTACAGTTAACTATGATTTTGCTTAATTATCTCAGGAATTTTTTTGTAGTTAAGTTTACAAAAATACGAGTGCATCAGATCAGGGGAAACTCACAGTAATGTGGTTAATCTTATTTGAAAACAATATTTTCAACTTCTAAATTTATAAACTTAGTAGTAAATTGGGTGTGGGGTGTGTTTTCCTTTTATGTGGGTTTTTTCTCCCTAAAACTAGAAGGTTTATAGATCTGAAGGGTTTCCATCCATTAACTTTGAGCAGGCATATGGGCAGCAAAGTTATGGAACCTATGGACAGCCCACTGATGTCAGCTACACCCAGGCTCAGACCACTGCTACCTACGGGCAGACGGCCTACGCCACTTCTTACGGACAGCCCCCCGCAGGTAAGGCTGCCCTGGCCTGCTTTGGTCCCATCGCCCAGGGAGGGTGCTAAGAAGCTTGTCACTTGTGCTCTCTGATGTATATTCTGGTCCATATCTTGGCATCTGGCATTCTTAGGGGGAGTTATTTTTCTCTCCCTTTCCCTTCTATTCTCCTTGAGGGATCGCTAATAGAATGTGGGTGGAATAAATCCCAAGGGAGAAAAGAATTTCCTTTAGCTGTTTTATACAGTATACTGAATGATCTCACAGCAAAAGGGCAGATATATAAAAGATTGTGCTAATGCTGATTTGGGGTAAGAATGAGCCTCCTTAAACGGAGCTGCTGAAGATACCAAACTGGTTTTCACGTCCGTTTGCTTCCTCTGACGGTGCGCCCTCTGCTCTTGTTTTGTGCTTCCACAGTAGAAGGGACCAGTACAGGTTTGACGATCCTGCTCATTCTGCATGGGGAATGCTTTCCAGCTTGTTTAACCCTGTAATGTGGACCCCATAGGTGTTTTCATTAGTTTAACCCTCCAACCTTCTAGCCTCATACACAGCAAGGCGCTAATGGGAACCGCTTCCGGTGCCATCCGCAGATCCATCTTTTCTTTACGTGGTTTTGGGGGAAGTTCTGCTTTGTTTTATTTTACATTTTTCTGTGTCAAGCCTTAATAATAGTCCACCTTCCCAAAGGTACTTCAGATGACTATTCCCCAGCTGACTGCCCATGTTCCCTGAGAGACAGGTGCATGATTAGATTGATTTAGAGGCAAAGGCTGCCATCCTGCATGTCACTTATGTCTGTCTGTCTGTCGGTTTCCAGTCCAGATGCATTTTATTTTCTATTTAAGTGATGATGAATTACTTTAATTCATATTATGTCTTAGTAAATATATATATAAAATAGCATTCCAGGGAGCTAAAAACTATTCTAAGAATTAGAATAAAATAAACTGAATCCTAATACTGGGGTTGAGAGGGGAGTATATGAAAATTCTATAGTACTTTCATGCTCTGTAGTGTAAATGTTTTATGATTCCCTACCTTCTTCCCACCTACTCCCATCTTTATTATTGCTACTATTATTATTAAAGAATACTTATTTCAAAAGTCTTACAGATGTAAAAACTTTTTTACAAATCACCTGCAGTTCTCTTAAGTTATGGATAGTCTATCAGTCTTTAGAGGGGAGGGACCTGCTTGTAATGTACAGTATCTGTCTCACTGAGTGACGGCGGCCTGGGTTTGATGGGAGTACTCCCTCATCTAACACACCTTTAGTAGGTTGGGGAATGTTTGAACTTTCTATTGGATTTTTAGCAGAGAATTTTAAAATTGTGACATGAACTTCATGTATTCAGAATAACATTTTTTATTTAGTTATGATTGACATACATCAGTTTCGAGTGCGCAGCATAATGAATTTATATTTTTTTCTATACTTGTGAAATAATCACAGTAAGTCTAGTTCATACATCCGCGCTTAGTTATAATTTTTTTCTTGTGATGAGAACTTTTAAGGTATATGCTTTTAGCAACTTTTTAATACGTATGCATTGTTCTACTCCAGCGGTCGGCAAACTCATTAGTCCACAGAGCCAAATATCAACAGTACAACGATTGAAATTTCTTTTGAGAGGCAAATTTTTTAAACTTAAACTATATAGGTAGGTACATTGTTATTAGCTTAATTAGGGTACATGGTATTTTGTGGAAGAGCCACACTCAAGGGGCCAAAGAGCTGCATGTGGCTCTAGAGCCACGGTTTGCTGACCACTGTCCTATTCCAGTCTATGTTAGGAATGTAAGCATTCTCAGGTCACAGGGATCTGAAACCAATGAGAGACAACTATATGCAGTACAGATGTGTATCACCATGACTTGTTTATTTAATAACTGGGAAGTTTCAGCCAAACAGTATAAATTAAAAAGAATAACTGCTTAGATCTAGCTATTGGAGTCCCTGGATCATTTTCTAGGAACATGATAAAATCATTTCTAGGAAATGCAGTGGTCTTTCACAGAAACCGGTATCTTTTATATTATTTAAAAATGTAAGGAGCCTACGGGTGTGGCTCGGTGGTTGAGTATAGACCTATGAACCAGGAGGCTGGAGTTCGATTCCTGTCAGGCACAGGCCCAGGTTGCAGACTCCATCCCAATGTGGGGCGTGCATGAGGCAGCCTACCAGTGATTCTCATCATTGATAGTTCCCGCTCCTCTCCCTCTTCTTTTCGCTCTGAAATCAATAAAAATACATTTTTTAACAAATAGATATAAGGGGTGTTTATATAGACTTTATAGTTTATGGAGGACTGGCATACTTCCCTTCACCCTCCCATGAACCTTTGGCATAGAGGAGCAAAATTTAAACCTGGTGAGCAAACTGAAGCTGAACCAAACTAGGTTCCCGATTGAGGCAGTGAGTGGGTTCAAGCACACTTACCCACTTTCCTCCTTAACCTCATACCGCTTTACGTGTAAAAGTCATTGGGTAATTGTTGGAAGGAATATATAAAAAGACATTTTTATCTTCTAGACTTCTTAAAACTCTTTCATGAGAAGGGAAGCTATAGAAATCTCAATTCATTAATTGGAATAGAAATCTTAAACTTTAATTTTTACTGTTCAGGCGAAACAAAAATTTTAGATTTCTGTGATTTTTTAAAGTACATTTTTATTGATTTCAGAGAGGAAGGGAGAGAAAGAAACATCAATGATGAGAATCATTGATTGGCTGCCTCCTGCACACCCCAGCCTGGGACCCTTCAGATCCCCTGATAGAGCTGTGTGATTTTTTTTAACACCTTTTTCCTTAAAGATGTCAGTGCATGTGTTGTCTTTTTGTTGTTGGTCTTTTTTTTTATTATCATTTGGCTTTATTTTGCTTGGCTGCTTGTGTTGGTACTACAGATGGATTAAAAGATTATTCATTAACTCAGTGTCTTATTACTATAACCTCAGCCATACAAAGCTTGTTGCTGCAGTTTTATGACATGAGTGCTCTGTATGATTGACATTAGGACTCAGCACAAAGCTGTTAATAAACGTTCAGATGAACAACATTCCAACTCAAAAAACTTACAGTTTGAGGCTTTCTGTTTTCTTGGAGAACAAAATTACTATCTTTGTGTATAACTAATATTAGAATTTACAAAAAAATGTTCGGGGTGTAGAAAAAAGTTATTGCACCCTGTGAAGTTTAAGGTCCTAAATCTTAACTAAAATCACCAGTCTTGGTTCATGACTTAACACACACTTTTTTTTCTTTAGTGAGATTTGGATTTTTCTTTGATGGGTATAAATGCTGACGACTAGAAGTCACTTCTTAAAAATATTTCAGAGAGGTGGGGGAGAGACATCAGTGGTGGGAAAGAACATTGTTTGGCTGCCTCCTGCCACATCCCCAACTGGGGATCAAGCCTGCAACCTGGGCATCTGCCCTTGATCGGAATCGAACCCGGGACCCTTCAGTCCGCAGGCCAACGCTCTATGCATTGAGTCAAACCAGCCAGAGCTGGATGTACGTAACTTTTGATTGTACGGCTCACTTGTGCTTACTGAGCGAGAGGAGGAATGGGGGAGGGGAGCCCAGCACCAGGAAAGGCTGTAACCCTCTTCCGGTGAAGGGAGGGGCGGTGTCAGAGTTTCAGCCCAGGCTCCAGGTGGAAGGGCACACGGGTCCTGCCTGGCAGCGGAGACAGGAGCTGGAGCTGTGAGAGCAGGCTTTGTGACCCTGTTGGGAACCAGTAAGGGGGCCCTAAGGTCCGCCCAGTACAGATGAGGAAGAACAACGCCTGTTTGCTAGTGGTGGGCAAATAAGAGGACTAGACCCATGGCTATTTCAGTCTTCACGTGGTAACGAGCATTTTTTAGTTACTTGAAACAAAATCAGCAGTTCTTAGAAGTGTGTACTCCTTAGCATCTTCCACTAAAAATTAAGCACATCCTCTAGCATTTCCAGTTCCCTTAAACATGACCTCATGATGGAGTGCTTGGGACTGAAACCAAGTAATTTCACATTGTGGGTTCAATGTTCTAACTAGTACCTGGATCCTTATTCGTAGCTATTTTAAGATGCTGTGTCATTGCTTTTTACTTCCCTTTCTGGGACATTTTATTCCTGTTTGAGAGGTTTGGGGGGTGCTTAAATTCAGAGGATTTAGTGTTAAATATTGGTTTGTTGCTGCTGCTCTTACTGAAGGGAAATAATTAATGGAATTAATAGGGGGTGGCTGAAATAGGGGCTCACAGGCGGTTCTGATGAGGAGGGTTAGGTAGCTAGACCTCTGAGGAGCCGGAACTGACGCTGCTCTCGTTTCTTCCAGGTTACACCACGCCAGCTGCCCCCCAGGCCTACAGTCAGCCTGTCCAAGGGTATGGCACTGGTGCTTACGACACCACCACTGCTACGGTCACCACCACTCAGGCCTCCTATGCAGCTCAGTCTGCGTACGGCACTCAGCCTGCTTACCCAGCCTACGGGCAGCAGCCGGCAACCACTGCACCTGCAAGGTAAGAGCACAGTCTCCTGACTCAGTGCATTGGCCTCAGCTGTTCAGGAGAGAGAGTCCGTGACTTGGTTTCTTCTTAATAGTTGCTCTCGCATACACTTAGGTGTGGTTTGTTGTTGTTGGTTTTGGTGTTTGTCAATCCTCACGCGAGGATATTCTTTTTCCCGTTGATTTTTAGAGAGAGTGGAAAAGGGACTGGGGTGGGGGAGACACACACACACCAACTGGTTGCCTCCTGCATGCACCCCGGCAGGGCTGGGAATCGAGCCTGCAGCCAAAGCACGTGCCTTGACCAGAATGGAACCCGTGAGGGCTAGGAGCTCTAACCACTGAGGAAAACTGGCTAGAGCTGTTGGGTTTTGTTTACTGATGTTTAGAGGGGAGAGAGAAACATCGACCGTTCTTTCCCTTGTTTATGCATTCAGTGGCTGCTGTGTGTGCCCGACTAGTGATCAAACCTTAACGTTGGCACATTGGGATGATGCTCTAACCATCTGAGCTGCTGCCTGGTCAGGGCACTCAGGTGTTGCTATATTCTTAGTCATTAAAATAATGCGCTAAAAAATAATAATAATAATAATAATGCACCAGAACCCACTACATTCTTCTCCATTTCGTAAAGAAGTGGTTCCATCCAGGCACCAGAGAAGGGTGGTCAGCGCAGTTTCAGAAGAGAGGCTATGTGGGTTGAAGGAGGCTATTGCATTAACTTTTTTAAAACCAGGAGAAAATTGAATGTGTGGTTTGCCTCAAAGCAGAACAACTAATGATGCTTTTGTCTTTGATTTTATTGGCCCCATAAATGAGTAACAGCTTTCTTTTTGGGTAAAACATGGGGGAGGGGGAGAGCATCATATGGCTTAAGAAACAGTCATGTGACTCACTTGTCAGTAAAGGGTATGTTTATATCTGGAAGTCAACTGAAGGAGTTGATGTAGTGGCTTGGTAATCCAAACATAACAGGCGAGTGTAAATTACCTGGGTCCCTACTGCGGGGTGAACATTGGGCGAAGTCCATACTCCATGACTGGTCAGCAGGTGAACATTATTAATTATTACTTAACAGGAGAATTTAGCTCTTTTCTTTAGGCAGTGCACTTAGGCTGTTTCTGCATACAGTCTTGACAGACGTTGGATTCTGATTTGAAAGTTGTTTTTGTGTGCTGTGAGTTTTAATGAAATAGGATATCCAAGCCATAGCTGGAGGGTTTTATATATTAAATGGTTTTTTCTAAATCATCCTTTTTGGTTCCTTTTTTCTTAATTTTTCAATTCTTGCCGCTTTAAAACAGCTGTCTGTCTTATGATCAGTGACAGCTGTTCCCCTTTCCACTGGAAAAAAGGGGGTTTGTGGCCTAATTCGGCTCTTTGGAGAAATCAGTACTTCCCAGCCTCTCTGGTCTGCCTGCTGATCCTCGGGTTTGCTTAAGATAGATCAAGCTTCCTTTGCAACGGCCCTGACGCAGAATGCTGGAGCGAAGAGGTACTAGACACCACTGTGGTCCTTTCCTTGGAATTGGGATTGGCTTTCCTACTTAACAAGGACATTTCCTGGGTCGTCAGAGCAGGAGGGGCTGGGGGTATACACCTACTATGGTATTTCCATTATAGAAATTTTGAGGCAAGCTATGGCCGTGCAAGTTAAATTTTTTTCAAGTCTATTCTTAATAAATTGAGAAACATAAATACACAGGTAGTACAGATCTATAAATGCCATAGGCTTATAAAATGTTACTCTAACCTAAAACTTGAATTATTATTATTAAAGTTTTCTGTTTGCTTTCAACAGTCCTTTTTGAGAAACAGCATTTTCTTTTACTAACAAATTACCACCCCCCTCAGATCACTTAAATTGGCAACACAAAATGTTGTAACTGCCTTTTTATAGCTGTTAACATGGAACAAAAGAAGCACTATGGCTCTAACCTGTTTGGCTCAGTGGATAGTGTCGGCCTGCACACCAAAGGGTCCAGGGTTCGATTCCGGTGAAGGGTCCATATTTCGGTTGTAAGTTTCTCCCTGGCCCAAGCCCTGGTCAGGGTGCGTGTAGAAGGCAACCAATCGATATGTTTCTCGATGTTTCTCTCTGTCCCTCTCCCACTCTCTCTAAAATCAGTTGGGGTAGGGGGATAGCCTCAGGTGAGGATAAAAACAAGCACGATGCTGTCTCATGGATGTGATTGATTCATCCCCTTGCTTAGGGTTCTCCGGCATATACAGCTGGACCGACACTGGATTTGATGTAGTTTGCTTTAAAATTGTATTTCTTTCCAAATTCAGTCCTGATGTTGTATATTGCTCACAGGTTTGTAGAGTTTTCTTACCCAACGGTTTTATGATCGAGGGTGAAAAGGCTCGCTTTTTTATTTCTTCTTTTAGACCGCAGGATGGCAACAAGCCCGCTGAGAGCAGCCAGCCTCAGTCCAGCACGGGGGGCTACAACCAGCCCAGCCTGGGCTACGGACAGAGTAACTACAGCTACCCCCAGGTGCCCGGGAGCTACCCCATGCAGCCCGTCACCGCGCCACCGTCCTACCCTCCCACCAGGTCAGTCTCCGCTCCCCCCTAATCCCAGGATAAGCCTGACCACACATCGTTCCCTGGAAAACCTCAGGCCGGCAGCCAGTAACTCCTCCAAGTACAAACAAGATTCTTACCACTCTGGGTGCTTTTACATTTGCGCTCTCAGTTAATTCAGATGGCTGAGAAACACATATTTGAAAGCAAGCCAAGTGCAGGGCGTTATATTTTTTAAAAAGAAACTTTACCTTATGCATTTTGCATTTAACAATGCAGAAGTCCATTCACGCACTGGCCTTTTAATGGTTGAGCTGAGGCCTTTTGCTTTTTATTACAGATATTTGTTCTGCATTCTTTGTCTTAGGTTAACCACACCGGCACCTACAACATCAGGGTTAGTTTCTTTAAAGTGTAGGAAGAACTGCACTTTAGTTCCACTCCCATTTACATTGAAGCAGGTTTTCAAACTTGCCTGAATTATGCTGTTAACTTCATTTTGCTGGAAGAAATAACCCCCTTTTGCACTCATTTCATTGGTTTGCACGCTAAGTGCAGAGTTAGGAGCCGTACAGCTGACGGGTAAGGGTCTCCCGGCAGTTCTCCCTCAGCTCACCTCCCCTGGAAGCGGGGAGCGTTAATCTGCGGAGTGGGACAGGTGCACCCGGGGAGAGATGGTGATAGAGGCTTAGTTTAATTGTACTTCACAATTTTTGTTTTCCAATGTCATGGTTCATATGGAGTTTAATGCCAGTTTTTTTTTTCTTTTTGTTTTTATTATTCTTATACATATATCTCTTATTGATTATGTGTAACACTCGTCTTTCATACAATGCCTTGATTCTGAAGTTTCTTTATCCATCTTTTGTTTATTAATGCCCAGATTTCATAAATGATTGGCATGTCTGAAAGTTTGAAACTATAGCCATTTGAAATATGTGTTTTAAATATATTTTTATTGTTAATAGTATTACAGATACACCTCACATTCTCTCCCCTTCCTCCCAGCTCCTACCCACCCCATTCCCACCCCGTCTTCACCTTATTGCCCATGCCCGTGGGCTGTGCATATAAGTATATGAGTTCTTGGGTTTATTTTTCTTGTTCCCCCGACCCCACATCGAGGGGGGGAATGTGTTTTTATTGATTTTAGAATGGGGGATGAGCGGTAGAAACAAAAATCAAATGATATGTAAAAAGGAAATGCATTTTTAATGTCTCATATGCTATGAATGTCTCATGTTTAGGGGGTTTGAAGGAACAAGCCTGTCCTTCCTAAAAGCTGTTTTTTCTTTCTTTCTTTCAGCTATTCTTCTTCACAGCCGACTAGTTATGATCAGAGCAGTTACTCTCAGCAGAACACCTATGGGCAGCCGAGCAGCTATGGACAGCAGAGTAGCTATGGCCAACAAAGCAGCTATGGGCAGCAGCCGCCCACTAGTTACCCCCCCCAGACTGGATCCTACAGCCAGGCTCCGAGCCAGTATAGCCAGCAGAGCAGCGGCTACGGGCAGCAGAGTGAGTCGCTAAGAGAGAACACCAAATAAGAGTGGCTGTGTTTGGAATTTCTGAACGTGGGGAATGGTCTCAGGCACTGTTTGCTTTCTGGCTCCAGGGGGCGCCTTTAGGGCATAGCATCCTGGCTGGTAGCTTGGATGTCAGATACAGACCTCGGTGCTTGCTTCAGTGTAATTGTTATTGGCGTGCCTTGCAAAAAGAAGAGAAGAGATTTTTAACTGGCTAGAATCAGTTATTTGCACTGGCATCCTGGTCTGTGGGGAAGTTTTATGCTGTGAGTGAAGTCAGCATTCTATGGCCTGCCCGTCCCAACTCACTGGCAGCAGCAGGTAGTTACTGAAGACTGTTTGGATAGTCACGTAAGCTCCATCCATGGGCACGTGTTGTTATCTAACAATGCAGAACCCACAGTCTGGGCGGAGGGCTCTGTTGTTGGGATGGCTTATTCTAAGCTAGCTGTAGGGGGTTACTCCGGCTTTGATGAGCCAGCACTTTGTGTTGAACTTCGAAGAGCCTATGATGAGGGGTGTGGTATCCAGGCTGGTGCCTGGGTCAGTGCTTTGCAGTTGAGAATTCTGTGCCTCCAGGAGAGTGCAGCAGGCAGTGTGTAAATGCTGGTCCATGGCTTACCAATGTGACTCTTTCCTCAGGTTCATTCCGACAGGACCACCCCAGCAGCATGGGTGTTTATGGGCAGGAGTCGGGCGGATTTTCCGGACCCGGAGAGAACCGGAGCATGAGTGGCCCTGATAGCCGGGGCAGGGGAAGAGGGGGATTTGATCGTGGAGGCATGAGCAGAGGTGGGCGGGGAGGAGGACGCGGTGGAATGGGGTAAGCGCAAACCTTTTCTCCTTTTACCTAATTTTGTTTCATCCGTAGGATTTTCAATGGAAAGAAGGGACTGAAAGACATAAGAAATTTATTCCTACATTTCCATGGACAATCGGTTGAGCCCAAGCCATCTTCTAAAACATGGAAATGTCACCTTTATGGCATATATTACATATGAAGTGGCAGCTTGCTTTTTTCCCTGCCAGTCTTCTTGGGTGGGGTGGGGAGAACAAAACCATTTTTGAAATCAGAGCTTTCAGTTCCCTTCGTGGTTTCCAGAGGTCACAAGCCTCTCCGGGTAATAGACTTGGGACGGAACACACACAGCCCTTCTAACAATCTAGGTTAATGACTAATTGTCTGAGTGGTTGTTTGGAAATACCTGGTGTGTATACTGCTGAAAAGGAGTGCCCTGTGTCCACAGTGTTTGTCCCCGACCTCTTTGTCCCCCGAACTGTTGAACATAATGCTGAAGATCTTGGTCCCATAACCTTTGAACTACGACCCGAGGTGCACCCGGTACACAGGGAAGTCCAGTAGCTTTTGCAGAGTAATGTATATCATTAATTCTAGTATTGCTCCTTATTGGAGATCTTAAGTCTAAATCGGTTTGACCATTTTGATTGATGGCACAATCTGGTTTAGAAAACTTTGTTTAGACCAATAACGTAACCCTGCTACCTGTGCCTGCCCTCCCCCTCCCTTCTCCCATCTCCTCTTTCCTTTCGGGTATTCGTACTGTGATGAAGGTGAGGTATAATGTTGGTGGTTAACATAATCCAGAAGGCTTAGTTCTGTGTGTGTTCTGTCCCGATATAAACTAGTGTTCAAGTTATGCAGAATGTTCTCTTCAGTATGAATTGGATTTGATGCCACCGTTGGTTCAAGGAAAAATTGAATGGGATTTCTTTTTTAGAAGTGGGCTTCAAAATTAAATAGATGTTAAATTTTTATCTTTAATTTTTGTATTAGCCAATTTGTTAACTATTGAAAGGTACTGATATTCTGCATAACTTAAAAGTCTTTGGTGAAATCTTTATTGGAAAAAATCATTTTTACACCATGCAAAACTTTATGACTAATTTGGTATACAGTAAAATCAATCCTCTGATTTGGAGAATGTCATTCCATCATAAAGGTTTCACTTCTTTATGAATGTTTTAAAATAGACATAGACACTTGAAATTACTATCATCACGTCTTCAGTCACCTAAAAGTCTTAGTATATTTCAATTGCAAAACCAATTTCAATGGACTCATTTTAATAACTTCCGAAGTAATAAATTCTAATTCTGCTAGCCATTGCTGGGAGAGGGGCGCTCTCCGGGATGAGGAGTCTCCTGGAGCCGCAGGAAAACCTGGCTCTCCCCATGGGGTTTAACAGACTGGCAGCAGTCCGTTGGGTCCTCTGGGGACAGGCAGGGGCGCCCTCCCTCTTTTTTATGGTTTGTGGTGATGGTTTTCAGTGTCTGCGGCAGGTAAGGCACTCAATGTTGTTAACGTGCCCTTTCTCATTGCCTCAGTATTTTGATATTTTCATTGGCTGTTAAACGTGGAAACTTTTTAACATGCTTTGTCGCATTTATATGCTACAGGTTACAAAGTGAGAGCCTTGTATACACTTCAATACTTAAAAAGTACCCGTACTCAGTACTCAGCCGGCAGCATAATGAAAAGTGGGACTAGACACGGTGTCCATATGGAGAGGAAAAATATACATAGAATATTTTTAACAAAGTGTTTTCATTGTATAAATGGAATCCTTCTGTAACTTTGGTAACTGCATACTTGTTGTTTGGTAATGAACCAGAGGAGGTATCATAATACTCTGGAATTGTGTAACATTAAAGTGTAAACTTTTGTGTTTAAAGGGAGAGGAATTTTATGGTGTGTACTTAAAAAAAAGAGAGAGACACAAAGCTGCATGCAACAGCTTGAAATTGTATATTCGGGTATTAAAGGTGCAATACTGGTTAGAAAGGCTCAGGGCCTCCCACTGAGGAACTGCCTTTATTTAATATAAAGGAGGTTAAAAAGGCCCAATTCACAGTTTCTTACCCTTTAAGTATGTAAGGCGGGAACTTGATCCTGCCACTGTTGTTTCTCTCAACTGCTATGTCTGTAAAGTTGCACCCCCAGTCCAGTTAGCCTTGGAGTTGGTTGTAAATTTTCTTTCCACAGTGACTAAATTCCCTAGTGCCCGGCAGTGTGTGGCTTTATGCTGAAGACGGCGGATGCGTCCTCTGGTGTGTGTGGTCACTAGTGTAGCTGTCTCCGTTCTCTGATGGTTAGGGAGCCCTGGGAGAGCTTGAGGGTGCACCTTTATGAACATGGAAAGTCCGTCCCACAGTCCCCGGCTTGCTGTTCCTCTCGACACCACGCGCTCTTTTCCAGCTCACGGGGTGGGTGTTCGGGATCTATTTCCCCCATTTGCCAAGTATTGCACTGTTAATACCAGCCCGAAATGAGAGGAGCCAACCACACTGTACAGTCAGACCCGCAAGGTGGTATGGACAGGAAGTGAGCGAGCTGCCCTGAAGAAAGGCATAGTGACAAGCTGAGAGAGATCGTTGTTTGGAGATGTTTAGCCAGTGCCCTTCTTCCCCACGAGCCCCCCCACGGCTCAGAGCGGTACTGGCTTTTAAAGGGAAAGGCCTTCATTTCTTCGTTTATCCCCCCAGCAGCGCTGGAGAGCGAGGTGGCTTCAATAAGCCTGGTGGTAAGTTTTTGAGTATTACCATGGATAGTGTTTAAAAAAAAAAAAAATACAGTCAGTTTTTAGAAAACTATAATTTTTTATTAGTTTTATAAGCGGTTTAAAAATGATCTATACAAGAGACTAATGGGTACTGCCGGCCTTGTCTTAGGGGTAATGAGGTTAACCTTGGTTACAAACAAAGGGTGACTTGAAGTATTGATCAACTGCTTCTGTAATGTGGGGGAAATACATTTTTTAAATTTGGTTTGGAGGAAAAATTTTGACTTAAATTTAATACTAATTTGGCACATAAGCACTGAGAGTGTATTTGGTTAACGGTTTAAAAGCAAACCAGCAAAGAAAAAACCCTAGCAAACCTTTCACGAACGTTAAAGGGGCACTGCTCCATTTTAGCGGTGCGGGTCATTTTGAGTTTAATGGAGCCCCATCAAATGGTGGTATAGTAGATAGTTATGTGTGTTTGTAAGGTTTTGTAGCTTGCAAGACACGCACTGATAATGTTTTATATGATCTTTCCTGGTTGGCAGGACCCATGGATGAAGGACCGGATCTTGATTTAGGTGATTTTAATTTTTACCTTTCACACTGCTTTATGCACACATAGCACAGGGTGTGGTAGTTTAGCAGCCTCATAGATGAATGTGAATCATTGGTGTCGAGGGCAGTTTGGGGCTTCTTTGATCAAAAGCATCTACTCGCCCTAGCCATTTTGGCTCAGTGGAAAGAGGCTGAAGGCTGGGTTCAATTCCGGTCAAGGGCACCTACTTTGGTCGCAGGCATGATCCCCAGCCTTGTCAGAATGTGTGCCTGATGCAGCCACTCTGTGTCTCTCCCCCCCTCTCTCAGATCAATGGAAAATATTCTTGGGCGAGGATTAAAAAAAAGGGGGGGGGGCACCTACTCATAGTGGCCTTAAACAGAATAAACCGGAAGTCTCATGGCTTTCTTATTAATCTGATGGGCAGTTCTAGCTTGTGATGAGGGCTAGTGGGCATAGGGACAGCTGGTCACTCGGCCCCTGTGCATACATGACAGTGACTCCCTCCTGCCTTCTTTTGGAAGGCCCACCTGTCGATCCGGATGAAGACTCTGACAATAGTGCCATTTATGTGCAAGGCTTAAATGACAATGTGACTCTGGACGACCTGGCAGACTTCTTCAAGCAGTGCGGCGTGGTTAAGGTGAGTTGGCATAACCGTGCCATCCGGCAGGTCCGCCACCGCGCATTTTAAGAGACTGAGTTGCTGTGAAGAGTAGTTTCTGAAGTTGACTGATTTTTCTTTCTGGATGTGTTGTGAGTTGCTCCTTAGCATACCATAAAATCGGGTTTTTAATTGAATCTTTACTTTTTCAAAAAAAAATAGTTTTAAGCCAGCACCGGTTTGGCTCAATGGATAGAGCGTCGGCTTGGGGACTGAGGGGCCCCGGGTTCGATTCCGGTCAGGGGCATGTACCTTGGTTGCGGGCATGTCCCCAGTGGGGGGTGTGCAAGAGGCAGCTGATCTGTGACTCTCTCATCGATGTTTCTAGCTCTCTATCTCTCTCCCTTCCTCTCTAAACAAATCAATAAAATATATTTTTTTTTAAATAGTTTTAATTTTGAGAGGAAGAGAAACATTGGTTTGAGAGCTTAACATTGATCGCTGCCTCCTGCACACCCCACATTGGTGATCGAACCGGCAATCCCTTGGTGCACAGGACGACATCCAACCAACTGAGCCACCGGCCAGGACAAAAACCTTTTTAAAAAATAACTGCTGAGCATAGCTTAAGCATATTTGATAATTTGGCCATAAGGCGGTACTATTGTGGCAGTGTACAAGGTCACCCAGAAAAAAGCCATTGGAGTTCGCACAGCAAGGAACGTGGTCAGAAAGGAATGGTAAACAATGAGTCACAGAGGAAAACCGTACAGCAAGACGGGTGGGAGTTAAAGGAACGGGGCCATCCATAAAGCTTGGCGCGGAGAAGGCATTTCACAATGATGGAGGCAGCTTTCCCGGCCAACTCGGGGCTGTGTGACTGAAGTTTTGATCCGCGCTGGGGGGGGGGGGAGGGGGGGGAGATATGGGAAGACTAACAAATTGATTGTGAGACAGGAAGGCGGGTCCCTAGAACAGAAGCTCAGGTTTGGGAATCTTGAGTTTCATTTATTAAGGACATTCTCTTAAAAGCGGGTGGGTTGGTTCTAGGGTTTGACTGTGTGAGCCATGCTGCAGTGCGCATCCTCGTTCAGCTTCTCTCACGTGTGTACAGTCATTCTTGTTACGGTGTCTGAAGGTCACCGCAAACACAGTGAGTGAAGGCATGTCTCACGTAGGTGACAACCCTGAAACTATCACCCGGTAGCTCGCTGTTTTACGGAGAAAGGAGTTCCGTCCTGGTGACTGCCTCGGTTGTATTAAGATTTTCCCAGCTGCTCTGCCCGCCCCGCCCTCCAGTATCTCCTTGGGTCACCTGTAGAGAGAATGGGAAGGAGAGGGCGGAGTGTTGTCTTGTGTGACCTCAGCTGAGTCACATGTGTGTCAGGCAACGTAAAATTTCTGCCACTCAGCGTGTCTGCACATAACCACAAAAGTGCCACTGGTGTTGGAGTTTGTAGCTTTTTATTTTTGAGAGCAGGCAAATTTGTATATTTAATCCATGAAGGATGAGGACCAGCCATACCCAGGCATAAAATTGCTTAAAGTATGTACATGGTTAGCTTGACAAGATGGTGTGGCCGACAGCATCACTGATTCATTCTCCATCCTCACCGCTACTGGGGAGCATGTCTTCCAACCGGCTAGTTTTTCAATTTGCTTTTTCCCTGTCCGCCATCTGTTATGAAATATGTTTGTGTCTTATTCTCGTTTTTCATTGGGTTGTCTATTTATATTATAGTTCTTTATATTGTATATATGATTTCAGAGAGGAGAGTGAGAGAAACATCACTGATGAGAGAGGATCATGACCGGGAATTGAACTGAGACATCCTGGTTCATAGGTTGACACTCAACCACTGGGCCACGCCAGCCAGGCGCACCTCTTTTAAAGCCCTGGATTCAGGCATTCAAGCATCTCTAGGTGTATAAACAAATGCGTAGATTGGACTCAGATCGTGTTCACGTTTAATGCCACACGCGCACACACGCACACGAAGCCGATTGGCCGGTTGCATCTGGCGCTCAGCTGAGAGACTAGTGGTCCGTCCCAGCTCCGAGGGAGCGCTGGCTGTGCTGCACTTAGTAAGATCCCACAGCCCTGTCTGCCGGGGCGCAGTGTTTGAAGGTTACTTACCTCTGCCAGTCGTTTGTTACGTGACGGACTCCATGCTGGACCACCTCTCGCCCGGACACCAGGACGAGGCCCGTGCTGCTCACGGACACACGGGGGTTTTGAGCCTATTTTAGTTCTTAAGATAAAACATCTAAGGGGAGCATCATTTTATATATTTGGCGTAGTAATATAGGAAACAAGTCGCCCATAACTCCCCCTTCGATAAAGTAACATCTGACTGAACAGGCGCCTGGGAAAGAGGCTGCCTTTGGGGGGTTGCTCTGCATGTCTGTGGACTTGGTCAATCTCCTGTGCTGTTTGGTCCTAGATGAACAAGAGAACTGGACAGCCCATGATCCACATCTACTTGGACAAGGAAACGGGAAAGCCCAAAGGCGACGCCACAGTGTCCTATGAGGACCCGCCGACTGCCAAGGCGGCCGTGGACTGGTTTGACGGTAGGACCCTTGGCGTCAGTGAGGTGTGCTCGCTGCACCGGCGGCAGATGCTGCCTGTGTCTGCTTTAACAGATTCATTCTGACTGTTAGGACGTGGTTCTCTCAGCACAGATAGCAGAAGGTACAGACCCTGTTAGCACTGTACTTTTTAATTTAATATTGGTAGCTATGGCCTTGAAATTGATGATGAGATTTTCAGGGAAAATCCACTCCAAGTGTCAGAGGCCCTGGCTCTCCTCTCTCAGCACTTCCTGTTCTTCCCATCCTGGCTTCTCACCCTGCACCGGGCAAGGGTGCCACCCCACCCCGACCCAGCTGGCCTTTCCTCGAGGTCTGAGGATGTCTACAGGCTTTTTCTGGTCCCTCCATGAGGCGCTGAGATTGTGGCGGGGCCACTGTGCAGCGGGTGGGGGAGGAGGAGAGGGTGGTCTCCCTCGCCTGGGCTTCCAGGGGGAGAGCTGGCGGCGGGAGGACTGATGTTCTCCATCTCGTTCCAGGGAAGGATTTCCAGGGCAGCAAGCTGAAGGTCTCCCTGGCCCGGAAGAAGCCCCCGATGAACAGCATGCGGGGGGGCATGCCGCCCCGGGAGGGCAGGGGGATGCCGCCGCCGCTGCGGGGAGGTAGGCATCCGCACCTGCCTGACCGGTTCCTGGACTGTAAGTGCCTGCGCCCGGAGCTGGAGACACTGGGTTTCTCGGGTGGACGAGGATGAATGATGTGAGAAAGGGACGCGGTCAATGTCGGGCCGCCGGCTGCTGGCAGTGAGCGTGACGGGAGTGTCGTGGCCGGTGTGGCTCACCTGGAGCGTAGTCCTATGTCTTGGGTTCGATCCCAGGTGGGGCACAGGTGGGAGGCAGCTGATGGGTGTCTCTCCCGTCAATGCTTCTCTTAAAAGTTAAGTTTATGGGAGCAAAAGGAAGCGAGGACTGCTTTGGTTGGCCAGAGCTGGGACGCTGTGCCTGGTGTCACCCCCGGGCTGTGGCATTTACGCCGCTCTGGGCGCTTCATCTACGACACACCAGCCCTCCCGCCGCGGTGGGAGCTACCGATTCCCTGGGCCGCTGGCGTGCCCAGTGCAGCTCAGGCCCGGGGCTGTGGGAGGGCAGGCGGGGCCATGGCGACAGTGGCCACTTCCCTGTAGCAAACCTGGTGCCACCAAGGGTGATTGTTCTCTCGTGTTTCAGGTCCGGGGGGCCCAGGAGGTCCCGGCGGCCCCATGGGCCGCATGGGAGGCCGAGGAGGAGACAGAGGCGGCTTCCCGCCACGCGGGCCCCGGGGCTCCCGGGGAAACCCCTCCGGAGGCGGCAACGTGCAGCACCGCGCCGGAGACTGGCAGTGCCCCAACCCGTACGTGCTCCTCGCACACCACCACGCACAGGGCCCCGCTCCCTTCAGAGCAGGGCTGTGTGATGCCTGGCGCTGCTGGGGGCTGGGGGCTCGGGGAGGCGAGGGGGTCACTTACCAGCTGCCCCAGCACCTCCTAAAGGTCACAGCGCAGTGCCGCCAGGGCCTGCTGACAGGAGGCTGCACGAGCAGAGACACCCTCAGTTCAGTCAGTTGATGCTTCCTGTTGTGTGTTCTATGCAGGGGGTGTGGCAACCAGAATTTCGCCTGGAGAACAGAATGCAACCAGTGTAAGGCCCCGAAGCCTGAGGGCTTCCTCCCGCCGCCCTTCCCGCCCCCGGGTAGGTACAGGCTTGGGGCCCCTCAGCTTCTCGGTATTAAACCTCGTTAACTTGGGCTGGGTGGCCTCCCGCTGTCCCTGCGGGAACGGGTCAGAGGTGCAGAGAGTGCCTCTGGCCCTCCCTCCGCCATCACTGCTCAGTGGCGGCCATCCCAGGTGTCCCCGCCACGGCAGGTCTGCTCCGGGCCACAGGGCTTGTGCTTCCACCGTCCGTCCGCCCTGCCCTGACCTGTCCTTCCTCCCACCAGGCGGCGACCGCGGGAGAGGCGGGCCCGGCGGCATGCGGGGAGGCAGAGGCGGCCTCATGGACCGCGGCGGGCCCGGCGGCATGTTCCGAGGCGGCCGCGGCGGGGACAGAGGCGGCTTCCGCGGCGGCCGGGGCATGGACCGCGGCGGCTTCGGTGGCGGCAGACGGGGCGGCCCCGGGGGTCCTCCTGGGCCTCTGATGGAGCAGATGGGAGGACGGAGAGGCGGGCGTGGAGGACCCGGGAAGATGGATAAGTATGTGGTGGGGAAGCGCCGTGGGCCGGCGGCTCTGTCAGCGGCAGGAAGCTCCCGGCACCAGGTCTGGGGGGGCTCCCTCCCGCTCCCCGTTTAACTGCGCCCCCCTCTCCCCGCAGAGGCGAGCACCGCCAGGAGCGCAGAGACCGGCCCTACTAGATGAGAGACCCCGCAGGCTGCGTTGGCTACCAGATTTATTTTTTAAACCAGAAATGTTTTAAATTTATAATTCCATATTTATAATGTTGGCCACAACATTATGATTATTCCTTGTCTGTACTTTAGTATTTTTCACCATTTGTGAAGAAACATTAAAACAAGTTCAACGGTAGTGTGCCGAGTTTTCTTTCTTCCTTTTAAAGATGGTTGTTTAACTAACTGACGGGAGCCCTGTGAGCATGCCAAGAGGGCCTCGAACTGTAACGGTGTTCATGGTTGTGATTTTTTTTTAAATAAAATTCCAAATGTTTATAAACAGTCATCCTTCTCGGCCTATGTTCCGCAGTTGCTGCGTGTCTACCTGGGGGAGCCCCTGTCGTGGGAAGTGGGTGCCCCCGGACAGCGGCTCATTTAAGGGTCCTGATGTGAAAACAAACCGAGCCCGCGGGTCGACATGGTGCCGCCAGCCAGGCAGGGGGTGTCAGCCCGGGACTGTGGGGAGGACTGGGGCGGCCGTGGTGGGCAGGCCGGAGCCCTTAGTGCCCCGGGGCCCTCAGGGCAGCGGACTCTGCAGCTCCAGGAAGCTCTGCCTGGGGAAGCCCGCGGGGGATCGATCTTCCCACTCAGACATGGTGCTTCCTGTCATGGTGAGTTTTAAACTCGGTAAGCCGCCTGGTACTGAAACAGGCCGCCTGTGAGATGTGGTCCCTGGTTGCCTTGTGCGGGGTCCAATGTCCAGGTTGGTTTCCAATGGGCATGCTTGTCGCACCCTCTGTGCACTGGTTTCAGCCACAGACAGAGACTTACCAGAAGGTTCTCCACGTCTGATGAGCACCACAGCCTCACCACGGTCCAGTCAGAAAAGAAGGTCCCAGGGGGCAGGCACCGTGAGCCTGGGGAAGGAACGACCATTTGTAATGGCTTCCGCCCATGCCTGCCCGGGGAGCACCCGCTTCGCTGGCCACGGGCTCGCCCTGCGCCTTCCCCAGCCCACAGCGACCGGTCAGCACCGCCCTTTACCCGTCCCCATCCCCCTCCAGCTGCCACTTCTCCGCTCCTTTCTAAAACCCACTCCTCACCAGTGCCCTCCACTGACAGCAGCTCCCGTCACGGCCCTTCGCCTCCCCTCACTGCGCCTCCCTGCCCCCACCTCTGACATGAGCGGCCCGAGGCCAGTGCTGGCCCCCCCCTCACCCGCCGCCTGGCTGACCCCGCCCCCTGGGGGCAGCCTCCCAGCGCCGCCCCTGGGTGTGGGCTGGACCCTGCCCGCTGCTCCACCCCGTCTCGCCAACAAGCGCTGGCCATGCCTGGACCTCAGGGTCCCTGGCTCCTTGTTCTCTGGAACCCACTCTGGTCCCCTCCCAACCCATCGGGTCTTCAAACTGCACCCCCCCAAACCTCCCACAACAGCCCAGGCCCCAGGTCCCTGCTTCCCTCTCCCCCTATTGGCCAGTGACTGTCCACACCGTGTCATCACTTCTAGGGACTCCCACCCCACGTGACCGCTGCCCGCTCTGCCCTGCCCGCTGTGGTCCAGCACATAGGCCAGCACGGCTCCCCCATGAAGCCAAGGGTGCTCCTTCCAACACCTCCGCCGTGACTGCACACCGAGGCCCGGACTTAACCTGAGCACCCTGCAAGCACAAGCACCCTGCAAGCACTTAACCCGAGCACCCTGCAAGCACTGCCGGCACGGTCCATTCCTAATGAGCCTGAGGGGAGGAATGCTGATCTTTCCTCAGGTGAGGAATGGGGCCTGGCATGGAGGGGCCCACCCTCACTCCTTCCTGAACGGCGGTGCTCTGGGTGCGGCTCCACCCTCGCAGCTGAGAGGACAACAGCCCTTGGGAAGCTGCGCAGACATCCATCGCCCGGAGCCTGAGGCTGTCCCTGCCCGGAGGGGGGTCTGTCACTCGCACTAAGTCCGTGGCCCTCCCGGGAGGAGGTGCTGGGTCCGGCGGCTGAGGATGGAGGTGTTTGTGAGGCAGGCCCATTTCTCCCCGCTGAAGCAAATGTCCAGCCCGCGCGGCCTCAGGCGCCCAGTCTGGCTGTGTCTCAAAGGACCGTACAAAGCTGGTCGGTGCCCGGGGAGAAGGGAGTGGGAACAGGATGGGCAGGGGCGGGAGAAAACAGGAGAGGTGACGGAAGTCAGAGGAAAAGCCTTGCCTGGTCTCCACCTCCTGCTGCAAACTCGGCTCCTGGCCAGTCACGCTTGGAATAAAAATTTCCAACGCAGCCTCATGGTCCCACAAAGCCACGCCCGGAGGGCCCGGGCAATGGTTGTGGAGTCAGTGGGGTGACTAATCCCTGGCCCACACATGAGCAGAGGCCGCAGGAAGTGGCTCATCCACAGGAGGAACTCGGGGCCCCGGGGCTGCAGGGGCTGGGGGGCCAAGGACAGAGTGACCGGGGCTAGTGGCCAATGCCACCGGGAGCTGAGCCCCTGGACGCCCGGACACCGAGCTGACAAAGGCTCTCAGAGCTGCGGGCGATGGGTGAGCAGTGGGCAGAGTGTTGAGACAGCCAGTAAACCAGGACAAGCGGAACGGGGAGACTGAGGCAGGTAGTTAAACAGTTTACAGCCATCCAGTAAGTCCTATCTTCCCTAAACCATGGGCACTTAAGAGTAAATGGTTTGCAAGCAGATAACAGACCTGTGCTCAGAGAACTACAGGACACTGAAAAGCGAGACAGACACAAACCACTGAGAGAATACACTGTGTTCATGGGTTGGCCATTCAATGCAGCCCCTAATAAAATACCAACGGCATGTATCACAGATCTAGAAAAAAATTTCCAAAAATTTATGTGGAACCAACAGAGACCTTGAATAGCTGCAACAATTTTTAAAATATATATATTTAAATATATGTTTTATTGATTTTTTTTTTTTTTTTTTTTTTTTACAAAGGGGAAGGGAGAGGGATAGAGAGCTAGAAACATCGATGAGAGAGAAACATTGATCAGCTGCCTCCTGCATACCCCTGACTGTGGATGTGCCCGCAACCAAGGTACATGCCCTTGACCGGAATCAAACCCAGGACCCTTCGGTCCACAGGCTGACACTCTATCCACTGAGCCAAACTGGTCAGGGCTTAAAATGTATTTTTATTGATTTCAGAGAGGAAGGGAGAGGGAGAGAGATAGCAACATCAATGATGAGCAAGAATCATTGATTTGGCGGCCTCCTGCCCGCCCCCACACTGGGGATTGAGCCCGAAACCCAGGCCTGTGCCCTTAACCAAAATCGAACCCGGGACCTTTCAGTCTGCAGGCTGATGCTCTATCCACTGAGCCACGCTGGATAGAGCAAGTGCAGCAATTTTCAGAAAGAAGAACAAAGTTGGCGGAATCACAATACCAGATATCAAGTTATCCTATAAACCCACTATAATCAAAACAGCCTGGTACTGGCATAAGAACAGACATATAGATCGATGAAACAGAACAGAGATCCCAGAAATCGACCCAAGCCATTATGCTCAATTAATATTTGACAAAGGAGGCAAGAATATACAATGGAGTCAAGGCAGTCTCTTCAATAAGTGGTTTTGGAAAAATTGGGCAGATACATGCAAAAAAATGGAACTAGACCACAAAAATAAACTCAAGGTGGATAAAAAGACTTAAATATTAAGTCATGAAACCATAAAAATCTTAGAAAAAATCTCAGACATCTCTCATAGCAATATGTTTACAGATCCATCTCCTAGGGAAGTGATTGGCAAACTCGTCAGTCAACAGAGCCCAATGTCAACAGGACCATGATTGACATTTCTTTTGAGAGCCAGATTTTTTAAACTTAACCTTCTAACGCCACTTCTTCAACATAGACTTGCCCAGGCCGTGGTATTTTGTGGAAGAGCCACACTCAAGGGGCCAAAGAGCCACATGTGGTTCAAGAGCCACAGTTTGCCAACCACTGTCCTAGGCAGGGCAAAGGAAACTAAGGAGAAAATAAACAAATGGGACGACACGCAAATAAAAAGCTTCTGCACAGCAAGAGAGACCATCAACAAAACGAAAAGAGAACCCACCTTATGGGAGAACATATTTGGCAATGACACTTCTGATAAAGGGTTAATACCCAAAATTTGTAAGGAACTCATACAACCTATCGGAAGGAAGACAAACAATCCAATCAAAAATTGGGCAAAGGATCTAAACAGACATTTCTCCAAAGCGGACATCCAGATGGCCACGAAACATACAAAAACATGCTCAAAGTCACCGCTCATCAGAGAGATGCAAAAACCCACCTCACACCTGTCAGAATGGCCACCATCAACAAATCAACCAACGACAAGTGCAGGCGAGGGTGGGAGAGAAGGGAGCCTCCTGCTCTGCCGGCGGGAACGCAGACCGGAGGAGAACAGCATGGAACGTCCTCAAAAGGTTCAACGGGGAACTGCCATTTGACCCCGGGACCCCACTGCTAGGACTATATCCTAAGAACCCCGAAACACCAATCAGAAAGGACTTAGGCACCCCTATGTCCACAGTGACATAATGTGCAACAGCGAAGACCTGGAAACAGCCCGGGTGCCCATCAGCAGAGGAATAGATTTTAAAAAGGCTGTGGAATACTACGCAGCCGTCTACACCATGGAATACTACGCAGCCGTCAAAAAGGACCTCTTACCTTAGAGGCAGCAGGGAGGGACCTGGGGAGCATTATGCTAAGCGAAATAAGCCAGTCAGAGAAAGACAAGTATCACAGGATCTCACTCCTATGTGGAATCTAATGAACAAAATAAACTGATGAGCAAAAGAGATCCAGAGGCATGGAAGCATGGAGCAGACTGCGGGCCTCAGAGGAGAGACTGGTGGGAAGTGATCAACACACATGCATGTGTGTGTAACCCATGGACACGGACAATAGGGGGTGCAGGCCTGGAGTGGGGGCGGGCTAAAAGGGGGGGGACACACATATGTAATACTTTCAACAATAAAGATTTAAAAAAATTTTTTTTTTAAATAGTAAAAGGTTTGCACTTCTCACCATCCAGAGGGTCAATAGCTTACATCACTCAGGAGACAGCAGATCCAATTTGTGCCATTTGCCAGCCACACACCGAGGACGGCTGACGTTAAAAGAACAAACAGATCTCATTCTGGCACATCAGCATAAAGCGGATGAATATTCTATTGATCTTCCCGCTCAGACCTCCCTGACCATCAGCCTTTCAAAGGGCTCAGGACAAAGGGCCCAGTGCCCCTCCCCGCCCGGAGCCTGCCCAGCTCCCACCTCTTTCCTCCCAGCATCTCCCCAATCCGGGGGCCCCACAGGCTGGCAGCCAGGGAGCACTGGGCAGCAGCAGTTCACACCAGACCGCCCCCCCCATCCTGTCCCAGGCCCCCTTTCCCCTGACTCCTTAGGGAGCAAAGCAGCCCCGCCCGGGCTCATTCCCCCGCTTCACACAGTGCCTCCCCCCCCCCCCCCCCCCCCCCCGCCGGCCCGCTCCTTTCTCCGTCCCAGGCCCTTGCTTGTTTGCGGGCCCAGCTTTAATAACCGCCCCCTACTGGACTCGTGCGGTGAGATCTTTTCTGCATGGAGTAAGGACCCCACCCGGCCGGCCGGGCAGACCCCCTTCCCGGAGCAGCTGGAGGGGCAGGAGGGCAGAAGGGCAGGAGGGCAGGAGGGCAGAGGGGCAGGAGGCAGGTGCTCCGGGGCTTTCTCTGGAAGCGGGCCCTTTGTCCACAGACGGGGCGCAGAGTGGCCATGGTGACCCACATTTGGGCAGAGCACCCCCAAGTCCCCTGTCGCCCCCCGGCTGTGCTCACAGCTCAGACCAGCTGCCGGGCACCGCGAGGACCTGGGCACTGCATGGCCGTCACCTGACCTCCAGCTGCAACCAGGCTGCCGGCAGGCTGCTCCCTGGCCCCAGCGGCGGGGACAAACGTTTTGGCCACATGCCCCCTGGCCCAGCGCCTGCACCCCGAGGGCCGTGAGGCCTGTGGGCCCCAGACCACCCGAGCCCGCCCCTCCCGCCCCTCCCGCCTTCCCGGAGGATCGGACGCGGCTGCCACACACAGACGGGGTCAAAGTCAAGAACCACCGTGGCCGGGGCCCCAGGTCTGGCCACACCCGCTGGAGTCGGACGCTGAGGTCCACGGTGTGGATGGGCCTCCGCGGTCCAGGCCGCTGCCCCCTCCGGGAGCCGGGCAGGGAGCCTGCGCCCCCGGGTGCCCCAGGCTGAGGGGGTCCCCTGACCTCTCCTCCGTCCAGCCCTGCAGGAGTCACACTGCCCAGCAGCTGACCACACCCCCTGGCCCCTCCGGGCCTCAGTTTCCTTAAAGTGTAAAACGAGGACACGGGCGAACAGGAGCGCTCCCAGGGTTAAATTCCTCAGTATCCACACCCCGTCTTCCCCGGTTCCCACGCCTCTGCCCCACCTGCCAGCAGCCCCACACCCGGCGGTGCTCCCAACTCTGTCCTCACGTCCCACTCCACTCCTCCTGCCAGCTCTGCCCTCAAAACACAGCCAGGAGCCAGCCCAGCACAGCTGCCACCGGGAACCTGTTCAGACCAGTCAGGTCACACCCTCCTCTGCTCTGAACCCCTCAAAAGAGGCACAGCCCACAGCCTGCTTCGTCTGCCTCCGCTGTCTCCATCTTCATCCCTCCCTCCGCCCCCCTCGCCCCCAGTGCCCTCTGGACTCCTGCTCCCCGTCACCCGGCCCCCCTCCTCTCCTCCCCAGCAGCTGCCTCCCGTTTCGTTGCCTGCTTTTCGCTCCGGTGCTGAGAGACTCCGCACACAGCAGGTGACACCTGGGCGCGGCCATTCCTACTGGCAGCTGTGGGCCCGGCTCCCTCCGCGGTGGGGAGGGCACTGGAGCGAAGGGCAGGCCTGCGTGGGGCTGAGCACAGTCCACTTTTTGCAAGGCCATGAGGACCTGGCGAGATGATGCACATGAGCGGCCTGGCACCGGGAAGTCTGGCACACAGTAGGCACTCAAAAAAAAAAAAAAAGCCCTGATCCTGGAATGAGGGCAATCCCTGATTACAGTCATGTTCAGACCGCCAGCTCCAGCTGCTCCTGGGCTGAGCTCCAGTTTGGGCATAAAAGTGTTGCTCATGGAGGTGGCTTCAGGTCAAGGGCACAGAGTGGTCTGGCACATAGTAGGAGCTTTCCTAAAGCTCCAAGTCTGGGCTGTTGTTGACAGTGCTCCCCTCACCCCTCTCCCAGGCCTCACTGGCCTAGCCTGGCCAGCAGGGCTGCTCCTCGGCCGGCCTGGTTCCCGCCCAGCCGGCCGCAGGGCGGGCAGGACTTCCCAAGGACCCAGCCAGGCCCCGCTCTGCAGTATGAAGAGAGACCAGGATGGGTGTGTGTGTGTGTGTGTGTGTGTGTGTGTAACTCTCCCCAGCTCGACTGGCTCCCCCGGAGCCAGGCCTGGGACCCGGGCAGGACTCACAGGGTCAGATCCGCTGGGATCAGCCCCCCACCCTCCGCGCCTCAGTGTTCCAATCCATGAAATGGGTCCCCTAACCTCGGGGTGAAAGACGACCGTTCGCCGTGGAGCAGGACGCGGGGCGGGCACTGCGGGGCCGCCCCCCACCCCCCGCGGCGGCTGGCACCCCTGGGTGGGGGCTCCTTGTCTGGCCCCGAGGGCCCATTCCAGCCGGAGGTGACTCGGCAGCGCCGGCTCTATCGCTTCCGGAGTCCGTCTCAGCCTCAGGCCCGCGGCCTTCTCCAGGGAGAACACTAAGGGGGCGGGGAACCGAACCCCGAACCCCGAACCCCTCCCGGGGGACCCGGAGGGCGGGAGGGGCTGCGGGGACCGGCCTGGGGGAGGGCGGACCTCCGGTGGCAGGACGGCCTCCTAGGGCCCTGGTGCCGCCTCGCCGGGGCGGAGGGCCGGGCCGCCCGAGTCAGGAGACTCCGGCTCCTCCCCGCGCCCCGCCGCCCGCAGGCCGGGAGCTGCGGCCCCTTTAAGAGCGCGCCCGCCCGCCCCCTCCGGCCGGATCCCAATCCCGGGGGCGGGGCCAGGCTCCCGGGCAGCGGCGGACGGACCGGCCCGGAGACCGGAGACCGGGGACCGGAGAGCGGAGACCGGAGAACGGAGACCGGAGAGCGGATCGGAGACCGGATCCCAGGGCCCGGGCGGCGCCTCTCCGCCGTGGCCCGGCTCCGGCCCCCGCCCGCCGGGGCGATGCTCCCCGAGGCCGCGGGATGAGCCAGGTGAGCGAGGGGACGCGGGCTGTGTGACCTTGGGCAGCCCCGCGCCCTCTCTGGGCCGGAGTCTGGGAAAGGAGGGCCGGCGGCTGGAGGCCAGAGTCCGGCGGAGGCAGGGAGGCAGGGAGGGAGGCACCGGGCGCTGGGGAGGCTCCGGAGGCGGGGCCTGGCCCCGGCGGCTGCCCGTCTCCGCTTGGGATCGGCCCTCGGCCCGGGCCTGGGCTCCAGCCCCGTCTCCACCGCCCCGCGCCCTGGTGCGCAGCCCTGAGGGCGCTCTGGCCCTCTCTGCGCCTCAGTTTCCTTGTCTGTGAAATGGAGACCATGATCCCACCCCAGCCCTGGCCACGCAGTGAGTGACAGGGACTGCCGGTCCGTCTGTGTCCTTGGGGAGGGGGCTGAGGGCGGCCCGCGCCTTCCGGGGGAGGAGATGTCCTCTGGGCAGCCCCCTGCCCCCCAGCAGCGGGCGAACCCCTGCCCGCCAGCCAGGGCCTGGCCCCTCTCCTGTCCGCTGTGCGTCTGGCTGTGCGGTCCTCTCTCTCCCTCTCCCCCTGTCACTGGGCGGCCCGGATGGTGCTCCCTGCCTGGGAGGGAGGACTCAGCCAGGCCCCCCCCGCCTCCCCCCCCTGTCTGCTCCCCACCCCCCAAGAGCCAAACAAGACTCAGCCAGGCCCCCCGGTCTCCCCACCCCCCAAGAGCCAAACAGGACTCAGCCAGGCCCCCCCTCCACTCCCCGCCCCCCAAAAGCCAAACAGGACTCAGCCAGGCCCCCCGGTCTGCTCCCCGCCCCCCAAGAGCCAAATAGGACTCAGCCAGGCACCCCCTCCACTCCCCGCCCCCCAAAAGCCAAACAGGACTCAGCCAGGCCCCCCGGTCTGCTCCCCACCCCCCAAAAGCCAAACAGGACTCAGCCAGGCCCCCCGGTCTGCTCCCCGCCCCCCAAAAGCCAAACAGGACTCAGCCAGGCCCCCCGGTCTGCTCCCCGCCCCCCAAAAGTCAAACAGGACTCAGCCAGGCCCCCCAGTCTGCTCCCCGCCCCCCAAGAGCCAAACAGGACTCAGCCAGGCCCCCCCCTCCACTCCCCGCCCCCCAAGAGCCAAACAGGACTCAGCCAGGCCCCCCAGTCCGCTCCCCGCCCCCCAAGAGCCAAACAGGACTCAGCCAGGCCCCCCCCCCCCGGTCTGCTCCCCGCCCCCCAAAAGTCAAACAGGACTCAGCCAGGCCCCCCAGTCTGCTCCCCGCCCCCCAAGAGCCAAACAGGACTCAGCCAGGCCCCCCCCTCCACTCCCCGCCCCCCAAGAGCCAAACAGGACTCAGCCAGGCCCCCCAGTCCGCTCCCCGCCCCCCAAGAGCCAAACAGCAAGCACTCATGGACACGAAAATCACTTGTAAAAATGACCCCGTTAGGTCTGGGGAGGACGGTGCTGTGACTGTGCCCATTTCAGCGATGGGGACACTGAGGGCCAGAGCCATGTCTCCCAGCCAGGCTGCACCCGCAGGCGCGCGGCCTGACGTGGCAGGTGGATGGGTCCAGGCGCTGGGTCTGTGGAGTCCTCCCTGCCGCATCCTCACCGCCGTCCGCTCTGTGCCCGCCCGCAGTGACCCCGCGGCCCGGGCATGGCGGACCCGGTGGCGAGCATCGCGGGCTCGGCGGCCAAGAGCGTGCGGCCGTTCCGCTCGAGCGAGGCCTACGTGGAGGCCATGAAGGAGGACCTGGCCGAGTGGCTCAACGCGCTGTACGGCCTGGGCCTGCCCGGCGGGGGCGACGGCTTCCTGGCGGGGCTGGCCACGGGCACCGCGCTGTGCCAGCACGCCAACGCCGTGGCCGCGGCCGCCCGCGCCCGGGCCGCCGCCCGGCCCGCCCGCGGCGTGGCCTTCCAGGCCCAGGGCGTGGCGCCCGGCTCCTTCGTGGCCCGGGACAACGTGGCCACCTTCATCGGCTGGTGCCGCGCGGAGCTGGCGGTGCCCGAGGTGCTCATGTTCGAGACGGAGGACCTGGTGCTGCGCAAGAACGAGAAGAGCGTGGTGCTGTGCCTGCTGGAGGTGGCGCGGCGCGGCGCCCGCCTCGGCCTGCTCGCCCCCCGCCTCGTGCAGTTTGAGCAGGAGATCGAGCAGGAGCTGCGGGCCGCGCCCGCCGCGCCCCACGCCCCCCAGGCCGCGGGGGAGGGCGCCCCCGAAACCGCCGCCGCCGCCTCCGCCGCCGCCTCCGCGCCAGGGGCTCCCGCCCGGGGGCCCCGCATGACGCCCACGGACCTGCGCAACCTGGACGAGCTGGTGAGTCCCGCCCTGCGCCCCCTCACCCTGCGCTGCGCCAGGACCAGGCAGCCTGTCCCCGGGGAAGGTGCACATATTGAGCACCGAGTGTTTACGGACCGCTGCGGGACAGCCTGTCCCCGGGGAAGGTGCACATATTGAGCACCGAGTGTATACCTCGCACCAAGATGAGCGCACCTACAGAGGGGGAGGTCGGAAAGGCCTCTGAGCTGAGCTGGGATAAGATCTGAGCCCCATGCCGAAACCGGTTCGGCTCAGTGGACAGAGCGGTCAGTCTGCAGACAGACTGAGGGGTCCCAGGTTGGATTCCGGTCAAGGGCATGTGCCTTGGTTGCGGGCACATCTCCGGTGGGGGAAGGGGAGTGTCGATGTTTCTCTCTCATGGATGTTTCTAGCTCTCTATCCCTCTCCCTTCCTCTCTGAAAAATCAATATATTTAAAAATAATAATAATCTGAGCCCCAGGTACCAGACAAGGGCTGGGTGTGGGACCTCCCTCCAGGGGCCACAAGGTCTGAGCCCCTCCTGTGTGCCCTCACTCAAGTGCCAGGCAGTTGCATCCAGGTGCTCCGTGTGAAGTGGGTGCCTGGGGCACGTGGCCAGCACACGGTGCGGGGCGCCCAGGAGGGACTCGGGGGTGCCCGGGGAAGCTCCCAGGGGCTCCGTGGGCCCCTCCCACGTCATTTGTGTGGGAGCCAGGCCAGGGCTGCTCCGGAGCGGCAGCGTTAGTAATGCCTGAGCAGAGCAGGGGCCAGACCGTGCCCCCGCTCCCGCTCCTCCCAGGGCCTGGGTGTCCCTGACGCCCCCGCAGCCAGGCCCAGAGTTTCCTTCTTATCGGGGGCCGGGGCTGGGATGTGCCTGCTCTGGAGGGCAGCAGCCGGATGGCGTGGGCCGAGGCTGCCACCACACCCCTGCCCTGGGCCAGGGTCACCGTCCCCCGAGGCCCCACCTGCTGGTTTCCTCCGTTCTGCTGTGGGCAGGCAGCGGGCGGGGCCGCCCACACGGCCGGCCTGGCAGCCGGGGCCTGGAGGGACGTGTGCGAAGCTGCCCGCTCTGCGTGCGTGCGGGCGGCCTGTGTGTGCATGTCGCTGTGTCTGTGGCATCCCTGCCTCGGCGCCAAGCCCTGAACCTGCCTCCTCCCAGGCGCTGGCCTCCCTCTGGGCCTCAGTCTTCCTGTCTGTGCCTGTGGCATGGGCGCAGGGGGAGTGGGGCTGGCTCCAGGGCTCCCCCCAGGCTCCAGGGCTCCCCCCAGGCTCCGGGGCTTTAGGGATGTGCCTCGCTGGGGTCCCCAGTCCCGGCCTGGCCACAGCCCCTCCTTCCCGTTATCCTCTGACGCCTGACAGCTCGGGGGCAGGAGGGCGGGTGAAAGGTCAAGTGCAGAGGCTACACTTCCCCGGAAGGGCTTCCTTCCTCCTGGCCCCGGAGTGGCTGACGTCAGGCTCCGGAGGAGGACGTCACCCTCACCCCAGCCCCTCCTCTGGCCTCAGGTGAGGGAGATCCTGGGCCACTGCACCTGCCCGGACCAGTTCCCCATGATCAAGGTCTCGGAGGGCAAGTACCGCGTGGGAGACTCCAGCCTGCTCATCTTCGTGCGGGTAAGCGCGGGGGCCCAGGAGCAGCCGCCCGGGACGGCACCCGGGCCCCCGGACCCCCTGGCCCCGGCCCCGGGCCCCGGGCCCGCTGTGACCCCGGCAGCTCCCGCAGGTGCTGAGGAGCCACGTGATGGTGCGCGTGGGCGGCGGCTGGGACACGCTGGAGCACTACCTGGACAAGCACGACCCCTGCCGCTGCTCCTCCGCAGGCAGGTGCCCGGGCGGGCGGGCAGGGGGCTCCTCTCTGCGGCTCCCCCCTCACATGCCCCCCGCCCCCCCTCTGCCCCCCACAGCGCACCGCCCGGCCCCGCCGAGGACCCAGACCTTCTCCCCCACCCCCAGCCCCCGGCCCGGCAGCCCGGCCCCCGGGGGTGAGCGGCGCGGCTCCCGGCCCGAGGTGACCCCCCTGAGCTCACAGAGCTCCAAGGAGGGGCCCGAGGCCGCCCTCAGGTGAGAGGCCGGACAGGGCGGGAGGCCCAGGAGGTGGTGGTGGGGGCGGGAGGCCCAGGAGGTGGGGATGGGGCAGGAGCAGTGGGGGTGGGGGGCCCAGGAGGTGGGGATGGAGCGGGAGCAGTGGGGGTGGGGGGCCCAGGAGGTGGGGATGGAGCAGGAGCAGTGGGGGTGGGGGGCCCAGGAGGTGGTGGTGGGGGGAGGCCCAGGAGGTGGGGATGGGGCGGGAGCGGCCTGGAGGAGGAGGGAGCCTGTGCTCCAGTGACTCACACCCTGGGAACAGTTCCCGTGGGTGGGGGCAGGCCTCGCTTCCCGTCTCCACGGCAACCCAGCCAAACCAACAACACAGCCGGGCGGGCCCTGGGGCTGTGGCAGCCGGTTCAGCCAACCCTGCTTCCCTCCGGCCTGGCCTCAGGGTCCCCAGGCCTGGCTGCTTCCAGGGCCCCGGGGCGGGGGCGGGGGCGGGGGAGGGGAGCCCCGGCCGCCAGCGGGCAGCGGCTGCAGGGCCTCTCACTTCTCCCTGGAAGTCCCCGGGTCAGACGTGAGCCCCACCAAACCCTCTGCAGCAACACAGGTGTCTCCCCCGCCGCCCACCCCCCGGACGGCTGCTTCCTTCCTGTCCCTACCCTTCCGGCCGGCCAGTCCCCTTTCCATGACTCTTGCCCCCCTCCCCCCCCCCGCCTCTCTCTCCCTCTCTCCCCCTGCCCCAGGGCCCGGGATCAGCTGCCCCCCCACCCCCGCTCCAGACGCTACTCCGGGGACAGCGACTCCTCGGCCTCCTCGGCCCAGAGCGGCCCCCTCGGCGCCCGGAGCGAGGACTCGGGCCCCGGCGCCCGGAGGGACAGGGAGCGGCCCGGCCGGCGGCTGACCACGGGCCCCCCGGCCTCCCCGAGGCGGCCCCCCGCCCCTCGCAGCCAGTCCCGGGACCAGCTAGAGCGGGGGCGGCCCCAGGAGGCCCCGCGAGGCCGGAGGGCCGCGCTGTCCACCCCCAGCCCCGCCCGGCGGGCCCGGAGCCAGGGCCGCGAGGAGCCGGCGGTGCTGCTGGTGCGCAGGGACCGCACCGGGCAGCACTCGTGGGCGCCGCGGGGCCGGGCCGGCGGGGGCTCCGGCAGGAGCAGCCCCCGCACGCCCCGCGCCCTCAGCCCCGCAGCCCCCCGGCCGCCCCGGCCCGCCAGCCCCGGCCCCGAGCTGGGCGCCCCGCCGGCCAGCGCCTTCCGCACGCCCCTGCAGCTGGACCCGCAGCACGAGCAGCAGCTGATCCGGCGCCTGGAGGAGGAGTTCCTGGCCAACGCCCGCGCCCTCGGGGGCTCTGCCGGGGGAGCCCCCGCTGGACCAGCCCCCGACCCGGCGCCCCCCGACCCGGCGCGGGCCCCGGACGCCCCAGGCCCCGACTCAGCCTACTGCTCCTCCAGCTCCTCCTCGTCCTCCCTCAGCGTCCTGGGCGGCAAGTGTGGCCCACCGGGGGACTGCGGCCGGGTGGCCAACGGGCTGCCCGGGGGCCGGGGCCCGGCCCTGTCCAGCTCTTCGGATGAAGGCAGCCCCTGCCCCGGTGCGGGGGGGCAGCCAGAGGCACCTGCGAGTCGCCTGGCTGGCCCTGAGCCGCCAAGGACCTGGGCGCGGGGCCGGATGGACACGCAGCCGGACGGGAAACCCTCACGGATCCCCACGCCTCGGGGCCCCCGCCGCCCGTCGGAGCCCACGGCGCCCGGGGCCTGGCGTGCCCTGCACTCCGTCAGCCCCCGGCTGGAGCCGGACTCCTGGATGTAACGGACCAGCCCGGCCGGCGGCCTCCAGGCCCCCCGTCCTCCTCTCCCTTTTCCTTCGTGGCCTTAACCCCTCTGCATCAGGGAACTCCCCACCCCCCGCCCCTCTCGGGTACCAGACCTCACGGGACCAGACCCCTTCCTTCCATGGCACAACGGGACCTCTGTTGTACATTCCGATCGGGGGATGAGCATCGCTATTTAATTACTAATATTATTGAATGCCTTAGAGGAGCCCGGCGAGGGCCCTCCGGAGGTCCCGCGGCCCTGCAGAGCCTGACAGTAAAGTTCTGTTCCAGACCCGTGTGTCCGTCTGTCTGTCTGTGTCTGGTCCTTGGGGCCATCACACCCTCATCCCATGCTGGGATTCTGGCGTTAACTCAGGGGGGCACAGCCTGGCAACTCGGGTTTCTGCGCTTAAGACGACGCTGCCCACGCCAGCAAGGCCAGGTGCACGTGAAACGGTTCCCTCTTTATTGTAATCTCCTGGGGGGCGTGGCTTAAGCCTTGGTCCAATGAGGCTCCAGGAGCCGTCTGCGAGCTGCCAATCAGATCCACAGTCAAGTTCCGTGACTCCAAGATACCCCAGAAGGGACTGATCCTTGTCTGAAGAGGCTTGGGGCCCGCCTGGGCCCAATGAAGTTCAAAGGAAGGCCGGTCACCCGGGGAAACGGGGTGGGAGCAATCCTCGTCCAATCAGGGAAGAGACTGTCCCGTCCAATCCGGAAGGAGTCCGGCCGGCTTATCCAATCGGGAAGGAGTCCGGCCGGCTCACCCAATCGGGAAGGAGTCCGGCCGGCTTATCCAATCGGGAAGGAGTCCGGCCGGCTCACCCAATCGGGAAGGAGTCCGGCCGGCTCACCCAATCCGGAAGAAGTCCGGCCGGCTCATCCAATCGGGAAGGAGTCCGGCCGGCTCACCCAATCCAGGCCCCCGGTCGCTCCAGTCAAACGGGTCCGGCTCCCCCAGCCCAGCGGCTTGGCGGTCCCGCGCGGTCACATGAGGCTGCAGTGCGCGGGGTGCAGCGCCCCCTGCAGGCGCAGGGCGGGGTGCGCGGGCCGCGCGCGCACCAGGGCGCAGCGGAGCAGCTCGCGGAAGAGGCGCAGCACGTGCCAGTTGTACTTGGCCGAGCACTCGAGGTAGCCGCAGCGCCAGCCCCTGCGCACCAGCGCGGCCAGCGCCCGCCGCGGCCCGAAGCGCAGCCGCTGCCGGTCCCGCTTGTTGCCCACCACGAGGATGGGCGCCTCCGGGGCGCCTGCCGGCCTGGGGGGCCAGACAGGCATGAGGGCGGCGGCGCCGGGGACCCCACGCGAGAGAATTCCCCCAGTGGGGAGGGGGGGCATTCGCTCAGGAGCACCCTCTCCTGCAGCCAGAAACCCCAAGCAAACACCAAAGAGCTATGCAAACACCATGCAGGACAAAGGCCGGCCCCACGGCAGAAGCGCCCCTCCCCCCCTCCCCGCCCCTCTCCTCCGCCGCCCCGCGCCCTCACCTGGCCTCGGCGATGCGCTGCCGCAGCGCCTTCACGTAGTCGAAGCTGTCGGGGCTGCAGATGTCGTAGACCAGCACGAAGGCGTCCGTGTCCTGCAGGCTCCAGTCCTTAGGGTCCGGCCACTCCTGGGGGGGAGGCCAGGTTGGCGGGGCCCGTTGTTTCCCCCGCTCCTGCGCCCTGACCTCCTGCGGGGGGCGGGGGTCCTGGCACCGAACCCACAGTTCACGCTCAGGCTCCTCCGTGAGCCCTGGGCCCGGCTGTCCCTCCGGCCACCAGACCCGCTGGAAGCTGGTGGGCCGCCCGCCCTCCCCCCAGTCTCCCCTCCAGGCGCCTCCCTCCCGCGGGCCTGGCCCAATGAGGCCCCGCAGACGCTCCGCACGCACGTGGCCGGCGCGGGCAGCTGGGGCCCGTTAGCCGCGGCCTCACCTGCTCTCCCTCCACCTGCAGCGCTTCTGCCGCTGCTTTCCCTAAAACTCCACCCCCCCAGGTCCCGCCCCAAGGCCCCCCTCCCTCCTGGGAGCCCTGCCTGCTCCGGCCTCTGCCCTCTCCGAGGGCCCAAAGTCTGTCCTGGACTTTCCACCAATTTCTATGCGAGTCTGAGTCTGTGCTCCAGGTCACATGCACCCCCTCCCGGAAAGTGCACCCCTGATTCTGCCCCAACTCTCCCTCTGGGGCTCTGCTCACGGCCCTGGACACACCATGCCCCCCACAACTGAGCCAGACACCCCACCACCACCTCTGAGTCAGACCCCCCCACTGAGCCAGACCCCCCACAACTGAGCCAGACACCCCACCACCACCTCTGAGTCAGACCCCCCCACTGAGCCAGACCCCCCACAACTGAGCCAGACACCCCACCACCACCACTGAGTCAGACCCCCCCCACTGAGCCAGACCCCCCCACTGAGCCAGACACCCCACCACCACCACTGAGCCAGACCCCCCCACTGAGCCAGACCCCCCACAACTGAGCCAGACACCCCACCACCACCTCTGAGTCAGACCCCCCCCACTGAGCCAGACCCCCCCACTGAGCCAGACCCCCCACAACTGAGCCAGACACCCCACCACCACCTCTGAGCCAGACCTCCCACCTCTGAGCCAGACACCCCACAACTGAGCCAGACACTCCACCACCACCTCTGAGTCAGACGCCCCCCACTGAGCCAGACACCCCACCGCTGAGCCAGACCCCCCACCACTGAGCCTGGTACCCCCACCCTCCACCCTCCACACACACCCCGTCACCCCGCCGCTACCTCCGGGCCCCCGGGCCTCCGGGCGGGCTCAGCGCCGTCGCCGTCGCGGATGCTCAGGTCGTAGACGGCGCCGTCGAGCAGCACCGCGGGCCGGTAGAGGCGCGGCGCGTCCGTGGGCTGGTGGCGCTCGGGGTAGTCCCCGAACAGGAACTGGCGGATGATGGCCGTCTTGCCCACGCCCGGGGCCCCCAGCACGGCCACCCGCAGGCTGCCCCCCATGGCCCGCGCCGCCGTGCGCCCCGCGCGGGGGCCTCATGGGCCGGCGCCGCCGTGCGTCCCCGGTCCCCCCCCTCCCCCCGGGAGGCCGGGCCGGAGCGGGGCGGCGGCGGGAGGCGCCGATCGGGGAGCAGGACCCGCCGCGCAGACACCGCCTCCCCCGCCGCGGCCGGGGCGCGGAGCCCGCTGCCTCCGCCAGGTCCCGCCGCGGAGCTGCCTCCGGGCGCCTCGCTCCCCGTCCTTCTCCCCGGCACCGTCCTCTGTCCCCGCACCGTCCTCTGTCCCCGCACCGTCCTCTCTCCCCGGCACCGGCACCGGCACCGGAGCGGCCGCCTCCCGGCGGCGGAGCGAGCCGATGAGGTAACCGCCCCTCCCGCCTCCCCTGCTCCGGCGCCTCCCGGGAAGGGGCGCGGGAAGGTGACTGGGGCGCAGGGAGCCCGAGGAGGGAGCACCCCGCCCCGCTGCTCTCCGGCTCCAGACAAGCCCTTCCCGCCCGCGCCCCGCGCCCCGCGCCCCGCGCCCCGCGCCCCGCGCCCCGCGCCCCGCGCCCCGCGCCCCGCGCCCCGCCCCCCGCGCCCCTCCCCCCGCGCCCCGCGCCCCGCGCCCCGCGCCCCGCGCCCCGCGCCCCGCGCCCCGCGCCGCTCCAGACAGCGCCGCCGGCCGGGTCCAGCCGGGTGACCTTGGGCGAGTCACACACGGCGGCGCTGGCTCCGCTCCGCATCCATCACCTCCGGACCTGCGAGGGGCCGGGCCCTTTGCTGATCTATTATGTAAGTGAGCCCCGCACCGACCCCGCAACCGAGGCCCTGTGAGGTTGGGGGGCAGTGGCTGACCCCTGACCGGCCTCCTAGGATGTGTGGTCTCCTCCGATCCCACCTGCCCACGGAGGAGAGGGTCAGCACCGTATCAGCTGGCAGTCGTGCAGGGAGGGGCGGGCAGAGGGCGCTGAGCCCCAGAGCGCCAGGTCCCAGCAGCTCAGCCCCATCCCATCCAGACGCGCTCTGCGGACTGGAAACTGGCTGCCACCGCCCCGGCCACTGCTGAGGCCCCGTTTCCCGCCTGGTCTCCACCTGTGTCCCTCCAAACCCAAGACCTTCCCCCCTCCCGCCTCCCCGGAGCTGGTGAGTTCCTTCCTTCCTTCCCCCCAGGCTGGGGAAGTCTGGGTGTGCCAGCTCCCCTCTCCTCGGCCTGCCTCCTTCCCCTTCCCTGACCAGATGGGTGCCCAGGCCCTGGGCGAAATGCAGACCTTCCTGCCTCCGCACTGACCAAGGGGTTCCCTTACTGCTTGCCAGGATGCTGAGATGGGTTTTAAAAAGAGAGAAAAGCCCTACGTTATGGTCTGGCCGGTAGCTCAGTGGTTAGAGCGTCGGCCCTGCACTGAAGGGTTGCGGGTTCCATTCCTGGTCAAGGGCACGTTACCGGGGTTGCAGGTTCACCTCGTGGGGACTCATGCAGGAGGCAATCTATTGATGTGTCTCTCACCTGGATGTTTCCCTCCCTCCCTCTAGCCCTTTCACTCTCCCTAAAAATCAATGGGAAAAATACCCTCACTGCCAACACACTATGGCCTTTTCATTGAAGGTCCAGGAGCTGTAAGAATACAGACATGCACACCTCAGCGAGGGAAAAGGAGAGGAGGAGGAGGAGCCAGCCCGGAAGTGGGGAGGGCACTCCTCAGGGGCAGAGGGCGGAAGCAGGGGTGTTCCTCCGAGCTCTGGTGTGTTCGTGCCCTCCTCCTGGGTGCGGGACCGGCGTTTGTTTTCACTCTCCTCCGCCGTCCAGGAGCTCAGAGCCGACGTGTAGCCACCTGTGGCCACCGTCCCAGGCCTTCAGGTCCAGGGCATGGGGACTCAGCCCTCCCCTGAACTGCATCCAGCTCGCTGGGCTTCTTGCTCTGGAATCCACTTCACTGACCGTTCGTTGTGGTCTCTCCTGACCATGAATGACAGCTCCATACTGCTTGTCCCCCAGTACCTCATCTCCCTGGGCCTTGAGTGAGAGGGTGCCCTCACCACACAGATGCCTGGCACCTAGTGGGTCCTGGTACCCCATGGTAATGCCCTGGCCACTGAGTATAGCTCGTCAGCCTCCTGAAGGCCAGCAGGACACAGGAGGCAGCACAGACAGGGCTTCCGGGCCTCTGAAGTGAGACTGCCAGCTTTTAAAAGCTCCTCCAGGGATGTATCGTCTGTGCAAGTTACTGACACTCTCAAAGCCTCAGTTTCCTTCTCTGTAAAGGTGACAATCATGGTCTTAACTTCATAGAATTGTGGTGGGATGACATGAGATGATACAAAGAGAAAAACAAGACCATTTAGGAAGGCTGGAGGGGGCAGCTTCCTCTTTATATAAAAATAATTACTACCATGCTTCCCCGAAAATAAGACATCCTCTGAAAATAAGACCTAGCGCATGGAAAGATAAGACATCCCCTGAAAATAAGACCTAGCGCAACTTTGGGAGAAAAAATTAAGACACTGTCTTATTTTCGGGGAAACAGGGTAGTCACAACACACAGTGGAGACGGGTAAGGATGCACACAGACATCTCCTGGCCGGCCAGCTGCGGGGGCCCAGCGGGGCCACCCCAGGAGCACAACCACGCCAGGCACCCAGATTTTGTTGTTGTTTGTTAATCCTCACCTGAGGATATTTTCCCGTTGGTTTTTATAGGGAGTGGGAGAGAGAGGGAGAGACAGAGAGAAACATCGATGTGAGAGAAACACATGGATCGATTGCCTCCTGCATGAGCCCTGACCAGGAAGGAGCCTGCAACCAAGATACGTGCCCTTGACCGCAATCAAACCCGGGACACTCCGGTCCGCAGGCCAACACCCTATCCACCGAGCCAAACTGGCGAGGGCCAGATCTTGGTTTCTAATGGCGCTCACTAATACACAACCCGACTCCTTGGAGAGAGGGCTGACTGTAGGGCGGGGGCAGGACAAATGCAGGATGAGCCTGGAGCATCTGGTGGATGCTGCAGAAGGAACAAAATCATGGTGGCACCTCCAAGGGCAGCGTTCACCTGGAAGAGCCCCATGGCCAAAGCTGGAGCAGTTCAAGCAACACCACAAAGTGGTTTTGGACTAAACCCAAATTATAAACTGGATATGCGTGCCTCCAAAGGAACAGAATCGATGTTAGAAGGAAGGGCAGTGCAGAAACACATCTCCTTGCAGAAGCATTCCGAATGGCTTCTGCAGCGCGCCCTGGCCCCGCCTGCGCTCCTCCCGAGTGTAGGCTGCACTTAGCGACTGGCTCCCGAAGAGCAGAGCACAGACGGGGGAGAAGCTGCAAACGCCACCTGAGCCACGTGACCTTAAAGACTCCGCACACCAGTCTCACCCTGAGAGAAACATCAGACAAGCCCAACGGAGGGATTGATCGTCTACGAAATACCTGACCACTGCTCCTTGAAATGATTAAGGACCAAAGGGGTCCCCAGTCCAAAGCTCAGACCTGGGGTCGTAGGTTCAATCCTGGCCTCGGGCGAGGCATGTGTGGGGGATACCAACTGATGTGTGTCTCTCTCACATGGATGTTTTTCTTTCCCTCCCCTCCCCCTTTTTCACTCTCTAAAAATCAATGGAAAAAATATCCTTGGGTGAGGATTAACCAGAAAAAAAATAAAAATAAAAAATGCAGCGGTACAGAGCAGAAGCCACAAAAACACTCGGATGTGGAAACTGAGTGTATGATAAAATGGCATTTCGGATCTGTGGGGTAAGATGAATTATTCAGTAACTGGTGTGAAGACGACTGGGTAACCATCTGGGAAAAGAGGAAGTTGGAATCCCTACCTCGTCCCTAACATAAAGCCCGGATGGAATAGGATCAAAATGCAAAAACTAAGATCAGGTACGTATAGAAAGAAGAAATCAAAAGACTACATAAGAAACAATTCCAGCAAGGAAAAGTAAAAAGCAGTAACAAAACGGGGAGGAATGACAAAGCAGGAGGAAAAGGACCAATAACCGCAGAGAAAAATGCCAGGCACCGTGTGGGTGGGAGAGGGCACAATCGTGGTAAGGTCCTGCCCACAGCTGGAGTTAGGAAGGAAATTCACGATGTCCGGTGACAGCCCAAGGCCCTCTGTCCAACCCGCCAGCCTCTCTCACCAGCTCCCCTCCTCACCCTGGGCCTCAAGTTACCCATCGTCCCCCACTGAGCACAGCCACCCTACACTCCAGCTCTTCCGCCCTCCGCGTGGGGCGGGGCGAACAGAATGTGTTTGGGTGGAAGTTGGGCCCTCAGAGCAGCAGGAGCAAGCAGGTCACGGGCAGGCAGGGTAACAGTCTCTCCCCAGGACTCACAACCTGCCCTCGCCCGCAGCCAGAGGGGACTCCAGCCGTGTACCCGGGGCCTTCGGAGCCTGGGGACTTGCAGGTGAGAAGTTAGGGTTGTGCAGTCAAGGGCCTAGGCTCTGGGTCTCTAGGACAGCCTGACAATACCCAGGGGTCAGAGGTATGGCGGTGGAGGGCCAGGTGCCCCTGGGAAGGCAGCATGTGTCAGAGGTGGGCAGGGTGCAGGAAGTGGCTGGGGCTGGAACAGCGAGGGACCCAACTGCTTCTCCCTCGGAAGCAGGCTGAATGCCTCCCAGCCACGAGGCCCCGAGAACCCCGGGCAGCTCTGCCATGGAAGCCCTGCCCGGGCCTGGCGGTCCTCCCGAAAGCTGGCCAGTGCCAGGCCCGGGGCCACAGGAGCATCCTTGGTAGCAGCCAGGCAGCTGTCGGCTCAGTTCCCACACTCAGCCAGCTGCACTGCGAGGTGGGACGGCGTGCCCAGGCAGGCCTGGTGTGCAGCCACTCCCTGACGGCAAGGAGCGCCGGGAAACCAAACCATGTCCGCCCTCGTGGCCAGCATCGGGCCAGCCGGCGCCTGCTCGGGGAGTTGAAATGAAGGGTGTGAGCGGTGCCAGGGACCAGCGGGACCAGCAGCCAGTGTTTAAGGACAGGGGGAGGGACAGTCCTGAGTGCCCGGGGAGAGCTGGGCACAGAGCTCAGCGCCTGACCCTGGACCCCAGGGTCCCAACCGGAAGGGCCTCAGGTAGGACCTGACACACTGGCCAGGGACATGCTTGATGTCATCATTTTTATTCACTTTCTCTTTTTGAAAATAAGAGTAAACATACAATATATAGTCTCTATTTATATATATTATGTATAGTTACTGCGGGGCTCAGAAAATCATCCTCAACCACGGGGAGGCAGCTTTCCGTGCTGACATTGGGGGCAAAGGGAAAGAAGTGTCCGTGATTGCCAAAAGCAGACTCTTTATTATTAAACAGCAGTAACAGGAAAACTAATGCTCCGTCAGACACACGGACACCGGGGAGGCCGGGAGGAGGGAGCAGACACGGAGGAGAAACCCTGTGCAGGAGGCGCCCCGCTGCCTGTGTTCCCGTCCCTCAGGCCCCTCGGCTCTGGGAGCCCGGGGACACAGGAATGTACACGGGCAGTGACCGCCCTCAGGGCAGAGAGAGAGCGAGGGGAGGAGGGGTGTGTGCAACCGCCAAGGGGGCAGGGCCTGGGCAGGGCTCTGCCCGGCCTCCTCATGCTGGTCAGCTCTGAGAGGCTGGGGCCGACAGGCCTGACTGCTGGGCCTCAGCTGGATGGACGCAGGAAGAGAGGTTGGGGGAGGGCAGGTGCAGACCCTGGGAACCCCTGACTGACAGAGCAGCTCTCCTGGTACCAAGGGGACCCTCCACGCACACCAGGACAGCCTGGCAGGGCCCGGGCAGGGGGGAGGGTCAGTAACACCCACCCAGGAGAGGCGGAGGGCAGGGCTTCCAGGCTGGGAGCCTGAGAAGGAAACTTCGCACTTGCCCCCGGGCCCCAGGAAAAGACGAGAACTCTGGTCTCACTGTTCAGCCTCGGTGACTGCTCTGGCTCTGTCTCCTTTGGTCTCCTCCTCACTGACCCTAAATGTCAGCAGCCATGGAAGAGGGGTCCTCCAAGCCTGGGAGAAACTGAGAATTCACTCCAGGAGGGTGCCACCCTGCCCTGAGGACCCAGGCGGGCCCTGCAGTCAGGACCAGGAAGCCCGGTGGGTGGCTAGGAGCCTTGCCAGGCCCCTCCCGGGAGGAGGGACGGTCGCCCCACAGGGGGCTCCTCCATGGCTGGCAGAAGGCTGGGGGGACCCCGGTCGGGCCTCAGTTCTTGAGGATGGTCTCGTAGGCCTGGTACACGTGCTGGGCCACCTCGGGCGCTCGGCACTTCAGGGACAGCTGCGGGGAAAGAAGGCCACACTCACTCCGGGCTCCTCTCTGGGGCTGGCACCTACTAGGCTGAGAGGGGACACGTGGGGAGGGCAGACAGGGCGGGGCCCGATGGAAGTGGTGTGCACACGTGGCCGGGTGGCAGCAGCATGGCTGGGCAGCTGTGTGGCGAAGGAGAGGGGGCGGCCGCCGCAGCCAGCCGGGTAGGCACCAAATATACTTCAGCCCACACACCTGCTGTCAGCCAGCTGCGCGGCCCTGTGGCAAGCAGCGTGAATCAGCAGCCGGAGGCTGTGAGGAGGCCCAGCCCCCACCCTGCAGAGCTGCCTGGCTCCCACAGCCATGGGGGCTGAGGCCCGAGGAGGTATGGGGCGGGGGGAGCAGGCTCCCGCTCTGGGAGATGGGGCGTGTGGGTACTGGGGTTCTTCCTGATTTCTTGCACAGGAAGCAGGCAGCCGGAGACTTGGCCTCGGCTCTAACTGCAATAGGAGCAGAGAGCACAGGGAGAGGAGTGACAAGTGCCACCACCGCTCCTGCCAAAACGGCTGCTCTGAAGATGCAGTTAGGAAGGGGCGGGCAGGCGGCCCAGAAACCAGCAGCATGGCCCCAAGGGGCACAGCCTCCTCTGAAAGGCTCTGCGCGCACTGTGTGTGCGGAGAAGTGGGGGACCAGCCCCGCAGTGGGGGCCCTGGTTGGGAAGCAGTGGGGTGTCAGCAGAGGGCAGCTAGCTCTCCTGCCCGCAGCCTGGATGGGGACCAGTGGAGCTCCGAGGCCAGGAGCCGGGGTGCAGCGGCTGGAGCCAAGCCAGGAGGCGGGTGTGCAAGGTGTGGCCGGGGAGGACGAGGGGAAACGGGGAGAGAAAAGCAATCGCTAACCTCCAAGTCCTGCACCACGGGCACCAGCAGGGAAGGTGGACATGCAGCAACCAAACACAGGGAGACGGAAATCACCATCACTGAAGCCACCGCCACAGCCTCCACCCAACCACAGAGCCAGGGCTGCCAGCGGGGCCTGGCAGAGGGCTGCAGGGCCACGCCTGCCGGAGACTTGGGTGCAGGGAGAAGCAAAGCCCGTGCCCTTTGGGACCTGGCCCGGCAGCCCGGCGTCCAGGACAACACGCCCTGCATGGAGCCACACCCTGACGGGGCTGACTCAAAGGCTGGGAGGGACAAGCTGCCCGGAATCCCCAGCCTCGCCGGCGGGCCCGCGGGCAGGCCACTGCCGCCGCCCAGGGCCCAACTTGACAGAACCGTCTAGTCCAACTCACTGTCCCGAGACCCAGCGTGTCTTCTGTGGGTAACGTGACGGGACTGAGTTGGAAGCTTTCTAAGACCCTCTGTAGGGACAGAATTCTGATGCCCGCTCACACCAGCCTCGAAGGGACTCCAGCCTCGCGGGACCAGTGTCCGTCAGAGCTGCCCAGGGCCCGGGGGCAGAGGCCGGGACAGAGCCCGGTGGCAGGGGGAGCGGGCCTCACCGTGAAGCTGGGGTTGCCGGGCTGGATGCGCAGCTCCGCCAGCACCCAGATGCCGTTGGTCAGCTTCAGGGACTGGTAGAGCATGTCCTGCCCCTCCACGGTCCTCTTGGCCACCGTGAAGATGTTGCTACTCTGCAGCCTGCTGCTCACTGCCTCTGGGGTCAGAGGCCGCCCAGTCAGAGACAGGGGAGGGGCTGGGGGCAGGGGAGGGGCTGGGGGCAGGGGAGGGACTGGGGGCAGGGGAGGGACTGGGGGCAGGGGAAGGGCAGTGGGATGGGTGTGGGGGGCTCAGGAGACCTACCTGCATTGAGGGGACAGTCTCTGATCTGGAACTGGGCTTCGTTCTCATTGGGAATGTCCTTCCATGTGGCCAGGAAAACCTGCCGATCTGGGAGGCGAGGAAAGGCGGGACCTTGGTAACTGGCCCCGGGCAAGCACACGGAGCAGGAAATGTCTGCCTTGGAACAGGAAGGGCAAAGCTCCTGACTCCTGAGCAAGCCCGCCCTGTGGGGTGGCGCCCTCTGCTCCCAACAGGCCCCGCTTCCCGCCTCCGGGCCTCAGCTCCCCGCAGCACCCACAGCCGCTCGTTAGTCAGCCTGTGTGACAGGACTTCTGTGGTGGCGGAGACGTGAGGGGGGCTGAGTGCTCCACGCAGCGCTGAGCTGGGAGTCGCTCAGGGGCTCCAGCCAGGGCACAGAGATGGGCATGGGTGTGAGGCATGGCCTGGGCTCCCTGCCTCGAGGGCCCAGGGGACAACTGTCCAGAGGCCAAAGGCCAGGCTAAGGGCAGAGCTGGAGAACAGGAGTGAGACAGCTCCTGCACGGCACGCCCCCTGGTGGGCAGTTGGCCTGACGAGACCCTGGCGGCCCCGGGAAGTGTGCCCTCACTGCAGGCTCCGCAGAGAAGCGGTGACCACAGAGCTGCATGGGGCAGACCCCTCCATCTGTCCCAGGCACCCCGGGGTGGCCGCACACTCACCCATCTTCCCGTCCTCCACGAAGAGGATGTGCAGCGGGTACAAGGTGCTGAAGTAGAAGACGTCGATGTTGTTCTTCACAGCCACCTGGGGACAGGGGCCCAAGTCAGTCCCTGAGGCCTGGCCCCACCTCGGAGGCCCAGGCAGGGCCACGCCTGCGCCCACACCTGATCCGACCCCCTCACAGGCTTCCCTGGGAGCCATGCCCTCTGTCCCCTCTGCTCAGGCCCAGAGCAGGCCTAGACACACACACACACACACACAGGCAGACCCCCCAGGCTCCGCCCCGGGGGGTGCGCCGGCGAAGGTGAGGGCCGGTCCTGGGACGCACCTGCAGGTTGTTCAGAGGCTCCATCTTCATGACGGAGCCCACCGTGCTGAGAGGCAGGGAGAGCTCCACGGTCTGGTTGGGGCTGAGCGGTGCGTGGACCTGGAGGGGGGCGGCGGGGGCCAGGCCGAAGCTGTGGAGAGAGAAGGCCCGCGGGCAGCGGGGGCAGGTGCTGACACGCGGGCTCCCCCGGCCCCGGGCTGGGCACCGGGTGGCAGGAAGCCTCTCCCGCAGGCCAGCCTCACGCCAGGCCCAGGCCCACGCCAGAAAGACAAACTTCTGACCCTCGCCCTCCACCCGGCAGTGGCCCAGCGGACAGGAGGACAGTGTCAGGCCAGCTGCAGGCCCGAGCCCATCTCTGCTCCTCTTTGTCCTCTGGCCTAGACACTGGGCACCGTGAACTGAGCATGTGGCGTTATACCAATTCCAGCCTCATACAAAGAGCGACAGGCATACAGTCTCCCAGCTTCCGGGACACAGAGGCCCAGGGAGGGGCAGGCCTGCGGGGTGAGTGGCTCTGCCCAAGGTGGCAATCGGCCTGCCGGAGACACAGCCCTGGCGCTGGCCCGGCACCCCAGGCTTTCCGGGAGCTGCCCCACAGCAGCTGTGTGACCTGCTGAGCCCAGGTGCCATTACCGACTCAAAGAGGAATGACATGGACACCCCCGGGCTGTCAGGTGGCTCCAGGGAGACAATACTTTGAAAGCACAGGGCCTAGACCTTAGGAAGCTTTCACCACACAGGAGGTTTGCTATGAGTGCTCACAGGACCACCCCTGGGGACCTGGAGTCTCTGTGGCCTCCGGGGTCACATGAGGGTAACTGGCGGGACAGCTGCCACCCTCCCTGGTCTGACCGAGGGTCAGGCCCCGCCGGCCCGAAGGCTCTCCCTGAGGAAGCAGCCCCTTCAGTCAACTTCTTAGAGGCTCAGTTTGCTCATCACTGGAGCTGCTCAGGAAGAAGAATCATCAGCAGAGGCTGCTCAGTTCCCCGAGAGCTTGGGCCCGAAGACCCTCTGGTGCCGGACAGGACCCCCCCCCCCCCCAGCGCAGGGACCTGCTGGGGTGAGGAGCTGGAGCAGCCGCCACTCCCATCCGCCCTCTGAGAGCTGGAGCAGTTCAGGGATGGGAAGCTGGCACCACGCTCCTGTCAGGTGGGCGCGGGCCAAAGGCTGGAGCTGGGACTTGTCAGTAACGCACCTCTGTGGGCGGGGAGGAGGGCAGTCAAAGGGCAGAAAGCCCACCCCTGGCCCAGTGCTCTGAAGTCCGCATGAAGCGGTCACTGGGGGTGAATCAGACATTTTGGTCTGAATGTGGCTGTGAGGAACACCTCCTTCGGCAGAAAGGACCCCCGGCTCTGCCCAGGGGCGCTTGGAGCTGGCCGGGGAGCACACCTGTTGCGGTTGAACTGGATGGCGAAGTCGGTCATGACCTGCAGGGCTTTGTTGGTCAGCTGCAGGTCCATGGAGATGGAGCCCACCTGGCGGGTGAAGGTGCCCAAGATCTCCAGCCCCTTGGCTTTCATGGCGGGGAGCCAGATCTGCAGGAAGGCGGTGGGGAGGGGCTGCAGTCTGCCATTTCCCCAAAGCTCCACAGCCTCCGAGTCCTCCTCTCTCCCCTGCAGGTGTTCCTGCCTGTACTGCCAGGGATGACAACGTGTAACGGAGCAGAGAACCATCCTGCATGGCACCCAGGCCACCATCACTGGGGCAGCTCAGGGTAGGCTGACCCAGATACTCAGCGGCAAAGGAGGAACACTCAGGAAGGAGGGAGGACAGTCTACAAGGAGCCAAGGAGAACGGAGGCCCGGAGCCCGAGGCCACGCTGGGTCTCCGCCAGGGCCGCAGGCCTCCCTGGCCTTCACAGCCTGTCCTCTCCAGAAGCAGGCCTGGCCTTCAGTTGCGGAAACTGGTCTGGGGACAGTCCCTAAGGGCCCCTGCCTGGCAGCCCCTGCTGTTTGGCTGCCCCTGTCATCCCGGCCCAGCTTAGGAGCCGCCTCCCCAGAGAAGCCCGTCCACTGGCTCCTTCCCCAGTGGCATTCAGGGAGCGTCTGCTGAGCAAAGAGCTTGAAGCAAAGCCCTGCCCATTGGCCGGTGTCACCCCATGGACAGGCAAATCCTCTCAGGCCGTCATTCTCACTCAGATGGCTCCCGCACAGCCTCCCTGTCAACATGTCCTGTGAGCGAACATCCCATCATCGCTATTGCCAACTCTCTAGAGCCACTTAGCAGTGGCCTTCAGCCACCCTGACCCTATGCCAGGGACTTCTTGGTTCATGGGTTGACGCTCAACCTGGGCTTATTGATTATTTTTAAAATTACAGGTGTTGGTAGGTGCACAGTCCACAGATCTCATTTAAGGATAGGAGAGGAAGGGGGCATTATAAAATGTCTATTATCACCAAAACCGGTTTGGCTAAGTGGATAGAGCATCAGCCTGTGGACTGAAAGGTCCCAGGTTCGATTTCAGTCAAGGGCATGCACCTTGGTTGCGGACACATCCCCGGTAGGGGGTGTGCAGGAGGCAGTTGGTTGATGTTTTTCTCTCTACTGATGTTTCTAGCTCTCTATCCCTCTCCCTTCCTCTCTGTAAAAAAATCAATAAAATATATTTTGAAAAAATGTCTATTATCAACGAGAGGCACTGGGCCGGACCGCACTGAGAAGCTAGTTCCCTGGGAAGATGCCGGCTCTCCCTCACCTCCAGGCCTTGTGCAGGCTGGGGCCCTCTGCCCACTCTGCCTGGCTAACTCAGACTTGATCGGCAGGCGTGAGTGCCAGCTTCGCTCTGGGATGCCTTTCCCAGCCACCCCCGTGCCTGACTCAGCACCTCTCCCCTGCGCTCCCACAGCCCCAGCTGCCCTGGGCACTGTGCTGGCAAACCGCGGCTCCTGGGGCCCGCCCGCTGGCCTGAGCAGATCCCGTGGAATGAGCCGTTTAAGGAGCCCGCCCAGCAGCCAGAGAGGAGGCGTGGTACTCACTGCTTTGGGGGCCACATAGGATCCTGACAGGGCGCCCACACCACTGGTCAGGTCAAAGAGGTCACTCAGGCCACTGCCCATGGGTGCGCCGAGGTTAGCTGGTGCTGTCGCTGCTGGAGGTGTCACGAAGTTGGGGGCCCCGATCTGGAAAGGGGAGAGAAGGGGTCAGTGCAGGCGCCGGAGGCAGGGTCCCCAGGGGCCTGGGAGGGGTGTAGCCACCTGGCTCTTTAGGAAATAGGGTGGGCGGGCAGGAGGGGTCCCACAAGGCTTCTGTGACATCAACTCTTAGGTTGCAGAAACAAGAGTGAGGAGGGTGCAGAAGAGGGCTGTGCCCTGCAAATCTCAAGCCTTAGGGGGGGCCTCTGGGAAAGCTGGGGACACTTGTAAGCTGACCTCAGTCCACCGATAGAGGGGCCCGGAGGCACTGCCGTGAGAGGTGTGTGCTGAGGAGACAGAGTGCCCTCCCCGGTATCAGAGGGCCCGCGGGCACAGAGGGCCAGCGAGCCTCAGGAGGACCACGCACATTGGTCACTGGGCAGTGAGGACGGGATGAGGAATTGATGGACGTCGGGGCCCAGTGGCAGCGGGACTGCCAGCACAGAGGCTGCCAGGATGCTGGACAGACCAGGGCTCAGCAGGGAGGGCCTGCTCTGACACCATCTGCCCCCTGGGACGTGAGGCAGCCCGCTCAGGAGGAGCAGGGACGAAGGCTTGGTGACGCAGGGTTGAACCGTACCCCTTCAGGCTCATCCCCCATCTCCAAGCAGAAGCAGAAGGGTGAAGAGACAGGCAGCCACATGCAGAGAGAAGCCAGGAGGGAAGACACACAGAGAGACAAGGGGGAGGGGGATGGGGGAAGGACAGGGGGGTAGGAAGAAGGAAAGAGAGAAAAGATTAGTTACTGCTGCCCCATCCACGATGAGTCTGGTGCAAGGCTGTGCCGGGACTAGGAGGGCCTAGACAGTTTCTACGGGGAGCACTGCCCCTGGTCTTACCCTCTCACCCACACCCTGTGCCGCAGCCTCGGGATCTGAGCTGGCATGACTAAGTGACACAGGTTCTGCTGCCCGCTCTACCTGTCTCTACCAGCTGCCTGAAGAAGTTCCAGGAAGACACCCGGACCAGTCTCACTCCACCTTCCTACAAGGGAGGAAAACTGTCCCTGACCTCTATCGGGCCTCTCTCAGGCCCGCTGGGCTGCTGCCCCAGCTGTGCAGGGTTTGGGGGTACATGGACACGGATCTGGCTCCTGCAGCCTTACAGGGCCAGGGTGCCTGCAGGGTCAGACTCGGGGGAGGGACTAGGACTGTCCTACCTGCCCCAGGTCTCTCGGGGCTCAGCGGCAGGACAAGGGGCCAAGTCCTGTGCCTGCCATTTAGCAGCCGTGCTCTCTCGGAGGGAAAGTCTTTGACCTCTTTGAGCCTCAGTTTCCTCACCTATACGTAGGGAGCTACACGATCACCTTCGTGGGCAGCAGTGCCTGGCACCCAGGGCATTCAATGATTGCTCCTCTGAAGATCATTACCAATGGCATCGAGAGGGGTTCCCAGGACATACCAGGCTGTCAAGGCCGCCACCGAGAAGGTCCACGGCTCCCATCTGCACCGAGGAGGTGGCCAGGGGGGGGCCGCTCACTGGGGGGCCGAGGTCCAGGTTGAGGAGGTCACCCAGCAGGTCCCCCTGGGAGGGAATGACATCCGGCTGCTCACCAGAGGGCGCTCCAGCGGGGGCGGTCTCAGGGCTCTCTGTGCTCTCGTTCCTTCGGGGACACAGGAGGGAGAGGATCAGAAGGGCTGGGGGCAGACCGTCTCAGGCCGGTCAGAGTCCCCGGTCCCCAGGATCCTCCCCCAGGACAGGCCCTGGTTCTCCTCAATGTCCCTTAGGGGCTGTCTTCATGCCTCCTCTTCCTCCCATCCCCATGCCTGTTCCAAGAGATGCAGCTTCATGGGGATGAGGGGTATTTCCACTGAACTGAGAAGCCAGGAGAGGCTCCGCCCGGCAGTTGGCCCTCCACTCACGAGGCGGTGCGGGGCGGCAGGCTCTTGTGCACCACGCCCCGGCCGCCCTCCACGAAGGCGCTGGGCGGCTTGTGGTAGACGGAAGCTAGCGTGCCGATGTAGCAGATGAGCTCGTCCAGCAGGGTGGGCTCGATGAGGTCCGTCTCCTCGGAGATGAGCGGCTTCTCGGCCAGCACCACCTCCTTGGCGGCCACTGGGTCCGTGGACAGCAGGCGCCAGTAGATGTAGCCCCGGTCCCGCAGGTCGGGGTTGTCTGAGTCCTGGGAAGT